TTCGATGCACACAAAGCGTAGTCTGTCAATTGGTTATAGCCTCGATCATAAAACAAACAGCGTATGGAAACCTAAATTATGACCTTTAAAATGAACCATGAAGTACAAGTGCTCGCTCCAAGCTTGTAATTGACGTTATTCACAAGCCGCTAACAGGGTTTTTGGAAAACACGTCCTCTCTTTAGTTCACATTGGGCTTGCTGTTGGTGTAAAACTCATTTAATTAATTATTCAGAGGTATTAGCTTCTAAATTGAATCTATTTCCTGCATCAACGATGCCGGTAATGGCTCCCAGAGGATTCTGCATGCTTTCACCTTCTCCACTTATAATACACTTCCTATTTTATATCACAGCATAAAAATACAATACACGTACACACACACCCACACACATATATATATATATATATAAGAACTGTACACATACCAATTTTTCAGGGGCTTAAAGTGTTTGGTTAGTCCTGTCTGGGGAGTTTTATGATCTTGATCGCTTGAGTCTGCATTAGTGTGAGTGTATTAAGGTGGTCGAGATCTACAGGTACCTGGGTGCACAACTGGATGATGGGCTGGAGAAGTTGACTAACAGATGCTTTCCATAGAAACGGGCTGAGTTAGCTTGTTTTCTGTAGGCGGCTCAGGGGTCCTTTCATTGGGTCATTCAATGAGTCACAATATCCAATCAAATCCATCAAATCTGTCGTCACAAACAGATTAATATTAATCTTCTGTGTAGAGCTTCTAGTTTAGCTCGGTACTATTTGATTCTGAAGTGGGTTTGAAAAGTTAACTTATTGATTATTTGTGCAGAACAGTAGTCTAATTTGGTGGGGTTCAGGCATGAACCATGGACCAGTTTTACAATCAGACAGATTCAGATATTGTATTTTTATGTGGCGATACCAAGAGAGGGAGCATGTAAAGACTGAATCAAGGGGGACCAAGGTCTGGATCTTGTGGCACCCCAAAGTAAATGCTGAATTTTTTGTTGAGTGACACTGAGAATTATGTTTTTTAGAAATATGGTGATGTCCACCGGAGAACAGGTGATTTTCAGGCTTGTCTATGAGAATATCATGATCGATGGTGTCAATAGCAGAAGTCTAATCGAACTGTCATGAGAAGTTGGTTTCCATCATGGTTGATCTTTAGGTCGTTGAGGGTTTTTCCAGGACAGTGTCAGGACTGAGATTTACATGCTGAGCAAACTCAAATGTTTCAAACTCATTTAAAGACAAAAGTTGATCTCTGCTTTCCTGACCTCTTCTCTGTCTCTCTCTCTTTCCACCTCCACTGATCACTTCATCTGACCGTGACTCTGAAGGCTGAACAGCTTTTCGTCGAGATCACACCTGTTGGGTTGTGTTCTTTGTTCTGGACTTGCTGCTGATTGTTCTCATGTCCTTTCTGGAGATATTTACCTTTTTATGAAACTGCTGAAAACTGTTGAATACAATATCAAAGATATCAGAGTTTCTGTGATTTTAATGGCTTTTAATGTTTACATCATAGAGGAGGACCATGATTAATTCTCTCAGTAATTGTCTCCATCAAACTGACGCTTTCTTTCAAAATCATTCAGTCTAGGTGAGAAACTGTCTCTTTTTTACCAACACAAGAGCAGGGTGATCAAAAAAAATAAAAAAATAAAACAGAGGTAATTGGAAAAGACCGGTTTGGGTGCAACGGACGGAAAAAAACAATTAATCAGGGATTTCTTTGCACCAAGCGTCTATAAGACTAACTGCAAATCTATCACATTGATAATTGGTTTAATTTGATAATAAATAAATGTTGTTACATCAGTAATAATTGTGATGTTTTATACTATTGATATTTTAAGTCCTCATAAAGGGGGTTAAAGGCTCCAGTAAAACCAAATCCAGCAGCTGTGGTCTACCAGAAAAACCGTGGAGGTGGGGAGACCGGGACTCCAGGGTTGGAGCCATAATGAAAACCAACAGTGTCCTCTATTGGAGACAAAGAGATACACGTGCTGCTTGTCCTCTGAACAGAGGAAAAACTGAAAAGGTGTCGAGGTAAAGCGAAAGGTTTAATCCTCAAAGAAGCTGAAATTTTGCTTCAGTGTGTAATTTATCGGTCCTCTGCTTCAGGGTCAGCCTGGAAACGTGGCCCCGAACACGATCTGATGGATCCTCTCTGACATACAACAGAACAAGAAGAAGCAGATTGAGTTTTAGAGTAATGCACATTTACCTTATTATAAAATATCAATAATTATAAAAATGTTTTTCTATTAGTAGAAAAAGGGTTTCAGGCTTTTAAAGTCACCGTACAGAGATCGTCGACCTTGGCGTTTGTTTGTCTGAGCAGGTCAAATGTGTTAATTTTAACCAAAAACTCCTCACAGGAGCTATAAATAAAGAAACTCTCAAACCTTAATACCTGATTAAAGCAGCGAGCAGCACTAAATCAGCCCTCACAAACTCACACACAAGCATGTCGGGGTTTAGTGCGAGTCATGGTGTGCAGCAGCTGCAGAGTTTTGCAGCTTCACTACCTTTCTCAGTAAAAGAGCAGTCATGACGTGTTATCAAAACTGTGGTTTTCACTCATTATCAAGTAAAACAGCATAAAGTGTATTATATATAAAGCTTCTTGCCTTTGAGCAGTAGGTGGCAGTATGACAGAAATTTAACAAAAAAAAGGACAATGAAGTTCAGGTTTCCGATTCTGGCCGCCATGGCTGAGGAACTTTTTTCAATTTGAATCTGTTCTGGTGCAAATGACCCAGATTTGCGGTTAAAGGGATCATCCTCTAAGCAGGAGTTCATTCTAACAGTCAAAAGTGATCAAAATTTCAGAATGACAGACCTCCAGCTGGTTTTACCTTCTGAGCCTCTTCTACAGGTCTATCAAACACATTTCCACTGAGTTTCATCAGTTGAGGCCAGACGTTTGAGCCGTCCAACGAAGACCTCACACAGAACAAATATTAATTACCTCATTACCTCCCAGGGCTCATGTGTGCCACTCTGTTGTTTATCACAAACAATGTGTCACCATGGCAACAGCAACAGCCTTTAGTTTAGATTTATGAGCTTTCAAGACAGTTGGATTAAAAAAAAATTAAGGATTTGTACACAATTCTAATTTGAAGGCTTGTAATGACCATCCCCGACAGTGACCAAGGAACTTAACTTCATGTAGGTTAATATTTAACGGACCCCTTTGGTTTTCCAAAAAGCCGACTTCCTGTTGACATGTCTCCAAACTACATTCAAACTTTTTTTCCTTTTTTTCCTGTGCTTTCACCGACTGCTAGTCACTGCTGTCAGGCCGATCTGCCACATCTACGTAGGCTTCCAAAACCTAAAATATCTGCATTATTTACACCAAGACTGAGGCGCCTTCAGGCACATTTCTTGAGGTTTTAAGCATCTCAGGGCCCTGGATAAATAACATTAGGCCCTGATCTTTGTACTAATTTTTTTCCTCTCTTCCTGTTTTTTGGACAAATCTGTTTTCTGTTTTTTTTAAAACTTTGTTTCCCTGACTAAACAAGATACTTCAAAATCCTGCGAGAATCTCATACAATCAGGTAACGTGAACCACCGCGGCTGCTCCAAATCAGCGTCTTCTCCAGCTCCTAGATAACTTTGACTACAGGGTCAATGAGAGTAAAGGATGTTATTAGTTAAATTTAAGGTATGCAAATCCTGAGGTTTCTGCGCAAAGTAGACAAACTTATGATGATTCCATTTATCTGACTTAGAGAATTAAAAGATCTCTCAGAGTCTCGAACACAAAAGAAAGTAAAACTTGATTAAACTAAACGAATGGGTTGTGCTTGTTTCTTCCAATAAACTGAGCAGAGGGGGATGACAGCGTCTGTTTTTAAATGATTATGATGGGAAAAGCAATTATTTTGAAAAACAAAACAAAAAATTAGTCTGATAACGGGGGGAAATCTGAAAAACAGAAAAAAACAAAATTGCCTGAAAAACAGAAAAGAAAGTTTTTTGGTTTTTTTGGTGAGTGAAACACGCTTCCATATCAAACAGGCGAGGTTTAACAACCGCTCTGTAATGAAGCAAAAGTTTGTTGTGCCACAATAATGGTTTATTCTTACACTAATTACGTTTAACCAGGTAATTAGATCTTCTTTTTCTTTGTTACTCAAAGGTAGGATCCGTCATGAGTATCTTGTTTTCCAACCACTGAGAAAACTGCTGCAGGTTTTTACCACATCACTTTGAATACACTCTCTGCTCGTACTTCTCCTCTTGGACATTAAATGTTACCTTTCAGAAAAGTTCAAGTGTTCATTTTCATTTCCAGCAGATATTTTGCTCTAATGTCTGAAGTAGTTTCATGACCAAGGTTTATTATGTTTGAGAGTCTGTCAACCGTACAGCCCTGAGTAAAAAGACGTTTACGTCGTCTAATTTATCTTCAAAGAAAATGTTAAAGGTCATTACAACATGAAATATTCAGTTTTATGTTAACTCAGCCCATGATGAAGCTGATAAGAATCCTAACAACCAGACTTTAAGATCATGAGTGAGATTCCTCTGCTTTAAAACAGCGTCTTTACTCTGCTGGATTTCTAACGTCTATCAATGTCAGTGTAAAACAACGATATAATCTTTTTCATGTCTTAGTTTGTGTTTCTTTACGTCAAAGTCTCAGTATTTCATTCTAATTGTTTAAATTCATGAACAGTCTGCTGAAGTATTAAACTCGTGTTTTCTTTGACCGGTCCCTGGAGGTTTTGTGGAGCTCTCGTTGAATCTAAACCATTGTTTGTACACAGAGTTTGACTCCTGCACATGCAGTTATTCCTCCTTGGCATTGTCTGTGTTAAATCCTGAGCTCAAAGGTCTTTGATTAGAGAGAGGGAAGTTTAATTCAAGAAAGTTGAGGCTGCTTAGAGTGGAACTAAGATGGTCTTCAATGTGGGGATTCAATTGGCTAAGCCTCTCTGTATTAAACGTAGGAAAGCATACAGTGTGAGGCACAACAACAAACTGCTGATACCAAACTTCAAAATTGGGGTTTAATGAAACATCATTGAGCTTTAAAGCTTTTTGTTTCAATAGCCAGAACTAATGCCACATTAAAAAGAAGAACTGTTAGAGCATCAAGTGTAATCACTCCGACACAATAAAGACTTTTATGAAAGTTTTTTTCAAGAACCACAATATCACCCGGACTTAAGCAGAAACATGTGAGTGCTGGATAATCTCAATAAAAACGGCTCTTCCTCCGCCCTGCAGCGAGCACGTAGTTTTTCATTCTTACAGTAAACTTGTTTATAAGTCAAGTTTAAAATATGATACCAATCAATCTTTATTTATAAAGCAGCAGTTCACAGTATGTATGAGGCCATTACTCTGTCAGATCTGTTTTATTTCACACAGTCATCAGTGCAGATTCACAGTCAAACTTCAGTAACTAATGCTTCGTGGGTCACTGTTTTATATGAAGGACCACGGCAGGTTCTTCCTCCATAGTTCCAAAATACTCAGGCAGAAAACAACACACATCAGAGACAGAGAGAGTCAGCGCAGGAGAGCCGATGTTTCAGATACTGAATTTTGTCTAAACTATAACAAAGAAGTTAGAAACCAAAATCTTTCATTTCTGATAAACTCACTCCAGAATTCTGACGACTGAAACACGTTCAAGTCTCCTTTTAAAAACACATGAGAAAACTGTACGGTCAGGTCAGATCATTTCCACCACTCGATCTTATCACAGAGGGTCTGATGTTGTTGGTGAATATCTGCTGTACTGAACTCACTGACCAACAAAGGGTTAAAAGAGTTCATGTTAATATTCTGGTGCTCTGCATAGATCAAACTACCACGACTACCTGCTTCTGCACCTGTTGAGTCTCAATGCCCTCTGTTACGATCGTTATTTTACTGTGATATTACCTCTGAAAATCAACCGTCATTCACCATCTTTTAATCTCTAATAATTAAATTCTATAGTTCTCCTAGTTTTTCAAAGATGCTCTTTGAAAGTGGAGCTTGTTCTACAAAATGTTTGATCTTTTTATTTCCATCATTTCACATTGAAAAAAGGACGATAATGATGTCTTAGCAAATTCTTCACACATGGGCAGAGCAGAATTAAAAGTTTGTTGTTCTCACGTAGCAGCAGCCTGTAAATGTGCGAACAGTCCCCTCATTATGCACCAAGTGATGCACAAAAGACTCCCAGATAAAAGTCAGTCATCCGTCGTCTTACACACACTTACTCAGAGGTAATGTTCGTATTAATCCTTCGTTGGTGACCAATTAGGCTGAGGGTGGTTAACTACAGGATGATTTGGTTCTTGAAGCTGCGGTTGAGGTCTTTGTGTGGGAGGACAATTGAGTTGAGTATGATCACTTCAGAAGGGATGGTCACGTTACAGCCTGGGAGGAAAAAAAACACGCCGTATTCAGTCTGTGCAGAATATTCAGGTACAGAGGACAGAACACGAAATACTTCATTTGTAACTCGCTCTCGGTGTGCAGTATCTGATGTCTTTATTTAACTAGGGATGCAATGGTACGTGGAGAAAAACTGAACCGTTCGGTCCGCTCTGCATGGGACAGTACACCCTAATGGACCACGGGTTTTTGGTTTTGAACGGATGCTTTAACAGACATCCATCAGTGTGTTTGTGTGTCTGTCCAGGCAGGTGTGAAGCCCTCTCCAATCACATCTGTGCCTCCAATCAGCAATCAGCTGCTCTCAGTGCAGCCATAAACATCATGTTTGCTACTTCCTTTATATCAATAAAGGAATATTCTATTCTATTCTATTCTATTCTATTCTATTCTATTCTCATTTTGAAAAGTCACTTGAAGATATTTGTAAGTTGCATTTATTTTTGGCTTCTTCCAAAACTGCAGTCGTTGTTTTGGGCGAGTTCTGCTCCTAAACCCAGAGGAGACTTGAAACATGCTCCTATTAACCCAGCCTTACCCACTTGAAATACATTGAAATCGTTGCTTATTTTGGTGGAGGTGGAGGAGTTGAGAGACAATTTTTTTAAGAAGCACCGGCCTCCTTCAAATCTCCGCTGTGGGTTAACTTCAGTGTCACCGTTAAATATAAAGACGAGGGAGTGAAAACTGTTGACAGAAATTTTACTGTCTGCAAACGATGCTTGATACGTGTGACTTACTTAAAAAGGAAACAGGAGCAACATGAGCAAACATCTCCAACATACGCATCTTAATATAACGTTTCCTGAACACAGGACGGTCAAACAACATGAAAACGAAACACTTCGCTCTTTCCTGAAACTGACCCAAAACTGTGGTCCAAAAACTGAGCGTACTGTGAGTAACATGTACCGTTGCATCCCTAGTAGTTCCACTTTTTTTGTAATAAAGTTAATGAACAAACTGGAAAATTAACAACAATATAAGAAAGAGCCTGTTGAAATGTTCAGACAGATGATCTCTGTCAAAAACAAAAACAATATTTAACACAGTTATTCACACGTCCTTCACTATTGTCTCCTGCTGCACATATTTAATAGAAAACTTAGATATCAAATCACTTTTCTAAACAGCTAAAGTCTGAATAATTTTTGTTTTGGGGAACAAAACTGTTCAGATTTTGTTATTGCCCAGATTAAGTGTCTTTAAATTCATCAGAGGAGGATCCGGAGTCGTGCTTACCCAGGATGGTAATGGAGGGTGTGAGTTTTCCCTCCCTGAAGAGGGTCTCACTGTCGATCTTGGCGTAGGGGTCATTGGGGTTTGGGTCACTCGGGGTTCCCTCGACTCTCGCCCACTTACCAATGGTGCTGTCCCATCCAACAATGCTGTTCAAAACACAGCAGTGATCCTGCAGGAGAAACAGGAACACAGAGAGCGTCTTCAGAGACAAAGTTTGTCCGATAACTTCATGTCTCAGTGGACGTCACTTCAAGAAGATTATCGACTGTACAGGCTCATGTACCATAAAAAGGAGTTTGTTATGTTGACACTGAGCAAGAACATGCAGGTCGGTCACTCATAACACCACAGTTTAGGACTCAGTAAAAATATAAAGTGATTTTTAGTGTTTTTTAATCAAGAGTCTAAATAAATTGGCATCCGTTCCTAAACAGTCTCTCTTGGCGTGACGAGACGGTGTTTATATTCAGTGTGAGTCAGTCAGCCGAACCTGCTCAAACTCAGCCAAAGATAAAGAGAGTTCAGAGTTTGATTCTGAATGCAGCGGAGGTTTTGTGCTGGAGTTGGTCGTCTCTCTCAGGCTGAATGTTGGCAGTTTAATCCCAGCTCCCATGATCAACAAGGCCAAGTGTCCTTGGGTAAAATGCTGAACTGGAAACTGCTGAGGCGGAGCCTTTCACAAGTGTGTGAATGCAAATGAATGGGATTGGTACTGATGGTAACCTACGATGGCATCCCCTGCTCTGAATCAGTACAGATTTATTTGAGGTAAAAGTACTTGGAGGGGTTATAAAGAACTGAAAACAACAACAAAAACATTTCCCATTTAAAATGATGTGATTTTTACATGGTAACATGTCAAAGCAGTGAACCAGGCAGGAGGAAAAACTGTCTTTGAACCCGTTTTGAAGCAGTGAAAGCTCGTCTTCTCCACCGTGAACTAAGGCGTCAGAGTTTCCCTGTTTTTGTGGTAGAAGCTGATCAATAAGAGCTCACCTGTAGAGTCGCACCGTGAAGTATGATGGACTCTCGGACTCTGACTCCTGCACCGATAGTTACTCCAGTGCCGATGGAGACATTGGGACCCAGCTGGTGTCAGAAGATTTAAAAAAAACACACATGAGTTGTTCTCGTCTCTCAGATAAATAACACACAGCTCTGTGGGAGTTCAAGTTCCTACCGTGGCGGTGGGGTCGATTTGGGCTGTAGGATGGACATAAACATTTCCTAGAGAGGAAGAAAGTGTTAGTGTGTCTCCAGTACAAGATACAGAATACATGAACAATCATGAAGCAGATTAATAAATCCGTTTCACCACTTATTTTCGGCCCTCCCTCCTCATTTGAGGCCAGTCTCTCAGGGTGAGATATGTGGTACTGGTTGAGGTACAATCGACTGGCATAGATGGCAGAACTGAGGAAAAAAGGAACAAAATGGGGATTAAAGCACAGCTGTGATTTACACTCCTGGTTTACAGACATGTACTAACATCCACTGAACATTATGACACAGGCTGAGAGTTTCATCACTGAAAGGAACTCATATTTAAGGTTCAGATCACAACATAAACATTAAAGAGTCACTGAAGATTTCCTGAGTATAAATCAAAGTTTGGACCATCTGAATAAAAACATGGTTTGTAAAACAGTTCACAGATGAAGTAAGAAGTCCACGTTTCTTCTCAGTCTTCACATTTACAGTTTCTGGGTTTGTCGGTGCTGAAAAGCTCGATTCGTCCTCCGCTGACGGCGTTTCTGACACTCACCCTGCAGATTTAATCTGGCTCCAGAAGCCGAGGGTCTTATACACGAAGAGTTTGCCCTGTCCTGCGAGGGCGGTGAAAATGTCCTGCTCCAGCCTGATGGCCTCTGCTCTGTGCCATCCATTGGTCGGCTCCTCTCTGCAAGAAACAGCTCGTCAGTTTATGTCACTGAGGACTGAATTAAAATGAGATTAGGGTTAGATTAAAAAAAACATAGAACATGGTGAGGTAAGAGTTTAGATAAAATAATCTGTCATTCATCCCCGAGAGACGAGGTTTGGCAGCAACACAAACACAAAGATAAGCACATAAGTTCACACACACACACACAATCCACTCTGGACGAGTCTTCAGTTATTGGATGAAGAGATTATGAACACAACAGAAAGTTCAGAATAAACCAAACTGAGTTTAAAAATCACAACAAAGTTCATAACAAAATTTAACATCTATGTACATGTCCACAGTAAAGGGCTGTATATGCAAACTAGGGGCATGAACGTTAAACTTTTGTGGACACAGTATTCATTCGATTCACAACAAGTCAGCAGTATAAGGACAGAAAATCAGCCTCAGACTTCGCTGAAATGGCCAAAAATTAAAATGAAGTCGTCTCAAAAAAAGTCTAAAGAAACAACGAAGACGACAGGAAGGAAAGGACAGGTGGACACAATGACGTTGGTGAAGTTCTTGCACTGAGAAGATAAAGAGATCTTGCAAAAGGCAGCATGCAGGACACTCTTGAAATGGGTGGACGTCTCTGCACTCAGACATGATGTGGGATTTTTTAGCCCTTTAGATAAACGATAATCTGAACTACAAACAGAATAATTTAACTTTAAACTTCAGAAACCTGAGCAGTTCAACATGTTTGGAAATACCTGTTTATGAAGTGAAATTAAAACTCCGCCTTCAAATCTCTCTATTATACAAAATATTTTCTTTTTTTAAAACATATCTGATTTTATAAATTTTACTCTTGGTCCTGAAAAAAGAGATTTGACTCATTTCTGTTCGATTTATCTCTGTTACCTTTAGACAGAAACAGGTCAGATACTAACATTTATCTTCACACATGATGGATTATTATTGTAATTGTAATTACTCATGTAAACTTCTCTGATAGAGCAAAAGACATTGTCTGAATGTAACCCGACTGTGCCAATTAATCTGTAATTAAAACCATTTCCAGAATGGGCAGAGTATAACTTTAGGGAGAGAGGGTGCAAGCAACAGTTACAAAACAACCTATGCAAACTCAAACTTGACATACAGTAGATGATCTCTATCCACCTTAATCCCAGCCCCAGTGATGCCTGAATGAACTACATTTTCTGGTGCCTCTATTACTGGACGCGAAGCCTGTATTTATTCATAGTAACTGTTCGCTAATTGTGGTTTTTAGAGTGATTGAGGATAAAAAAATGTTGGAACGTCATCTGTCACGCCTCGAAAGGGACAATGTTATCGAGGGGTTGGAGGACCATATAAAGAAATGGCCTCAAATAACATATTTTAGCATATTAGCCTACTTTGTCGGCTCTGTTGCTGCAGACAGGGAGGCCGAGGTTTATCAGTTCCTAAATAGCGTTGAATTTTGTTTTTAAAGGTTGGACATGATCTTATAAACTGAAAAGCAGATGTAGAGCCGAGTCAGAGCCTCAGTGTCCCACATCACCAGACCAGGGTTTGAGTTTCAGCTCCAGGTGAAACACACACAGCTGTGCATGTACTGCATCAGCTCCAGGGTGATCCTGCAGTCATGCAGCTGAAATACTGAGGGAGGTGTTTTAGTATCTAGGTGGATTTTCCTGCTTTTTACTTAACAAAACTGTAATCACTGTGACTGTTTATTTATAACAGACAACTTTCTGATCAAAATTAAATGAACAGACATACACAGTCTTTGGTGAACTCTTTAGGTTTTTCAGCCACAATCTTTTGGTTTCGACGTCAGTTGGCATCATGGTAGCACTGCACTGCTCCTCAGACTATAAATCTAACTTTGTCTTGTTGTTTGTACAACTGTGGACTGAGTAACATGTACCAGAACCACAGAAAGACGTTTCCAAATATGTAATGATCAATAAAAATCCAGGATACTCTAAGAAAACATAGCAGTGTGAGGGATTTTTGATTCGAAACAAACCACTAGCGATGTTCAGTCACTGAGAAAAGTCTCTGTGAGAAACAAACGTCATTATATTTCCGTTATACCACCGACGTTTCACCCATAATCATAAATACAGGAGCGCCCTCAGGAATAAGGTGGATACAGCTCACAGCACTGACTATGTGAGCTAAAACTACACCATGCAGCCTACCCACTTACCCATCATATGGATATCTGATGTTTGTGTGAAGGAAAAAGAAATCATGGAAGAAAGGATCAGGGAAGGGAAAAGAGACAAATGAAGAGAGCCGAACAAATGAAAAGATGGTCGTCACATGCAGTCACAAACAGATCCTCTGGGTGGGACGGTTTCAACTCACAATAACATGTCCTGCTGGTTCTTTTGAAAGATGGCGCCGATGTGCTGGAAGATGTCGGGGTTAAAGAGGTAGATACCACAGTTGATGATGTCGCTCACGAATGTGCTCGGCTTTTCAACATAATGTAAGACCTGGATCAGAAAAGAGAGGAGAAGATCCGTGAGAGTCAGAAATGTTAAAATACAAGAGTGAAAAGATGGAATCAGGGATGTAAAACAGGAAGAGTTCGATACCTCGTTTGTTTCTTCATTTTCAACTATACAGCCGTAATTCATGGACTGCTTTCTGTTTGACTGGAAAGAGAAGAAGAGTAAAGATAGAGTTCACAACGTCTAAAAAAAAACATGTCAAACATCAGTGATGAAATCTCACAGTGGTCCCAAGAATGACGAAACTGTTCGGTTCTCCATGTTCCTTCTGGAAGCTGAGCATCTCTGTGAGAGGAAACGCTGAGCAAACATCAGCGTTCAGAACGAAGAAAGCTTCTGGACTGCCGGAAACAATCTGATCTCTGAAGTGATAGATGCCCCCTCCAGTACCCAGGGCTGCGTACTCCTGCAAGTACCTGTGATGAAAAGGAAAAAGCTCAGAGTACCAGCAGTCATTGAACATATACAAGTGTAAATATACATGTATATTATGTACACATGTGAGGTGTTCTTTGACACTAAAGCAGTACACTCTAACACCGCGGTCCCATCACTTTTTAATTCTTATAAAACTGCACATTGTTGCTTTAAAGTTTGATTTTAGTGATTGGAAGTGTCTCCGCTGGTTTGTTAGCAGGTGGGTGACGCTCGTCCAGTTTTTACCTGATGGAAATTTTGAACTCCTGCTGGGCGTTCAACAGGAATCTTGTCAGCTCTTCATTCGGCTGATAAAAGCCGATGAGCAAAATCTCTTTCATATTTGGTACCTGGATAAACATAAAAACAGTTTTTATTTTACTGTTTGTTGTATTTTCTGAATCACACAGAACAAGCAGAGAATCAAAATCCCCTAAAATCAGCAACAGAGACAAAAAGCTCTTTTCTACTGGACTTGACTAAGTAGGCTTTACACGACTTAACCATCTGCTGAAATAAGCCTTTTCTGTCGTTTTCTGTGTAACTTTGCTGTGATGGCTCAAAATCCCACCTTAGCACACGCCTCAATATGATGCTGCAGCATGGGAACACCAGCCACTGGAAACAAGGGTTTGGGGACTTCAAATGACAGCGGTCTGAACCTTGTGCCTGTGAAGTAAATAAATATCATCAGTCATTTATATTATAGAAAATGATATTTAATTGACTTTAATTTGATGTTATATTAAGGGAGAAGACATGGTCATGTTATATTTTTAAATGATTTAATTTGTTGTTATCATAATTAAATGAATGATTGCTGAATGACCCAAATGAGTTTATTTCGAGTCTGTAGAAAGACGGAGTTAAAAAGTGAGCAGGTTACATGAACATGAGGAGACTGAAGGACCGCAGAGAGTCTACAGGGTCCATCTACACCTCTACACTCTCAGTTTTCACACACCGGTCTGTGTTTGTTGGTTAATAAAAGTGTTTTTCTCTCTTCTCTTGCTGTGCTGGACTCTCTGCTTCTTTTCTTTTATGCCACGTCAACTTTACTCTCAGCTAAACCGGTTTACATGATCCCGATCCGGGTTAACAAAGACACAGCTGATACTGAAAACGACACATATGAAGAACTTGTTTCTCACCTTTCTGAGGGCCGCCGATCAGAATAACAGCCTTCAACATTTTTACAGAAAACCTGCGAACCAGACAGTCCTGCTGAAGAATAACAACTCCGACTGACTGGCTGTGGGCGTGTCTCCGTCTCTACTTCCTGGTTGTGACGTTTACGAGATCAGGAGGAATATCCGGTTTGAGAAGTCGAACTGGAACTGGAACTGGACCGGAGTGGAGGACTGTCATATCAGCGCTGGTCTTTAGTGCTGAACCACCACCTTAAATAAATGTTTAACAAATGATAAATTTATTCAACAAAACATCAACATAAAAGAGCAAAGATACTCAGGACCAAGGGATTGAAGAAAAGAGAAAACTGAAGAGAAAGATTTTTTTTTCTTTTTTTTTATTCAAAACACCAAAGGGTTTAGTATCTCCCTGTTTGTTTGTCTCTATCCAAGATAAATTAAATAAAGGCACTTTGACTTTGAACCCTAGCTACTGAAGTTTAGTTCATCTGAAGTGTCAACAAACCAATGAGCAGGTCTGCTGTTCTCAGTGTATGAATGTGAAGTTCACGGTGTCCAAGAGAAAGATGACGAGTTGACTTTTTGACATATGCTGTAACATTATCTTCTTATCTTGTCTTTTATCTGTTTTAATTTTCACACTGAAAAACAAAGAAAAATTTTATTATCATCTCAACTATCTGTGATGATGCATTTTACAGAATCCTGGTAAAAAGCAGTCCTTTCACCATCTCATTTGATAGTTGTTGTTTCATGATGTTGAGACTTAAACACAATGACATGCAGCAGAAAACTTTAGAGGAGATATGAACCAACTTCACTTTCCCCCGTTAATCTCAGAGAAGAGTTTCTACGCTGTACCTTGTCCTGGGGTGATTGTTGACTAAGAAGTCTTTATAGGCTTCGTGTTTGATGCAGATTTTTACCTCATTTGCATATGTTTGAGTTTTCAATCCCACCCAACGGAGACTGTGTAACTTTAGGTTATGTTTTAATGAGAAAATATAAAAAGAAACCTTAAAGCTGCGTATGAATGTTCAAAAATGACAGCCAGGTTATTTTTCTTCAGTTCTTTCAGCCTCTGTGCATCGCCGACCTCAAGAGAAAAGTGCACTAAACTGTGTTTCCTATTTAAATCACCAGGATACTGCTAAAGGTACAATCAGTGACGAGTAAGACAAAAAAACAAGATAATGTAGTTTAACTGTGCCTCCATCCCTGTATGTATATAGTTTTGGTGAATGATAAACCTGGAAGTTGGGCAGCCTTGAGAGCGTATGTACGTATATAAAACTTTGTTTAATCAAACTCTGAGTGTGTTCAATCAGAGTTAAACATAACAACAAGAGTCTACTGTTGTTCACCATGACAACAGGAGACAAAAAGTGTTGTTACTCTATAAATAGACACTTAGATGTGCACACAGAGTTTAGACAAAACAAAAAAAAACTGAGAGGTAGTGCAGGAGAGAAATCGCAGGCTGACTCAATACGTACATTTGAATGTAGTCTAGGTATCTAATGATGTTACTAATATTTGATAACTTTAAACATTATGATATATTGAAATTTATATGATAATATAACATTGATTTACCTGGTAGAGATTATCTGAGAGCAGCTGAAAAAGCCACAAACACATTTAAAAAGGGAAAAGATCTGCTGGGATGGAAGAGCACGTCTGTGATGTTGGAGATGTGAGGCGTTATAAGATCATTCCTCGAAAACTCCATCACACAGTTAGATAGGAATGGTAGAACATCCAGACAGGTTTTGGAAATCCTCATCACTGAAGTAAATCTGTTGAAGAAAAGAAGAAATCAGTGAAGAATCAAGTCTCTTTAATACATGCAGCATGGAGAGAGACTCTCTGTCAGTCTGTTTGTCACTTCAGATGTACCACTATTCAGTTCACCCTAACGTTTAGACCAAGAACTAATATTCTCACAGATATGACATTCGTACTCTGGTTGCATATCAGAGTGTTAAGTGCATACTCCCAAGCCCAGCGACTTCCTTTAACTCCCATTTAACAATGAACAGATATGAGTGGGGGCTGTTGCTCCGCCTGTGCCGACCTTGTGTTGGGGTGTTGAGTCCACATTAAACCACACGCTGAAACTGGTCACATAGTAGCTTTGGTTGCGGCGTGCAGACACAAGCTTCATCTCAGGATGTAGACTGTAATGTCCAAACTCACAGGAGTTTTGCTGCAGATAAAACATTTACACTTCCAGGATAGAGTCATGAAAAAAAGCTCCTCTCTTTATTGAGTGTTGAGTTTACAGCCAGAATGAACAGAAGTATTACGATGAGGTTATAATTAATCTGTACAACATTGACATCTAGTGGTGTTACTACCTGTTATAATACAGTCACATGGTTTAGCAGGTTTAGCAGGTGCACAGATGAATGTTAATAGTTGTCTCATTGACATAGTTGGTAAAACCCTCGACTCCTCGTCCTCTCCAGTGTTATCTTTATCTTTAGAGACAGTTTAGTTTGTTACTGATGTTTATGTTCAGCTGGTGAGACACTAAAAACTTTAGTACAGCATAAAATCCTCCTTAACACTGGGCTCAGTGTGGACTGATGTAAGCCAGTGCAGAGGGACAGTGTTCAGGATTTGTTTATTGTACCATCTTCACTGAGAACGAAATATCATTATTAAATATTCAGCAGCACCATAATCGCCCAACCAGCAGACAGAATAGAGTTAGCATACCTGAGGCTTCTATACCGTCATGCTTGCATTGCTGATTTCTCAAGAACTCCAGGAGCTGTACCCGACATGCTAATTCACCAACGTTGTCATCCTCAAAAATCCGACTGTCTGTACCTACTTGTTAGTGCCAGGAAACTATTATTCCTCTAAATCATCTCTCTTTGTTTACAGTATTTCAAAAGATCTCCATGTCTCCCTCGTGGTCCCTGTGGCTCTAAGCTGGAATGGTAGACGTGTTTACTGACTTCCCCTCTCAGACATCCAAACAGTGAAATCTGTTCGACCTGAACAGCTCACCTGAGAAACCTCATCTACAGAAAACTAAACCCTCCGCAGTAAAACCAGAACAGGTTCCAGGTGAGTTCAGTCAGGTTGAACGTGAAGCTTTTTAACTCTTGAGATTTTGCATAGAAGGGTCATCTTACCCCCTACTCTTCATTCCTCTGTATCTAAGGTGAGGGCTCTCATCAGCCATAAGTTCTGTCACCCCTGGGCTAAGAGAATCTCACTCAGAAGTATTGTGTTATTTTGTGATGATGGGGTTGGGAAGGGGGTCCACAATGTCTTTAAAAGGTAGTTAAAGTACAACAGAACTTAATGCCTTCTTAGGGTCACAAAACTGACGACTAAATTTAGCGTTTAAGAACATTTTAAAACTGAAAATCAAAGCTTTTGTTTCACTATTCTGTACATTTGGGTCCATTTTTATCTGACCGAGTATTTCCAATGCTATCTTCTGTTATATAAGTCCTTTCGTTTTCGCAGTTCCTCCAGCACTCGCGCCCTGAACTGGGTCCAGTCTTCATCCTGAAATTGCTGGAGGCCTAACGCGAGGTGAAGCTCTGCGGAGTGGCTGCGCAGAAAAGGATTGTACTGTCGCTCTTCTCCGATAGTTGAGGGACTCTGAAAATTGAGAAAGAGATGTCTTTAAAATCTGTGTCACCCTAGCTGACCTTTAACCGTGTTATTAAGAGCAGCAGACATCTATTACTGCGGATGACTGAGATTAAGAAGCTCCAAGTTTATAGAAGAGCACACTCTTTTTTTCTTTTTAGATGCATTATGTTTCATTCAGCAGCTTCACAAAGGTAACACTTTCTGTTTTTGTTTCTGTAACTATTATCTGAACTGGGAACTTGATGCTCGTGTGAGAAAATCAAGATATCTAAACAAAACTTCAGGTGATGAGCGTGCACACAGCGCAGAAATGTCCTATTTGTTCATGAAGTCAAAAACTATTTCCACTCTGTACAGACTGCAGATCAAAATTTTCACATCAGGTGCTAACAACATACGAAACACTGCAGGAGGGTGATAGACCTTCCTGCACAGTTGCTGGAAAACATGACATCTGGCTGAGAAAGCGTGCACGAGAGGCATAACAATGGTGGTACATCAATCTCACCGTGCACAGCTTCTGGCTCCGCTGCTGCAGCACCCACTGGTATTTGTTTTCCCTCACAGTGTTGCACGGCTCAACCTCAGCTGCAAACAGAAGGTTGTCCTCTGCATACTCATGACCTGAGGGACAGCGAGGAGAAGCTAAAGTGCACGATTTCAACGATAAAACACTTCAGAGTATAAAATCTGTGAAGTTTGATACGAACGCTCCTGAACTTCACAACAGAACTAAAATCCTTGTTAAACATTGAATCTCTGACAACTGATCAGATTTTTCTTACCGGGCCAGAGCAGAGTGTTGTCACTTAAGGAGGCGACGATGTCCAGAGATGAGAGCATGGTTGAGGGATTTCCTTCAAACATCCTGCCTGTAAAAAGACCGAGCTGGTTTTATTCAGAATTATTCATAGAACAAGATGATTATCTGAACGCTTGAATTTCAGACAGGCCCATAAAGAGCTAACAAAAACAGAGATTACAACTGTCAGGAAACCAAGGACATTATTGACCGAAGGTGAAACTCAGTCAAAATCTCTGAAAATGTCTCCCATCTACATCACTGATACACTCACTACATTAACCTGCATATACAGAGCAGTAACATCAGATCTGGACGACCAGAGAAGTGGATAAACTGAGCTACAGGTGTGAATCCACATCAGTGCATGTCAATGATAATGCATCAGATTTCATATATTAGGAAATGTATCCTCTACGCTCTGTCTCCTTATGACTTCCTACAAACGCACTCGTGTCACGCCTGCACGCGTCCTTGAACTGATACAAACTGGTTGTAATAAAGGATTCCTCTCTGTTTGACTCACCACATCCTGAGAGGAAAACCAGGTCACCAGAGAAGAGGCTGGCAGGCGCACCGACTGTCTGACCATCCAGGAGGTAGATCATGTGACCTACAGTGTGTCCAGGAGTGAAGAGAGCTCTGAAGTTCATACGGCCGACTGTTATGGAGTCCTTATGTGAGAGAGGGCTGGACAGACATAAATAAATATAATGATAATAAAGAATCATGTTAGAGACTTGAATGACAGTGAAATACAATCAGAGCAGACTTTAAATTCTGAAGAAACGTTTCCAGTGTTGACTGATCAGGCTGAAGAAGCGCTGTGTCCTCAAGTCTGAACCTGCAGCTGCCAAACAATATCTAACAAAGGTTTTTATTCATGACTTTCTTTCCCACATGAAATCACATCCCAATAACGTGTGTGTGTCTCCTCTCACTGTCTATCTCATCTGAACATGACACTTAACCTTTAAAACATCCTTGGTGTGCGGACATATGGAGCAGGACAGTCTGACAGAGACAAAGAGGAACTTACTGTGTGAGGCCAGGAATGTTATCAGCTGCGTTTCCATAGACTCTACATGAGCTGTGAAGCCTCCTCAGCTCCTTGTTTCCTCCACTGTGATCCCTACAAACGGAAAAAGACTTACTGCTATGGTGCTCCAACAAACGACAAAGGTGAAAACTCTTTTGTTTTTGTACATGAAGACCTACAAATAAAAATAAAATCAAACTTACCAATGCTTGTGTGTACAAAGAATAGCTTCTAACCTCACTTTCTCATCCTCGAGGACAGCCTGCAGAGGAGGAGATAGTGAAGATGTGCATCAGCAGGACGAGTAAGTGTGTGGTTTTGTTAATAGAGTTTAGTCCCAAAGCCAACAAATCACCGCTCAGTACTAGGTCTGATGTTTATCAGTAATATAATATTTAGGGACCCTGTGACGGCTGCTGTTACTGTTACCACAACATAAATGAGTGAACCAAGTTTCTCTGCTGCATATTCATGTCTCACAGCAGGTCCTGAGCTTGGAAAGTTCACAATCCATCACAAATGTCAGCCATTACTCAATCTCGTCTCTGAGGAGATACTGTAAGATGTGGTCTGCCACTGAGAGATGATTCATACGGCTGGACAGACTTGTGAGATGCTGGGAATACACGTGCAGAATCTCCTGATCAGTATGTTAGTTCAGAATAGAATAAGGAGAGGAATCTACCTGGACTTTTTGTGGGTCTGCAGGGTCGACAACAACAGCAACACTTGAGGCTGTGTCGATGACGAGATAGCTGTAGTTGTCAGACAGGACCGAGACGGGAATGATCTTCAAACCTGTGAACACACAAATAAACACTCATACTACAAGAACACAACTCGCTGAATACTTCAGTTCTTCATATCAAACACTTTCCTCTAATGTGCTTCTTAAAATTCAGCTGCCAGAGTGCTCACCCGGACCAAACCTTGGCAGCACATCACCCCCACCCTCAAACGCCTCCACTGGCTTCCCATCAAATATCGCATCATCTACAAACTCCTCCTGCTCACCTACAAAGCTCTCCATGCCCTAGCCCCATACTATCTGTCTGACCTCCTCAAGGACTACATCCCGGCACGTACTCTGCGGTCTGCGGACCTTGGGCTCCTCACTGTCCGCTATGGGAAAAGGCGATCCCTCGGTGACAGAGCCTTCAGTGTGGCCGCCCCTCCTCTCTGGAACTCTCTCCCCTCTGAGATTCGCCAAGCACAGACTCTTGACTCTTTCAAGTCCGCTCTGAAGCGACACTTGTTTATTCAGGCTTTTGGTATTTAGTTAGTTTTTTTTTTTGTAGTGTGTTGTTAAGCGCTTTGGGTATCCTGAAAGGCGCTATATAAATGTAAGATATTATTATTATTATTATTATTAAAAAGACGACACCATGGTCACTCTAACTTACAAAACCATGAATCTCTTAAACACAGCGTGAGCAGAGTTCATGTGAAGATAAACTGTAGGGATGGGAATTGATAGTTTTTTTATCAATATCGATGTCATTATCGATTCAATTCTTTAATGATTCCCTTATCAATGCCTTTCTTTGAATTAAAAAAAAAGGTAGACTTCAGGTTTTCACTGTTAACTCAAAATGTTATTGAGTCTCTGATCACAGAAAAAGATTTATGCCAAAAATAATCAAACAACAAACTAATTGAGCTTCATTTACTTCGGTCGGTTTTCAGTCAGATCAGGGTGACCATACTGTGAATCCCCACAAAGAGGACACTTCTGTGCTGACAGCTGTTACCGTTAAACTCCATCGGCTGAGAGGAGGAGTGTCCGGACGGGTAATGTTCTCGGGCCCTCTTCATCTGTCTCTTATAGTACATGTAGCCCAGTCTGGTCCTGGTGTACAGCGTGTACCTGCAGAGGTGAGAGATCCAAACCCCGTCTGTCAGGTCGGGTTCATTTCATCTTTAAAATCCACCAGATTAACAGTTAAAGTATCTCCATGAAGAGCTTTGGTCATATAACTCTGATAATGTCAACAAAGTTCAGCCTTTCGTCCTGACTCTAAATCAGTAAATCAGTCATAAAAGACAGAGAACAGAGAGATGATGAACTTACGCAATCCTGAACAGCGGTTTCTCGGACCGGGCCATCAGTCTGTAGACCAGTTTCCTCCACGGGGAAAAGACAAAAACCACGGAGGCTGTGAAGAGCAGGATTATGATCCAGTAAGGAAACTCCATGTCCTGCAGGAGGACTCAGTCTGAGCGAGGGTCTGCAGAGCCACGGGCTGCAGTTTCACGACCACATTTCAGGACCCCACTTCGATTTTTCCCTCTGATTTTATTATTTTTTCTAACCGCTCTCCTCCTCCTTCTTCTTCTCCTCCTTTTTTTTTTCTTCTTCTTCTCAACGGCATTCCGATAGACTAACCCTCCCTGTGAAGTGAACTGCTGCCCTCTATAGTCCAGGAGGAAACCAACACAGACCTCTGCATGACATGACAATAATACAGGCAGTGGTGTTGTCCTCCCACCACCAAGTAAATAAAAAACTACCACCCTGTCTGACACACATATTTGAGAACATTCTGAGAGACCAGCTGTGTTTAACGCTCAAAAAGGTTTCTAAAAATGTAGGTTTTGTTGATCTCTTTCAGTCGCTCTAATGAAGTAAAGTCTGAAATTAATAACAAACATCAAAATATTGTATTATTGTATTATTGGACCAAATAGGCCAGTCCTCTGCCGGTCTTACGGTCATGCGCCGCGCGGCGGATGGCCGTGGGGCCGGCAGAGGGCGTCCCCAATGAGGCTTGAACCCACTGACCCATGTGGATACACAAGACAATCTTTTTTTTTTTCACATATCACTGTATTTTACATAATTCCAGATAACTGACTTTCCTTTTCTTTTTGGCAACAAATCTTCATTTTCGGTGGTTTTCTCTTGTTCGTTGCTCATTTTGCATTCGTTGTTGTTGTTAGCGGTGTTGTGCCGAGAAACTCATGTCCTCATTTAGAGTGGTCCACGGAAATATACATTTTAAAACCCATACAGTTCTTATTTGTTGGGCTTAACAGTCAGTAAAGTTCCGAGAGTAATTCTCAGCGGACAAGTGTCTCACTCCATGTGCAGAACATGTGCAGGGGTGGGTTTCCTCCTCTCTGATTTTGATTGACAGCTGGCAGGGTAGTCTGATTGGCAACTGACACTGGCACTGACATTTATGGATGAAAAAACTGAAACAGTCACTTTATACAGACGGACATGAACATAGACTGCACTATGATGGTTCTCTGCTCCTGTCCTCAGAGACGAATCACCACATCACTCTCTCAGTGAAGTCACAGAGAGCAGAAACGATGTTTTAACGCTCTGACAGTCTCAGCAGGTGACTGTCTGTAGATGATAGAGACAGTATTTCAGACCATGTTTAATGTGGACGTGAAGACAAAATAAAAATACAGTAAATCTTCATACGTCAAGGAGGCCTCCTCCACTGTCGCCATGCAACAAAGTTTGCAAAATACTTTTTCAATTTCCAGGTGGATGACAATGTTTGATGCTACAATTTGAAAAGAGTATTTTTTTCTCATGAAATGTCACACCGATGTAACTGGAGTGAACTGCCTCACAAAGGATTGGTAATCACAATTTAAGCTTTTGTTTCTGAAAGCTTCCCCAGAATAAGAGTCCTAATCCCGCCTGGAGGCCCAGACTTCCGAATGTTCATGTCTGCACTCGTCTCTCTGAAAAACTGCAAATAACCAAATATAAAGGAAAACAACTTCAACCTCATTTATTCACCTTAGTCTTATTGAAGTGTGTGAAGATGGACGTACAAAAGGTTTTGATTAAATTTGGTTAATAATACGAATGATAATGTTACATAAACTGTGAATGAAAACAGAAGAAGATGATTTCCCACGACGTGTAACTGAAGACGCTACAAGATATTTAATATTAGGGGTCATGTTGGGGTCAGAGGGGTCTATGTCACAGTTTGGGAAACCCCTCCATCAGACTGAAGTTTGGAAGAACAGACTCTCTTTTGTCTTTATGGAGTTTCTTTCAGTTTTATTTTCACTTTTTCCAGTGGGCACTCGAGAAGGAGTCACCTGTTCTCAAAGGTCCGAGTATCAGTTTCAGGTGAGATATCCTGTTACAGAGATGAAACCCTCCTGGGGTGTACGTCTGCGAGCCTCGAAGAAGAAAGAAACACCTGGAGGGTAGAGGTGCTGTTGAAGGCTTTAGCTCACAGGTAAGCAGTCATTCTTTTTCTCTCTTTCTTTCTCTCTTGTTTGTGTCGTTTCTGTTACGCGTTTCTGAATGGGCAGCTTTTGTTTTAATGTCTTTACTTGCTAAATAAACCGGCGGCTTCATTTAAGAACAAAGAATGATCTCAGTTGTTCTGCTTTATATTCCTCCACTCCTCATACTTACATCATGCTCTTCGCTGTCATGGCTGATCATCACTCATCTTCATTTCCAGATATAAACCAGGAAGATCATGACGTTGAAAAATGAGAATCCACCATCCTATGAGGACGCACTGCACCACCCAAAGCACCCCCACCAGCCACAACATGATTTCCCTCTCCCACCACCTCCATCCTACAGCCTCAGTCCTGGTTTATGTCCGAGCCCACCTTACTATTGGGGCCAGGGGGGGCCCGGGGAGGCCCCTGGATTATCTCCTACCAGGGCGCCCAATACAATACCAACTCTGTCTGCTGGAATACCTGCATTATATCCAGGTTCTGGAGAAATGAGAGAGGACAGTCAGCATTATCACCAGGATTAGCTCCTGAGTTTAAAGGTACTAATAATCTGATGTTACTAATTCTGCAGGAGACATGGAGGATGACCTGAGCAGTCAGTGGGAGAGCACTTTAGTCCGACACGCCTTTATCAGAAAGGTGAGGGTTTGAATGTTGTCATACTGGTATAACTAACTGCTTCACGCTCATCTACAGCAACAAAAGCACCTAATTATGCTCCCAATATAACTTTGTATTTGTCGGCAGGTTTACTTAATTTTGACGACACAACTAGCCGTCACCTTTTCAGTGGTGGCTGTATTTACGTTTGTGTAAGTCTTTTTGTTTGTCTCAGTCAAACACTGCAGCTCTTTTTCCCCCTGAAGAACAGTTTGCCCTTGAGTGATCCTTTACGTCTGTTCTTCAACAGTGATCCAGTAAGGCTGTTTGTCATCAGATACCCCGGTATCTACTGGGCATCCTTGTGAGTCATACCTTAGAAACTTCAGGACAAAACATAAATATATAAACATAAATAAGAGAGGAACATTCAGCCATATTTATCTCACTGCTTTCACTGTTCTGGTAAATATTTGTCTCCCCTAGAGTGGTTTATTTTGTGGTTTACTGCATTCTCATCTGCTGCAAAGAGTCAAGGTAAGACTCACTTTAGTTTAGTTTGAAAGCAAATATACATATATATATAAATGTATAATGAATTTAAAAATTACTGAATTTACAAAATATTGTTCATGACTTGTGTTTAGGAGGCATTTCCCGTGGAACCTTGTGCTTCTTGGAGTATTTGTAAGTAAACTAGGAGCATAATGTGAGACATTCACTGAAAAAATAAAAAATATAAAAGCATCATTTGATCCTTTTATTTTCTTTATGATGGATTATTTGTGCTGTCTTTCAGACTCTGGCCCTTTCTTATGTGTCTGGGACAATTGCAAGGTTTGTCACCTGTCCTCAGGTGTAACATGACGTAACACCAGAATTAAAGGTTGGAGGATGATGTGTAATATGTAGTGAAATAGAGTGAATCTAACCTCTGTGTTTCTTTTACAGCTATTATGAAACTAAAGCGGTGCTTCTTGCCATGGGAATAACAGCATTAGTTTGTATTGCTGTCACAATCTTCTGCTTTCAAACAAAGGTAGATACAGATGGAAACTGTGTGTCTCAGGGGTTTGTCAGGGGACGTATTTAACGTCGGAGTAAAATCACATCATGAGTCCTTTACCTTCAGTGTTCTGGTTTCAATATTGACCCACTTTTTCAGACACAGCCTCTTTAAACCACCTTGATTCTTTCATGTATCACCTCCATCCTGCTGATGACTTCTTTCTCATCACAGGTAGACTTTACCTGCTGCGGGGGGTTTCTCAGCATCAGTGCCATTTTGCTCACGATCATCGGGATTGTTACAGCCATCGTCCTCTCCTTCCAATATGTAAGACTCTTTCATTTAAAGGATCAAACCCAGTTTCTCAGTGTGTGCGGCTGATTTAAAATTCAGGATTTTCTTCTGTAACTCACCAGGTCCCTTGGCTGCATATGCTCTACGCAGCGATCGGAGCCATCGTTTACACTTTGGTGAGTCTGCAGTGATGTGGATGTGTGAGGACAGAGATTTGGACTTTTCTTTTTTCACACATTTATTTTAAGAATAAGAATAAGCATGCTGCTTGTCTCATCTGGAAAAAACTTGGTTATGGGTCCTACTACAGCCTCAGAAAAGTATGTGAAGAAGAAAAAGAAAAACATCCTCTATGCTTTAAAGAGCTGGGGGACTAAATCAGTGTGAGGACCTCAATTAAATAAAAATAATTATCAGGACTGAGGCGCCGGGGTGAAAGGAGCCTGTTGTAGTCTTAAGAGTTATTATCATTGTCATTCATATCAGTGTTTGATATCAGTTCGTAGATGCTTTCACTCCAATCAGCGGTCACCTGAGATTAAGTGCAGCCAGAGCAAAGATCTAAACCAACCCATGAAGGGATTTATTCAACAAATCTGAGCAATAAAATAGCCGACATTCAGAAAGAGGTTTTTTTTTGTTTTTGCTTGAAAATACAGAAATTTTAAGATTTCAAGTTTGGCCAAAAAAAGCCTTCAGGTCACGTGTTGGAAGTTGTAATTTAATACAGGGTGGGGTGGGATTTTTAAGCTTGAGTGCATGTATCTTTTCTTCTGTAACCCTGAAGTAAACAGGATTAACTTTGAATTTACGCAGAGGTATTTTAAAAATTAAAATCACTTTTCTGATGTGACGTCACTGAAAAGGGACAAAACACCTAAAAAAATAAACCCAAAATGTCAGAGATTTAGGATTTGGACCCGACCAGTGTTGAGGAGATATATGTTCATAACTCAGCTCTAAATTATCTTGATTTATTTGTATACCAGAACATGTAATAATATAGTAAAAATGTGTTTCAGTCTTTTTTGAGGAATATTTGAAATTATTCAGGAGTGTCCGCCCATCTGTAAGTCGGTTAAAGTTAAAGTATTTTCGAGCTAAAAAAAAAACTTGTGTCCCACATTTCAGAGCTGTCCCAGATTAGACACAAACTTTTCTGGGACATTTTGTGAACACTGAACTGGACCTTTCACACAGAGAACAATATCTTGTCTTTTCTGATTTAACAGGATAAAATCTTTGGTGTTTTAAAATAACATCATGATTTGATTTGGAAATGGGGTCTTAATGTTAAAAATTAGAGACACTGTCTCTCTTTAATCCACCCTGCCGGTATAACTTCATTTAGTGCCAGAGAAGCGTCACATTACTGAGAGAGTCTGTGCAGAGGGCCAGGGTCAGGTGAGATGGTCTAAGACACCTCTGAGACACCTGATAGTCTACCTCCGACTGGAGCTTCAGATGCTGCTCAGACAGAAACGTCTTCAGTAGGAAACAACAAACTGTGGTTTTAGTTCATTTACACAGAAATGACGTTTTAACGGCGGCTGAAAACTCAGACTTCTGACACCAGTTTCCAGGGTGGATTCTTTAGTGAAACACCACCCTCTCTGTCGCTGCCGTGGGCCAAACCCGGGTCCGGTGACACTGGTTGTATCAGATTACATTCCCAGTCAAATCTCCATGCGTGGGTCTGAGGACTCCCAGTTCCAGACAAAGTTGCTGGTTTTCTTGTTTGCAGGTTCGGTAGACTTGACTCCGTTAAACATGGACTTGAATTTCTGCTCGTTGTGAGATATTAAGCTAAAACACCGGCTCTTAAAATCACTGATATATTGGGCTGAAGCACCTGTGCTCAGATATGACATGCATGTCCCGTCCCAATGCTTTTAACTCACCACTTTAAGATTGATGGCCCCACAGGTGGTACAGTCCACACAGGTGGTACAGTCCACACAGGTGGTACAGTCTACATCAGGACAGCTTCGTGACTTGTGTTGGTGTAGTTTCCACATTTCTCCTCTTCTGCTAATCTGGTGAAAAATGCTCCAGGTCAGGAGCCGCGTTAGTCATCAGAGCTGCCAACCAGCCCTTCATCTAAAAAGTCTAATGAACCAGCCGGAGCGGCCCCTTTGTGGAGAAACTGGGCAGAGATGCTTGGCGTCCAACCTCTGTCACTGCAGCCAAGTTCACAATGAAATGAAGCTAATTCTATGGAAGTCAGTAAATGCTGGTGATGTGAGGACTGTAGCTTTACTGTGAAGGACACCAGAACACAGCCCAACAAAACTGCACTGATGTTGACTGTTCCTGTGTGACCGGAGAGTAAAAACGATGTTCTGAATATCTGCAGTGATGTGGTTCAGTTGTAGGAACATGGCGACAGGCTTTGACAGGGTTCCTTGCGTTGGTTTGTTAATTTAGTATTTAGATGTTTTCACAGAATGTAACGACCCGAGTAAGAACGCAAAAGAGAGGAAAAGACTTAAGAGGCATTTTAGCTGTGGTAAAAATACATTACAATATTGTGTTCTTCTGTTTTAAAGACCACAGAAGCAAAGAAACTAATGTTTTTGTCTCTTTCTGCCCCGTCTCTCATTCTGTGTTAGTTTTTAGTGTACAACACCCAGCTGCTCATTGGAAACCGAGAGCTGGCTATCAGCCCAGAAGAATACATCTACGGAGCGCTCTCCCTCTACGTCGACATCGTTCACATCTTCATCTTCATCCTACAAGTCAGTGGAGCAGCGACTGATTGAGCCCATTCTTCCAGCTTGTGTTTTGGTTCATAACTTTGCATTTGCAGAATACCGTCTAATATCATACAGTCCGATGTGCTACATGTACACAGACCCGTCACACCGAGACGGTTATTATCGTTTGTCAAGGTTGAAATTCAGAATTCAGTCTTGGCTTTTAAGGAAAGAAAGAAGGACATTAAATGAATAACGAACATTACTGGATTGTGAACTTCTGACCTGTGTGACACATTATTATATAGAGGCAGTTCATCCACAAACCGTTCAAGAAAGGACCGAGTAATTAAAGTCTCATTGCTTGTGTTTAATCCTCAAATGATGTATAAAACATGTAGTTACAGCTAATGCAGCTCGAGAGCTCAATAATTAGTATTTAATCTGTGCAGGAAAGATTTGTGTCAAAATACGTCTCATGAGTTCTTCTGAAATCCCTACAGAGAAAGATTACGAGTCCACAGGCTTACAGCAGACGAGCGAGCTCAGTTCTGTCTGTAAAATCTGACATGTTATTAGTTACAGAAGGACAACCATGTAAACCAATCAATAAAGTTCACCCTACAGCTAACCCCGCCCTCCTCCCTTTAGTCTATCAGTGTGAAACAATCAGTTAATTAAGATCGCACTAGCTTTACCTCTCTGTTTTATATCATGGATTAGTACTGTTTCTGACCACCATGATCCCTGTTTTAGTCCAGTGATTTGAGGCGTTGGCCGCGTGTTTGAAGGTTTATGGTGTAAGGCGCTTGGGGTCCCTGGGGAACATGGAGGTTTGACGCACGTTGTGGAGGCCCAGGTAAAGCATGCAGACTCTCTCCAGGCCTGGAAGGAGCGACAGAGCAGAGACAGTCACCCTGCAGTCACATTCAGATACGACCTGATGATAGTGTCGTTACAAAAACCTGTTTTCTTACCGATGCCTCCACCTCCGTGTGGGGGTGCTCCGTATCGGAAGGAGTCGATGTACGCCTTTATCTTCTCCAGATCTGGAGTTCAGAAAAAAAACAGAGAGAGAGAGAGAGAGAGAGAGAGAGAGAGAGAGAGAGAGAGAGAGAGAGAGAGAGAGAGAGAGAGAGAGAGAGAGAGAGAGAGAGAGAGAGAGAGAGAGAGAGATAGAGAGAGAGAGAGAGAGAGAGAGAGAGAGAGAGAGAGAGAGAGAGAGAGAGAGAGAGAGAGAGAGAGAGAGAGAGAGAGAGAGAGAGGGGTGAGCTGCTGCTGCTGGTCACCATTAGAGGGAGACAAACTACATCCCCCAACTCCCTAAATTTCAAATTCAAAGTCAACTTTATTTGTACGGCAATTTTCTGACAAAAAACACACAGAGGCTAAAAACAACAATTAGACAACAATAAAGTAGACCCTACAGCTGACCCCGCTCTCCTCCCTTTAGTCTATCAGTGTGAAAATATCAGTTAATTAAGATCGCACTAGCTTTACCTCTCTGTTTTATATCATGGATTAGTACTGCTCACCATCAGCTGCTAACTGTGTAGGTGTGTGTGTATGTAAATTTGTGTGTGTGGGAATGTATGTCTATGTGCACGTGTGTGTGTGTGGGTATAATTGTATAATTGTGCGGGTGGGAGGTTTGGGGTTTTCTTGGGGATTTTAATGTTTCATTTTCTTTTTATGCTTTGTGAGTCACTTTGTGTTACAACTTTGTAGGAAAAGTGTCATATAAATGAAATCAAGTTGAAGTTGAATAAAAGCCGACCCTCCCTCCCACCCACACACCCACTCATGGACCCACACATGCACACACACAAGCACACACAAAGTGAGAATTTCAGATATATTGTTAAAGAGACATGGCCTGACACCGAGACATTACATGAGGAAAGAGCGACCTTTAGGAAACACTGGAGATAAAAATAAAAACTAAAACCTGATGGACTAAAACAAGAAAATATTAAATGTTAGTATAATTATTTAACGTTTCTGCAGCTTTCTGTGGACCCTCAAATCTACTGAGTGGATTCTAACTGGATCCAAAGACACGTTTTAAACAGAAATACAAACAGAACAAGTTTTTGAGTCTCAATGCGACGTACTGCAGGCTTTCACCGAGTTTAACAAAAAAGATTTGACACTAAAACTGCATAAAAAATGTAAAATCTGATGCCAGTGAAACATGAAAAAGGCAGATAACAAAACCTCCTTCAGCCGTGTGACTGAAACACAAACATCCTTCAGCTGACAGAGTGATTTACAGGTTAGTAACACAGTTGGGTATAACAGGGGCTTTCAGAGAGACGGAGGCCCTGAATCAAACCGACCCTCCCCACCTCCACTCTAAAACGCAGCGCTCTCTGTTTGATGTCACGCCCACAGCTCAGTGAAGCTCCATTCATCAGGGTGGAGGGATCAGGTGCAGCTTCACACTTGAGACTCACTCCACTCACAGTCACAGGAAGTGGGGACTTTTAGTAACGGTGTTTACATGTCACAAAAGTAAGAGTCAGACTCACAGAAATCCCCCAAGATTACCAGAGATACTCACAGCCTGATCTGGGGACATTTCCTTATTGTGCAGAAATTTGTTTTGGAGCTGCTGTTTCAATTCTGCTGAATTTCTAAGAATAAAACACTGAAATATCCTGAAGACTGAAGAGGATTTTATACAAACATGTGACCGTTTTCTTCTGTGATCTTGATGACAGCAGTTCCTGTTTCTGTGGTTAATAATAAAGAACTGTCATTTATGGAGCATCTCCCATGATCGAGAGGAAACCCTATCACACCTGGTCTGCAGTCCTAGTGCAGACCAGCTTATGGAGGGTCTACAAACGGTAACTGAACTTTGTTTCTCTCTCCGTCTCTAGTTTTCACACAACATTCACACACGGATGGCAGAGGCTGCTGTGAACAGAGTCCATCATTTTATGACTAATCTGATCAAACCCCCGACCTTCTGTTAACAGCAGGTGATTCAGGGAGCCCGGGTCCAGAAGGTTCATATCTCTACACTCAGAGGTCTTACCGATCTGGTGATGAATTGCCCTCTCAGTCAGCAGCTGAGAGTCGTGAATCCTCTGAGCTCCAGACAGGATCTCCTCTCCCCTCATGAACATGTCGTATGAGTTGGAGTTTTTCTGAGCAGAAGCAGAAAAAAGGGGAAAATGTTCAGTTAGAGTCTGACAGACAAAACAGTGAGGACCTGATTCACTAAGAATCGCCATAAAAAAGGACTGAACTGCATGAACATTCATAAACACGTGTGTTTAGTGTGTTGCATGAATGACACCAGAAGCTGAAACCAGTGAGAAATTAAATGATGTTGGTAAAACAAGAGAGCGGATGAATCTTAGAGAACACAGCAGATCTGAAGGTCGAGAACTGAGGAAACGTCGGCCTACAGGTGTGTCCAAGTCAAAAAGACTTACAGGGTTGATGGGATCGGGCATCGTGTAGAAGGGTCTCACAGCCAGTGGGTATTTATCCAGCACATAGAAGTCAGTGTCATACTACGAACAAAGAAAAACAGTCACTCAATGTTCTGTTTTTGGATGAATTACAACAAATCACAGTTTTTACCTCCATTTTCTTTTACTCCTCAGGACAGACAGTTACGGTGATAAACCGTGTGATAACAGATTTTTATTTTTTACAATAAAAAAAAATATATATATATATTTCCTGCTGAAACACCGTTTAAGAACGAGTCATCCTGTTACTCTAATAAATGGTTTAAAAGCTGGACTTGTTTTCCACGGACCATACTGTAAAGGATATGAACAGCATGTAAGAGTGACTATAACCAAAAATAAACCGGCTACTATTAAGAACTTGTGTAAGAAAGTATGCACATGCAGGACATTTGTCTCGGTGTTTTGATGCAACAACAACAACAACAAAAACAACCAAATCACGCCATGCAGTCTTCATGTTTGACTCATTTTTTTTAAATACATCAAACGTACCTTTTCCTTAACGAGACGACCGAGCAGCTTCTCGTTGGGAGTACTACAGAAAAAAAAAAAACAGTGATTAGATGAAACCGCTAATTCTGTCTCAATGATTTACAACGTTTGTACGATCACAGGCATGCATGTGAAAATGATGAAGTAGGTGTTATTTTATCCTGCTGTACTCAGGCTCACTATGTGTGGATAACACATGAACCCTGTTCTGGTAAAATACTAAAGCATAAATGTACAGGAAACAGAACAATCCTCAGAATTTGATGAGCTCATCTGTGCGCTGTATGTTTTCAAAATAAAGTGAGTAATCGGTCTAATGTGCATGACTTCAAACCTCTGCTCAAATGGATGGATTTCTTTTTTCTTCTGAAAAATAAGCTGATGTGAAGCAGAAGGTCTGTGATGTTGTCAAACCTGAGGTCCTCCTCGTCACCCATCTGGACCCCGGCCTCACGCAGCATGGCCAAGGCCTCGGTGTACTCCAGTCTCAGAGTGGGCTCCAGGAACTTGAAAGGTTCACTTGGAAACTGCTTGTTCACCGTCTGGATCTCAGTCTGAAAGCTGATGGACATGAGCGTGAGCGTGCACGAGCACACACACACAAACACAAGCAAATGAAGATCTTCAGACCACAGATAAAATGAGTACAAGTGTGGAAGTCAGAACAGAGAGAAAACGCCGACACATCACCAACAGTGTCCACATGTCCAAATCTTACTTGTCTCTCAAGCCCTTGAAGATCTGCACCATGGTGTCAGTGATGGAGTCGATCACTTCATGGTAATGGTAGTTGAAAGCCATTTCAATATCGAGACCCACAAACTCAGTCAGGTGACGGTGGGTGTTGGAGTCTTCAGCCCTGAAAACTGGAATCACAGCGATTAAACACGTCATCGATGTCCGGAGAGGTCAGCAGGAGAAGAAGCGTCTCGACGAGAAGGGTCAGTCCGTTTACCGTCCAGCATCAACATTTCTCTTCGCCTAATGAAGTTTTTACTGTGTGCTGTAAACGTGAAAGGGCAAAGTCACCAGCAGACTCATTTCTGAGCGCAGCACTGGTGTAAATGGAACCATTAGAGGTTGATCTACACGTGCATGAAGAGTAGAGATCATCACATTTGGAGGTTTGTGTGTGTGTGTGTGTGTGTGTGTTAATTTCAACACCTTCTCACTGTTTTATAAATCAGTCTGACTAATTAAATCAGGATAATTTAGTCATCTTTCACTGTGTCGGTTGAATGTTGAATTTCTCAAGATTACTACTCCTTAAAAATCGACCATGACCTTCAGCCCTCCATGACCTCTAATGGCTGTACAAGGAAGCAATCGAAGACCTGATCCAGACAGGTGAATGCTGGGAATGTGAGTTCTTCTTAAAAACAGCGGCTTCCTGTATCCTGCATGTATTGAACAGGATGATTATTCCTGGTACCTTCAAAGTGAGTCTACATGAATTCCTATCATGTCTCATTTTCATGTAGGTTTACCGCAGCTCTAACCACAGTGGAGACGACAGGTGACAAACATGTCTGATCAACATGAAGGTTTCACTGAACAGTTACAGAGACACTCCTTACTGCTGTTTTCCTCTGAATCAAAGACACGAGGCCAGGAAACAGAGGAGACGCAGACTCACCTGGGCCAACACAGAAGACCTTGTCAAAATCTGCACAGATGCACATCTGCTTGTAGAGCTGGGGAGACTGGGCCAGGTAGGCGCTGGTTTTGAAGTAAGACACCGTGAAGACATTTGCTCCACCTTCACTGGCAGCTAGAAGGACATGAAGACATTAGATTCTACTGTCCAAGAGTTCAAATAAACATGAATATAAACACGAATACATGTTTGATAGAAACACCTGACACTGTGCCCACTCCGAATGAAACTGAGACTCATCATTTTGACAAATGTAGGCCAGAACAAACTCTGGATTTATATCACAGGTCCAGATTGGCTCCTTAAAGAAGCTGAAGCTCAGACTTTTCAACTGAAATAAGTCAGTTAATGTGATGAAAGATAAACCCTAATAAACAGGGACAGCTGTCAAGTACATTCTGAGTACATATTAAGGTCATATATAATACAATATTACATAAGACAAACATAACTTACATAACACATCTGTGGTTCTGTATTATAGAACAGACGTCAGAGGGCACTATCTATTTTTCACATCCTTAGTACAGGGCGGAGATTCACACAGAACAGACCGTTTGACTTGTGCAGTATGGGCGTTGGCAGGCAGGAAGATGCGGTTTTTGCAAAAGAACCCACAGTACTGAGCCACCTCATGCCGCCAAAATACAAGGAGTGGCAGTTTTTGAATTTAAGACTGTTTGGCTGTTTGATTGGTTGTTTTTTAGAGAAAAGAGGAAGATTGTGACAAGTTTCACAAGAGTTCATTTCAAAACCAAGAGGCTCAGAGGAGGTGAAAAACAAGGAGATTTGTGTTTGAGTTTCGAAACTTACTATCACAGTTTTGTTTGCCTCATCTGAACTTTACGTTGTTCCTAATTTCGATGGTAAACAATGATAAACCAGACAGGGTGTCAACCTTACAACTGTTACGCAATGACTCACATGTTACCTATGGGTGTGGATGTGGAAACAAACGCAACTCTTAAAATAACTCATAACAACGGCATCATTCATGTAAATCTCAGTATTCTCTTGGGGCAGGGGTAGTACAGCGGTGGGTGACTTTGTACCTGATATGATTTTAGGGGTCTGGATCTCCACAAAGCCCTTATTGGTGAGGGTGTCTCTGAAGAGCTGGCAGACTCCAGACTGCAGGCGAAAGATGGCCTGGCTGGTTGTAGTCTTCAGGGGGATATGCACATAAACGTAAAGAGAGGGGTCAAACAGAATCGTTAATTCATGGAGGTTTTACAAATATAAAAATGCAAACATCCCATCTGTCACATGAAGGTTTGTGTTACTGAAAGGACTGAATGTTAAAATCCTTGTAAGCCCATTTCTCTGGAGACGACGCTTCAGGCCTGTGTGGTCAAAACTTTCCTGTCTATTCCAACCACAATAATCTTTAAGACGGGAGCGGTAAAGCAGGTCAGGCGTGCTGGCCTCAGATCAGAGCTCCTGCAGCTTGTTTTTGTGTCTCATGCCCTGTAGCTGGTTGACCTGACTTTATACGATGTGAGAATTAGAAAGAAGCCCCCGCTTTTGGCACGTCTCTGGGGAGGAGACAGCCTCTTTGGTACATCCTGTTCACGGCTGGACCGTTTCCCATTATTTGCTGTGCTAACAGACACACAAACAGACATGCTCTCTCACACACAGATACACACAAACATGTTCTCACAAACACCTTCTTCACCACCACATTTACATATTTATATTCACAACAGAACTGAACTCTGCTCCTACACCACGCTGAGGTGTTAGATAATCATTGAGTCGAACTTCATGACCTCTGATCAGGACCTTACATCTGCCAGCTTTCTGTTTAATGTTTACAGTGTATTTATTCTGACTTTAGTCACATTTCAAGGCTTATTTGATCTATTTTTTATTGATTTTGGTGGATCAGTACCTTGAATTTAAGCCGCTATTGTGGAATGACTGTAAAAACAGGGATTAACACTCAGTATTCATACCTGGGCTTATTTGAATTCTACTTTTCAGCTGCAGGTCAAATTGAAATTTCCTACAACGACAGTTCAACTGGATCCTGTCTTAGTAATTTCTGCTGTCTGAAATGAGGGTGTGACGAGTGCAGCTTCTCTGCTTTTGTCTAGACAGAAAATCGCAGTATTATAGGAATGAGTAACCTCACACAAGTACCTCTGAAATACCGCTGGGTAACACAACTCAGATCAAGAAAAGAAGTTAACATAGGAGGGAACTCAATCATATCGACACGTGTAGTACCCATCCTAAAACAAAGACCAGAGGGTCAAACTCTGAGGACAAATGTGGGGTTAGCTTCTCCTTTATTTGCTGATGCCTGTTCAGTTCTGGTCCTTTAAGTGGGCTCTTCAGTCCAGACCTGATGAGAGAGCCGAGTAGGCCTGTCACGATAACAAATTTTGCTGGACGATAATTGTGCTACAAATTATCGCCGATAAACGATATTATTGACACCATTTTTTAAATTATAGATAATGATATTATATGGCATAATAATGCGAGTACACCATGTCAAAAGTGATAAACTTTAATTTCCACACGAGAACAACACTGGTTGTTTTCGTTGACTAAAATATTTCCCTTTTCTCCCACGACGAAGACGTAACGTTGACGAGCTAAACATAAGTCGGAGATGACTAAAATGTGACGAGACGAAAGTGCGTTTACGTTGATGGGACGAGACGAAAATGACGAACAGAGTTGCAAAACTCAGTCAGTTAAACGCTAAACATACAGGAGCAGCTTCAGTCCGCTCTGACAGCTCTCATCAGCCTGCTGTGCTCCTCCAACACACAGACACACACGCACGCACGCGCGCGCACACACACACGTGGAGTTTTGTGATTGACGAAAACAAAACTGGTTTAAAGCCGAAATATTCCCACACTTGGGCTGTTGCGTTCGGTTTAGACACCAAAGCTGTCGTGTTCATTCTGTTAGCTTGCTTTTCACTCACGACGCTCACTTGCAGCACTGTATCCAAAAAGTCTGTGTCTGTGTGCCTGTGCGCGCCAGCCCCCTCGTGACAAAGACACTGAATGACTGACAGGAGGGTTCACTAACTCCGTTCATTCCGCTGTAGAGCCAACGCCCCCAGGTGCCGAGAACAATGCGCAGAGTCAGACCTCTTCTCTCATCCAGCGTGTTTGGTAGCGAGAGAGGAGGAAAACAAACGCACGTCAATTATCGAGGCTGGCAAAGTTATCGACCTCGTTTTTATTTATCGAGCGATAAGGCGATTTATTGATTATCGCGACAGGCCTAGAGCCGAGTCTTTGTGTTCATGGTGCAGTGTCACAGAAACAGGAGCTACAGTCAGTTTAACGGGTAACCCTGCGCTGTGATGGTGGTGATGGTGATGGAGTATGAGATTAACACCAGGAACTTCTTGGTTTGGTCTCCGATGGCGCTTTCACAAACTCTCCGTACCGTGGGCCTCTTAAATCAGAGTCTCTCTCTCTTTTTATTTGAACACTGTTGTTTTTTGTTTTGCATATTCAGAACAGATGCTTTCAATTAAACATAAAAAGATGCAGATTTCTCCAAGAAGTGTTTTAAAAATATTCATTTCTTTATTGAATAAAACGCTCAAGATTAGATTAATTTAGTTATTGTTGTATTTCAACCATTAAGGATGCAGTCAAACATCACTGTTTAATAGAGGTGGCCTTCAAATAGGACATTTGCATCTTTTTGTATCTCACCACTCCTCAAACCTCCACCTTGAAGTTCAGGCCCTGATAATCATCTACATGGAGACAGAAAGTTTTCTGTGACAAACTTACCCTGAGATCGATCACCCTGTTGTCCAGCTTGGTGTCCTGGTTGACTGTGGCTCTGCTCTCCTGGAGGTCGACAGAAAACAGCTTCATATTAGCAAACGTGACGATTTATTGAGAACTTGATGTTTTTCAAATGTCATTATTAACCAATATCAACGTGCACATTAACAAGTATTATGCTTTATTCCCTTACTGTGGAGGTTGTACTAGGATTACTGTGTAGCAATGTGAAGTCATGTACTAGGCCTCCGGATGTAGCTGTTCTAGGATCAGTTTGTGGGTTTAACAGCATGATAACAGATCATTTGATTTTCTCTCTCAGACTGACATCACAAAGATCATCACAAGTGGGAGGTTGATGGAAATCTGTTGCAGTGACAGAACTTTACTCTTTGCACCCATCCCTTCAGTCATCCTCACCTCCTCCCCCTCTCCATCAGGCCTGACTGCATCTTCCAGCTGAAGGGGGAGACGAGGCTCCGCCTGGCTGATGACAAAAATCTGGCAGGAGGAAGAATCAGATCATTAAAACGCAGAAAGTGACAAACCACAAAAAAAAAACATTAAATGCTGAGACAACAGAAGGTAAGAGGAATGAATGTAAAGACTGACGGTTGTTCGACCCCATCTATATCTATTGTAACTGTTGGAGCTCGATGAAGTGACACCGGTGACCCGAAAGGTCCTGAGAGGTAAATGAGAATCTTAAACAAACTGGTGCAAAGACTAGGCCGACTAAACTGAGAGACATCAGAGAATTCAGGAAGCTAATTAAGAGTAAGTGTTATGAAGATGAGAAATAAATGAGCTTTTGTAAATTCTCCTCTCTTCTCACAGTCAAAGATGAGAAGAAAGACTCGGCTGTGGGGACCGACAGGTCAGGGATCCACAGCTTATCATACATGGACAATTTATAACGGTCCACGCCTGGCACTAGACTGTCGCTGGCGTTTCCCACAAAGTCGACAGCAGGCGATAGTAATGAGGGGACCGGATCTTTGAAGTTACTCGGTATGTCGTGTCCAATCACTGCTGTTACACAAGAGATCCAAGCGAGCGAGCTGGGAGTCTGTTTACCATGAGCTCTCTCGGGTTAAGTCTAATACTGAAACTGCTCCAGTCATCCATTACCAACATTTCATCAAACTCTATAAAATATTAAAGATAATAAGACCAGTCACACATTTATAATAAATTAGCTAAAGGAACAGAGAGCCGAGCTTTCAAAGCCATTCAGTTATGTATGTTATGGAGGTGGTTACATAGAGTCGATGCCAAGGATGACGGTTTCTAACAGTTCTTCTGACATGTGACCTCTTAACTACAGAGGACAACGAGACACTGAAGTCCAGATGAAACTGAAGGAGATTTTAAAGGAAGTGAGGCTGAAATCGGTCTGGTGAGGCTCGATACAAATACTTCTATAAACATCTGTTTTTACAAATAAAGTTATTTTTATTCTTGTGATCAAACTGCACATTGGACAGTCTGTCTGTTTGAATGTCCCTGTTGGGGGAATCAGCTCGGCCATTTCAAGGTGAGATATTTACACCTGTTACACACACAACCCCTACACTGTGAATGTGTAACACACAGAGGTGTGATAGTGGGGTGGAGCTGCTCTGCCTCTGATCAGACCACAGAGGTAGAAACAGAGGCAGGATGGAGAGAGGATGGGGACGTGTGGCATCTGAACCAGCTCGATAAACGGCACGGTGTCTAGACTTTCATCCTATTTAAAGACCGTTATCATCGATATCGATGAATCGGGACAGCTCTAATCTAAACATCTCCACTCTGCATAAATTCATAACACAACTTCACATGATAACCTGAAATCATAACCACTCTGAAGATGTCAAATTTAAGCCAAATTATCCAGAGTTACTTTTGCTGAAAAGCACGAAGGTACTGAACCGTCCAGACGCTGGATCAGAATAGTAATAATTATACGTGTTATCCATTCACAGCTAACCCAACAAGCTTAACTCAATGTGTGGAGAACACATAAGAAAACAGGACAAACATGCAGATCAATTTCAGCCCTCAGGGAAAGAGCACTTTGAGTAGATGGGAAGTCTACAAAATAAGAGACACTTCAACTGCAGTACTTTTGTATAAGTTCATCAGGACCCCAACAGGACTCAGGACTCTGATGCTGTGTTGACCGTTTTCTGCTGTACAGAGTAAATTATCATTATCTCTAAATCCTGTACTGTCCCTTTAAATATCAGACAGGCTGTTTTTGTTTCCCTCTAAAGATCTGGATGTTAACATTCATAAACTGCAGTTTGAAGGATACTCACCCTCTCGACATGGAGCTCCACGTCCTGCTGGGAACAGCTCTCAATCCTCATCTCCACCTTCCTCACCACTGCTTCCACATCCACGATGCTCTCCTTGGTGATGCTGGAGAAGACAGTCAGATAAAAGAGTTAAAAACAAATGACACTTTCATTCATCTGTAAAGGATGACATGTTTGAAACTCAAGCATTTTCTCCATGTTCAGAGACACAGGGCTGGGCTGACAGGAGGATTTTGACTGTAAACTCAGACACGGGGCTCAAATGTAGAACAGGTCATTTTCTCATCATTGACAGTTCAACCTCAGCTCCTGAATCCATGGAATTTAGTTTAACATTCATTCAACTACTGGATACTTCTGAGTGTTAGCAGACAGCATGGACAGGTTTACACTTTAATTCCATCATTCAACATTTAAAATGAACTTTTCAAGTATTTTTAATCTTATCGAGTTTGACAGCAAACATTTTTTAAAAGGAAACATTTTGTTAAAGACCCGATATGAGACTGTGGAGTTCAGACCCTCTTTGTGGGAACTATACTGCAGCAGTTTGACAGATTTACTGCTCCTCTCAGTAAAGATCATTAGAGAGATGAAACAGTAAATGTCTGGTCTTTCTTCGGTCTTACTGCCTGTTTTTTTTGGACTCTAAGACTATGATAGCTCTTACTTCAGAGGAGACTTGTTGATTACTGCTGTAATCTCTCCGTTGCTTAAGTTCCTTAAAATCCACAGCTATTAGCCAGGTTTTACACTCTGCGATGACTGTTGAGGTTGTTTTTCACTAATATGGACAGAAGTTTCCTCAAAGTGTGCTGCAGGAGTAGTACTGACAAAATTAGGATTATAAAATGCAGTTTGTAGTTGGGTTCCTGTGTTTATTATCTTTGTTTTCATGACGTCTCAGCTCAGGTGACTCTCATCAAAGCTTTTATGTCTTCCATGGATTTTTATTTGATTTATTATCGCTGATAAAGTCTCATTGGGACATGTAGTCTGGGTTTTGTTTTCCTGCTTAGAGCACTTTGTAAACTCTTGTTTTTAAAAGTGCAATATAAGTAATCTTCTTTCTTCTTATTATTAGAAATAAACCATTTGTTAAAGTTACTTTAAGTATTTCTTAAGGGTTAAAATCTGATTGTGAAGTGTAGTTAATACTCAGTCACCCACTGAAAAGATCAAGTTTCAGTCTGAAGAGGTGACATCAGGCCGCTTTAATAAAGTTCATCTCAGCTGATATCGGTCTTCATTCTGCTGAAATGACTAATGATGCTTCTTACACTTTTCTACCTCCTCTTTTCCGAGCCTCTGCGTCCGCCACCACAACAGGAACCAGACCATTACAATACTGCTGTATCCCACCCTTTTTTGGGGGGAGCCCACCCATTAACAGCCAGCTTTTGTTGACAAGGAGAAAATGATTGATTCCTCCAGCCTCGAGCTCACTCTGAATGTGTGAAAATGGATCAGCAGACGATAAGGGCCAAGGATTTTCCCACCATTGTTTGTGCCTTCCCTAACAGGAAGAGCATTACTGAAACTCACTTTGCTGCAAACTTGACCATCTGCTTGCTGGCACGGTCTCCCACTGCGACCAGTGCCTGCACGTTAAACTGCTGTTGACGCAGGACCAGGAAGCATTGTTTCCCTAAAAACAAGACAGAAACAATAAACAGACTTTAGCATCTTTGTTTTTATCAAAAAACAGAAAAAAACAAGCAGTCTGTGAAGACGTGGATGCTCCTTCATGACTGAAGATGAACCTCCAGCCCCCTCAGGATCCAACAGTTATCCAACAAAACCCATGTCAGGAGAAAAGTGGACCATTCAGGGTGAATGAAAGCGGCACAAACACAGCATATTAAGAAAGTACCAAATGTCTTTATTACTGAATGTCTTTATTTCTTTGTGAGCACAACGGCAGAGTAACAAGAAAACTGTGGAGTGATGGAGAAACTATTTCAGAAACGAATCTCTGACACATTATTTGATTTGCAGTTACCAGCTGAACGCAGCAGGAGAGGCTGGTGCTGCAGGTGTGATTACCAGGAGAAGACAAGCTGCTTTAAGAAAGTCAAAGTGTGCTGACAGCTGTGAAATTGTACAGTAATGACTGTTTCTTTCTTTTTTGAGTTTCTGAACCTTGAATCAAATCAGCCTGAAGACGATCATCTGTCCATTTTCTGGGTCATAGAGAATTTAAGAACCGATTGATGCAGCTGATGTTCCTGTTTCTCTCATTAAAAGAAGAAGTCAGATGGAAAAGGAGCCCGAGGGAAGGGTTTTAGGTTTAATCCATGAAGGATTAGCATTTGATCCTGGTTCTTCTTTCTCTAATGAGAAGTTAGTATGAGCTGAGAAAGGTGAACAAAGAGGAGGTTACCTCACCTTTGGCTCTGCTGGTGTGGACTCTGGCCCGCACCCAGATCAGTTGGTCGGCTTTCTCTGGAGTAAGGTCTTGGATGCGCACCAATTCTCTGTCTGGCTCAAACAAACACAAACAGATACACACCCACACACACACCCACACCCACACACACACACACACACACACACACACACACATTAATGTAGAACTTCAAAGGTTTTTAATGCGTCTCTTCTTCCACCTCTTGGCAAGACACCTCACTGAAAACTTTAAAGGAGCAGAGAAATGTGACTGAGTGTGTGTGTGTGTGTGTATGTGTGTGTGTGTGTGAGAAGATGAGCAGACAATAAAAATGCTCAGATTACAGATGTGCCTAAAAAATGAGACACAATAAGAAGCCTGCGGTAAACGTGTCTAACTCCCCCATTCTCTGTGGGCCGTATGACTAATTGACTCTCGTTTCACCTGTGTCACTCAGTGGCATGCTTTAACCTTATTAGCCAGCAGGAAGAGCAGACACAAAGGCTACACATATGAAAACAGAGCCGCCCCTTGGCTGGAAACTCTGGATCAGCCCACGTGAAAGATCTGAAACCATCAATCCCCACCCCCGCACCCAAAGTCATAAAGGGCCGGGTTTGGCATGCAAGTCAGGGCCCCACTTTGTTTTTTGCCATTTTAGCTCAAAGAGGAACTGGAAAGATGGATGGCTTCAATAACTCTGTCTTTTCTCTGGTACATCTGAGAGATTCAGCAGACTAACTGTCACTGCAGCTCCTTCTTCTCTCACTAATGAGTTTGATCAGAAATGATAGAGTTAGAACAGGCAGACCAAGGAGACGTGAAGATGTGTACACCCACAGTTTAACACCGAACAGTCGATGGAAACACTTTTAGAAAAGATCTGATTTGGTGCTCGTGTTTGGAGGACATTGTGTCACACTTGAGGACAAAATGAAAGTTACTGTTCAGTCGAGGACATTTATGTCACAACAAAGTAGATTTCAGACCTTCAGTTTGCTGTTGTTTGCTAACATTTCAAAAGAAGTTAGCACCCCTCTCTATAATTTTGCAGCTAAGAAACTGAGTTTGATTCTCAGTTTAATATTTGACACATTTACAGTGTCTGAGAAAACAGTTACGATTGAACTCGTCCATGAATGGAACTGTGGAGCTTAAGATGACCAACCATGGAAGTGGAGGGACAAGTTTTCAGCTGTAAAAATAAACAATTCATATGATGGGAACGACATCATCATAAAACAAACAAACAAACAAATGGTTCAATCACAATAATTAGTTGTGAGCATAATTACTCGATGAAACGTGGCGGGCATGTGTGTGACCACAGCCAATCAGAGTCGAGTTTTTCCTGCTCACTTCTGTAGGTTGCCGGAGAAGTAAACAGAACAACCGAACGTGGAGCTAAACGCTGAGCTGAGGGCAGCGAAACAGATGTCAGCCATGACTTTGAGTCATCCTCCAAAGATGTTATTGTTGAGAAGAAAAGTTACTCAACGTCAGCTGGGTGGTGGTTTAGGTGTCTCCAAAGTGACGTCGAGCAATGAGGCTGATGTGTAAGATACGGCGGCAGTTGGTGCCCTCAAAAACCGACAACACAACAGACCTGTGAAGTGATTTGAGGAAGTTCTTCCCCAGTGATGATGCAGAAAGCCTGAGAATGTGGGCGGAGTCTGTACGAGTAGCATTAGCAGTTTAGCTACAACTAGCAGTGCAGCCACCAGACTAAAGCAGCGATCAATCATATCATCTATGTTTACATCCCCTAATGTTCGATTTGTAAGGCGTCTTCATGATCCCTGAGGGGGGTTTGTTTATATTGGGTCTGTTATACCAGCAAAAACACTCAGGACTGTAAACTAGTTCACTGTATTATTTAGTATTTATCTACTTTTGTTGTACTGTTGAGTTAAAAACTTCAATCTTTTTTAAGTTTATTTTATTTGCTTTGTTATTTTCTTTGTATGTTAATGAAATGTTGAAATATTCTCTAGTTTCTTTAGTGTTTAGTACAGATGCTTTAAAACTGGCATTTTAAAAACAACCATGATGATAATCGAGATCAGACGATATGACGAAATACATCGTGATCTTAGGGAGCCTAGTTTGGAGCGCTGTGCTCTTTGGTGATGAACCAATGGTGTTTTGTAAACTCTGCCTCACTGATGACTCTGGATGTTGTAAACTAAGTGTTGTATTGTAACCTACACACATCATCACATGCCAGTTTTTAAAAAAGATCATTTCTGACACTGGGACTCCAACACTACACTGTTAAGGGATCAGTGTTTCAGGTCATGATGACGGTGGAGCCACCCTCTCTCCTATCTCCTGTCATTATAACAGAGTGATGTGAGCAGCCTCCATACTAACCCAGCTTTTGTTGGGACTGGACCATAGCTGATACTCCATACCGGTCCTTGGCGAAGTCCTGAAAGAATAAATGAAAGGGATTTAAGCAGCTGAGATCAGATATTTCATTAGACAAATAAAACATTTAACTGCTTTAAGGGCCGGAAAATCAACCCTCTATGATTGTCTAAGGCAGCCACCTGGATTTCATGAGCATCTGTCTGACAGAGAGACTAAACAGAGACCCATGAAAACAACAGAGAAAAAAGGTCAACAATAACATCCTGTTCAGTCTGCTGAAATCCACGCACACACACACACACATTATGTAAGTTGATAAAGGCAGAGCGACTGAGTCATAAGCCGTGTTTGCGTCTCGTGTTGTCATTTCAAGGTGTGATATTTACGCCCCTGTTATGTCTCAATTTTAGTGGATGGGATGGTGGTCAAACACAGCTGTGGGTGCTCTGTGTGTGTAAGCTCATGTTTCTGCAATACTATGATTTAAAGTGAACTCACACTGGGACACGTTTATCACGCTGCAGCAGGATCAAAATGAAAACTCAGCAGCGTGATGACGGAGTTACAGCGCTGTTTCCAGCTCAGTATGAACTACAGATGGACAGAGAGGGAAGTGGATGACAAACTACTTACTTCTTCCTCTGTGGTCTGCTGCTCAGCTGCCTGAAAAAACAAAAGAGTCACACATTTAGACAGTCCTCTGAGAGGGATCAACGAACTTTAAACATCAAAATGTCCAAATCTGTCAAAGTTTGTGCTACCAGGGCTCTACACATGCTCTCAACAACACAGACAATAAGTACAGGCAGCAGCAGAAGTAGGTTTTCATTTATAACAAGATTCTTGAGTTTTCACTGACTTCTAGGTTTGTAAAAAAAGGTCCTCATCTTTGTCGAATAAGGCGTCTGCTGTTACTGAGGTGTGTGAAGATTCATTTGGATTTGCTGTGCCTTAAAATACAGTCTGAGCCGTGGTGCACCGAGAAGTCAAAAAGCTGCACAAGTATCCAGGTGATCAGTGAATTCAGGTATTTCACTGATGCTTAGGAGGAGAAAAAATGCAGCTAAAACTGGGGGAAACATTATTTTCTACTTCAATCAATCAATCAAATCAATCAAATTTTATTTATATAGCACTTTACAATATCCCAAATGGTACCCAAAGTGCTTTACATAAAAGCAATAAAATAACACAAGAAAAACTTGATGTGATCTGTGCCGCTGGTTTCAAAGAGTACGATGAAATGAAATTATCTCGTGTAGACAGAGCCGGTCAGCTGATTTCAGGTTTAAGGGTTTAGTTTTTGTTTATGTTGGTTTACATTTTTAACTCAAACCTGCTACTTCACCAGACTATGAGAGGTCAAAAGGTCTGAGGAAGGACCTCGAGTCTCCTACAGTCATGATGGGAATCATTACTAACTGAAATTGCACTTTTACCCTTTAATAAGTGAAGCATTGATTTGTTTTTGTTGTTGTCCATTATCAGGTATAAATGTGTTCATGAGAAGATTGTTAAATATGTGTCTCTGGCTGGTTTATGTGGTTGTGCTTACTCAGCTTTAATTAAAGTCTGTGAATCTGGAAATAAAGCTGCGAACATGTTTTGCACTGAGTTGTTTTTTTAGTTTCACATGAAGGTAAAAATATGGGTCTCCTTTAACAATGGTCCCCTTTGTCCCTGTTGCAGCTAACCGACCCCATCGGACCAACAGTACCCACCCGAGCTGTATGGCACGGCTTTAACAGCCCTGAGAGGGAAGTGACGGATACGACAACAAAAGAGAGGAATAAACACTGACCAGCTTGGTCTGTTTTTCAGCCTTCTTTGCAGCTTTTTCAGCCTCCTTCTGCTGTTTCTTCAGGGCTTTCTTTGACTGGGCTTGCTGCTCCTCCTCCATCGCTCTACAGCAGGAAGAGACAAAAAAAAAACACAAAAAAAAAACATTTTTGTCAGCTTCCACCTACTATTTTTCATGCTTCCCATCGGACATTTGTGACTTCCTGGGAATATTTATTGTCAGCTATTGCCAACACAGGATTTTCGGTCTTTGATACTTAATGCCATTGTTACTTCAAAAACAAGCCTGGCCTTGTAAAAGTCGTGATGACAGAGTGGAGCAGAAAACAGGTCAGAATGTGAGATAAAGAGTAAAACTCTGAGGAGACAGGACCACAAGTCTTTGTGATTTAGTCTAGTCTAGTTTGTAAATATAGAGAATATGTGAAAAACACATTTATCTACACATGATAACATTGACTCTCAAATAAGCTAAAGTGTCTTTCATTTACACACAATCATAATAATAAAAATAACTTCATTTATACAAAAACCTTTAAATAACAAAGTTGTTTGACGGAAAAAACAGAGTAAATATCAATTATGACAGCAGAGGAGAAATAAATCAATAACTCATAAAGAGGACAAAACAAACAAGGAAAAGAAAGAAAAGGAAAGTAAATGTGTTCAAAGACAGAACAGGAGAGGACCAAATGAAGACTTACAAACAGACAGCCAAAAAAAAGCATAAAAGTACAAGTTCTTCAATAAAGGATAATTCGTTAAAGTTGAAAAGTCAGTAAAAGGTAAATCCATTTAAAAGCAAGTCTGTAAAAGTGAGTTTTCAGACGTCTGTGATCCTGCACTCCTTCTCTCCTCAGGAAGGTCGTTTAAGAGTCGAGGGGCTCTGATAGAAAAACCTCAATCTGCTCTGGATTTGAGCCTCGACTTTGGAACGACCAGCAGGGCTCTCAGACGACAGGACGGCTCAGATGGTGTCAACATGTCTATAATATAACTCCTGACAGGACCCAAACTAGCAAGTGATCGGTAAATTCTTAAAATCAATTCTGAAATGCAAAAGGAGGAAAGGAAAGTGGTGATGTGATGGTGTTGGTTAAAACCTGTAAGAAGCTGAGCTGTAGGAGGCCAGAGAGAGATTTGTGAGAGGAGGGGGTTCGAGTAATTTAACAGAGAGACGATGACAGCATGAAGGACTTTTCCAGGTTTACTCGGGACCCAGCAGAAATGATCATGACGCTTTTTTATTCATCTTGAACCTTAAGAGTGACGAGGATTACGGCCACTGAAATAACAACAACAAAAAAAGGGTCCAATGTAATTTTTTAAAATAATTATTCTGAGATTAAAGTCTGAATTCGGCCTTTTTTCTCTGAACTGTGACGTCTTTGACAGCTGTGACGTGTTTTATGCTGAATTTTATCGTCTTCCATCCACTTAAGAACAACTTCTGTAAAATTCACCCGATCACGTCACGCTTACAGAGACAGCTGGGCCGAGAGCTTGGCTGCCCATCGGCAAACGTACAAACACATATTCACATACAGTCATTAAGTTGAACAGAGCAGCACATTACCCACTGGTGACGGATGTAAACACATTTAATCATCTGGAAACTTCATGAAAGAATTAAGAAGCACAAAGAAACAGAAAGTTATGAATCCCTACTTCAGTGCAGGAAGAGGTGATATCAAATATCCTGAGCCAAAGATGGAGAGAGAGATAATAGCTGTAATTAAACAGGTGGTTTAGTCTGTAAAGAGTCCGACCTTCGCACTTATCAAAAGGTTTCAGTGGTTAATGTTGTAAAAGTGTTCAGAGATTACAGGTAATCGGTTGTCGGGTTTTTCCATGACCAGGTATCTGGACTTACAGGAGGCCTGTGGGGATTTTGACAGTGAACATTTGCCCACACAGGTCTGAAAGCAGACCACAGATACGAATGAAGCCTACAAGTCTGAAGATGTCTGTGTAGGTTCAGGTCATTGAAAAGGAAACTGGACTTCAGACCTCAAACAAGTCCAGTTACTCTTTCAATAAAGATTTAGGTTTTCAGTTTCATGAATATTAGGAAACTTACAACAACTTTAGACATATTTAACTTAAACCAAAGACTTCCATAACTAATCCATCATCTTCAGTATCTACGAAGTACGTATTTACATTTACTCACAGTCTTTTTGTAACACTGACTTTATCTTCTTTCACAAGTTTATCTTAGAAAAAAAGGAGATTTAACTCACATCAGATCTGAAAACAATCCTCTGTATGAAGTTATAACTATCTTATAGGAGCTCTCTCTCTCTTTATCTGACAGGTTATTCCTTTTATTTGATAAGAAATGAAACTGATAAAAACACACACATTTACAGACATGGAAAACTGTCCAGCAGCTTCTCTTCAACTTTAGCATTTCTGAGAACAAACTCTGCAGTTTGACAGGATATTTTACAGTTTAGTTAAACCTATATCTGAGGGTAAACTCTGTAAACAGGCAGCTCTACATGTATTAAAGTTTAGTTTCTCTGTGAAACAGGTCGATCTTCTTCTGCTGATGCAATCTTCTCCATGATCCGGTAATGCTAACTGAAGCTAACAGAGCTCTGACTGCCGTTTAACGTTCATTAATGACATGCAGACTTTGACTTCGTTCTTACCCCTGGACTGTGTCTTTAGTCATGACGAACTGTTTTCTCGGACACTGAAGAAAGAAAGTTTCTTTACTTTCTGACAGAGGAGACACATCAGCTGTTCACAGCATGGAGACGGACAGGAAAGACCTGTTTGGACGGGGCACAAATACCGGAAGCTGAGCGTCCGGCTAGAAACCAATGACAGAAGTGTAGATCCGACTATGGATCCGACTCGTTTATTTTGGTGGGTGTCCTAAAGTATGGAGTCAGGGGTTTGGGAATATCAATGGTAAAGTGATTTAACTTTAACACAAATGTAACTAAGGCTATGAAGATAATTATATACTCTTACAGTATGTAATCCCAGCAGTGATTAAAAAAGTGATTAAAGGAATTAAAAGGTTTATTCATTATTTGAAAACGGCTGTAATTGGCATTTGAAGTTTACAAGGGCAGAAAAAGATTTTTTGTTATTTTGGTTTGTTTTGTTTGATTGTTTTTTTTTTAATTAGAATAATCATAAGAAACATTTTACAAGGATGTTTTTGGTATGATTACCATCTTATGATCAGGCCTGTGGCTTTTATTTTTAAAAAAAAGTACATTTCTAATAAAAAATTGATTTTAAGTTTTCATTCAAAGGGATTGGCGAATGCTCAGGTTGTGTACCGTGAGAGCCACATTGGCTCTAACTACAGCTTAAAGGGGGTCATTACACCTAAAACATATTTTCCCTAAATTTTGAAGGTAAAAGCTTAGATCTATTAGGTATAAATAGAAAAAGCATTAAAAAGATGTTAGGATTAAAGCGTATGACAAATATGTGGTCATAATGGGAGTCAATTGGCCAAATTTGGCCACGAGTTTAACAAGTGTCGGTGTGATGCAAATCTCCTATTCTAAACACTTCCAGTAGACCGGCTTTTGGAATTAAGGAAATAAAAATGAAAGAAAAAGTGCCAAAATCTCATACAGCTCACCTTTAAACTGGCCGAGTTACTGAGAGAAGAACAACAACAACAACAAAAAAAACACCCAAAATGTCAATTTTTGTCCCCGAGATGCTCCGAGGGTTAAACCTCTTATTTATGGGGTTACTGCACCCAAACACTAAATCTCAAATACTGTGTGAGTAAACCAGACGGTGGTCTCAGGTTACAGACAGGAACTTCAAATACTGTCAAAATCATCAGCTTTGGTCCTTACAGATAGAACATCTCTACCAGAACTCACACAAAACGTTTTTTGATCATATTATCAATACTTTGATACTTGTTTCCAATAATGATGAAGTTAAATTTAAGGTGTGGAAAAATGTTTTGCAGAAATTATATTGAAGGCAGAGGCGATACCCTGATTATATCTGAGACAGTCTAATGTAATTCTTTAAGAGGACATGAGAACATTGTGTGTTCTTATAGAAGTACACTATTCTGTGGGCTTAGCGTTAGAAGAATGACCATTTTTGTGGCGATACAGGCTGAATAATTGTCTATAACATACGTTCTCCATCACTCATGTTGTTCTGCAGGTAATGGTTGAAAAGTCTAATAACGTCCCAACAGTTGAATAAAGATGATGAACTTCAAAATAGTACAAACCTGGAGAACAGATTATCATGTGCAGAGACAACAGACAGTGTATGCTAATTCTGAGAAACATGAGACATTTCCAACTGAAAAGGCGTCTTTTGTCTCCGTCCCATCTCACTGGAGGGGACCTGAGCCTCGAATGTTCATTCACCTTGTGGCTGGATGGGGACACTTCACACCTTTTGTTTTGCGTGTAAGAACATGGTAATGTTGAGCCTCTATCGTCCTGGTTGGAAGGACTACAGAGTGGGTGGCTGCCCAGAATTGCATATGACTCTAGGACATCTATTGTTGCCCATTTCCTTCTCCTTCAGTCTCCACAACCACCCAGAGTCACACACTCAAACCTGCAGAAAGATCAGTCTGTTTCAGATCTGACATTAGTTTTGTTTGTTTTAACTGGTCACTGAGTATTCCTGCATATTTTGTGCTGATAACGCGATTTTTCTACATGTTTGTGTTTAATGTTTTATAACTGCAGGTCTAACAAATAAACAGTTCTGTGATTGTTCAGGACATGATGGGTGCTCGCTGTGAAAAAGGATTTCAGCCCTGTGTCCTGGTACCTTAAGATGTTAAAGCCAACAGATGTTCTGGTAATTACAGGGTCACTCAGTTAAGTCACCTTCTGTTATTTGGCCTGATCAGGCAGAATCATTAGTTAAGACACCTTTTGTTACACAGACACACACACACTCTCACACACGCACACATCCTAAAGGAAGAAGCAGCAAATAAAACAAAATGTTTTCATTTCCATGAATTTATTTCTTTGCATGAGAACAAAATAACTGTAAAAAGGCAGCATGCATTTTCTTTATCAAAACTTACAGTGTCAACGACTGAAAATAAATAAAAGCTTTTACGTAACCCACACAACTTAAGTGCAAACACACAAATGCTATCAGACTATTTACAGGTTTTGAAGAGCAGACACACATCCATGAGAAAACAGCATCCAGGCCTTGAATGAGCAACACAGTATTTTACATCACAGATGGGGAGGGTTAAAACTCTTTACACAATGTAGATCCTCCAGCATGAAGCTTCAGTCGGTTTATTTCTTTGGAGACCAAAGTCAGAGGTCCTGAGTTCAACTTTTAACTGGACAAAACACTTGAGGATTCAGACTCAGTGGAGACGGATGAGATCGGTCCTCTCTTCTTTGTCATGAGATTCACTTTCTGACTTGATCTGCTGCTGACTGTTAGCGCGCTCCTCGCTGATTTCTTGAACTTTACTCCCAGGAAGGCATAGAGGATGGGATTCAGACAGCAGTGAAAATAGGCTAATGCCTCAGTGATAGATATCCACTTCTCCACAGCCTGCTGCAGTTCACAAGATGAGGATACCACGTTCAGCATTATGAGGTTATCCAAGAAGATGCCGATGCAATAGGGCAGCCAGCAAGAAAAAAAACACAAGATGAGGATGACCGTTGTTTTCAACGCTTTCTTCTTTAGGGCCTGCCCCTTGGTGCCCTCCGACAGCTTGGCGATTATGATGCAGTAACATATGAGGATAACCAGGCCAGGAAGTATGAAGCCCACCAGGATGTGCTGGAAACGAAAAACAACTGTCCATATAAGACTGGTTTCCTGTGGGTAGATGCGCTGGCAGATTATTCTGGAGTCTGCAATTCCCATGCCTTCATCTGTGAGGAGGAAGTTTGAAGACCCCGTGTCTCGCACCCTTGCAAACACCAGGTCAGGTACAGTCAGCACAGCTGCAGGCAGCCAGACACCCACATAGATCACTTTGCTTGCAAGTAGCTTTCTTGTGGGTTGGCTGTTGGTGGCCCTAACAACTGCCAGGTACCGGTCTAGACTGATGAAAGCCAGGATCAGCACGCTGCTGTACAGGTTGATTGTGTAAATCAAGTGCACAAACACACAGAGAAAGCCCCTAAAGTACCAGGAGCTGGCAGCGTCCACCGCCCAGAACGGCAGCGTGAGAACAAACATCAGGTCAGCAACAGAGAGGTGCAGACGGTACTTGTCGGTCATTGTTTTGACTTTCTTCTGATAGCCGATAACAAGCAGGACCAACCCATTACCGATCACACCCAGGACGAATATAATCCCATAGACGGTGGGCAGGAAGATCTTGTTGAAGTTGCTGCTGAGTGCACTTCCACACGGCTCCAAGAAGTCCATGTCAAAGTCCCCAGACTCCTCTGAACCATTGTCAGTGTTGTTGTCAAACAGGTCAAATAGTATGGACTGAAAGGAAAAGACAGAAAGAGTTCAGAATAGAATAATAATCTGATTTTCTATAAACAGATTTTACATCAGGCTATTGCAATGACCACTGTTGATATATTAGATTTACATCTCAGCAGTAAAATCACATAAACTTACTGTAAACACGGACATGTGAGGTTTACAGGAGAATCTAAGTGATAAACAGTGATGATGAAAACAGACTCACCTCCATGTTAATCGCACGTTGGTCATGTATCGTCCGGGAGAGCGCGTGCTCAGGTTTGAAACTGCATGATCAGTGACGTGATGAGAGCAGGATCGTGTTTAAGTACCCCGCACTGAGACCCCTCCCCTGTCAGGAGGGAGGAGGAGGAGGAGGTGCGCTGCTCTCTGAGAAACGGCTGAACTGGACTGCTGCTCCGGGGTGGAGGAGGTGGAGGTGTGGGTGGGCAGGCTGTGATACTTCTGTCCGGCTATAAAAGTCAAATGTAGAAAATGTAGACATGCGGGAGACGCTGCTCCGGGACAAACTTTGGTCTCACAGTTTAAAAATGTCCGCTCTGATTTAATTAACAAACACTTGAATTTACTCTTTACTTAAATAAAGTACATTTTTGCTTTCAAAACTCAACTCAACTTTATATGTAAAGCACTTTAAAACAACCACAGCTGAACGGAGTGCTGAACATAAATAGACAAAACAATGCAAACATAAAAAAGCAATCAAAAAACAACTAAAACAGTGGATAAAATAAAAGAAGGTATTAAGAATTAAAATATAGTTTCAATGTTTTTAAAAACTAATTTTAAAACATAGAAACAAAAAACTAAAAACAAACCATAAAATACTAAAACGTGCAGGGTTGAAAGCCAATGAATATAAATAATAGTTTTTAAATAAAAATCTTCTCTGAATTAGAAGTACTTTGTGATGAAATGATAGTTTAGGGGAAAACAATATTCACAGTTTAAAACAGAAAATAATATTTTTCCAACTGGGGAAATTCCACCAGCTGACCGGGAATCACCCAGTTTGACAGGCTCTGATGAAGCTGTGAGAACTCTGACTTTGAAATGCAAAGCTCAAAGATCCAAAGGGAATTAAAAGCCTATTTTGTGAAGCTCCTCTTTTATCCTCTTCTAAGGTTTAATGATAAATTAGATTTTCTGATCTCATCAATAAACAGACTCATATTTTGATCTGGTTCAACAATATATTTAGATACAGAGGTCTTCTCACAGCCCTGTATTTCACTTTCGTGTTTGTTGACATTTTTAAAGATCAAATCCAAATTTGGCTCTTGTTATATTCAGGTTTCACTTCTATTCACTTAAGTGCTAAAACACACCCAGAAGATCTGAGAGTAACCACAAACCCTGAACATCCTTTTTTGGCTTGACCAAACCTCTGTTGTAATTCTGCGAGTAACTTATCACTGAGTTACTGCTGAAACTGAATATCTACCATTCAGCATGTTGACTTTTTCATTTAGTAGATTTGAGCCAAAGTGCTGATGTTCATAACTGGACTGGGTGGTCATCATTAATACTGAAAGTTAAAAAAAAAACACTCTTCAAACATCAGTAAACTACCAAGAAAAAAACCTTTATCTGGGTACAGTACCCTTATATGCATTGATGCCCGCGAAGGTGTTCATGCATTTTACAATGAGTCACAAATTTTGTTTTTATCTGAGTCACAGAGAACAAAAAACAAGATATGATCACCTGAATTTTTTCATGAGCAGAACCTTAAAGCCTCAAAAAACACAAGCAAAATCACGCACAAACACAAAAAAACAAGACTCTAAGGACAGCTGGGCAACAAACTGCAGACACTAATGCGTTCTTCTGTAGTTTATAAATGGGTTAATTAAAATGGCTGTCTGATCAGCTGTGCTCTGCATTTGGAGATGACTTGAAACAGACTTTAAACATTTAGACCTGATCATAATAAACAAAGTTTTGTTTTCTCCTCCTAACCGCTGTATTATGTTAAAGTCTGAACCCTCTCATCTGTCAAACTCTCAGTGCAGGAACACCTGACCAGTAATTGATAAATGAAGGCATGGCAAAAAAAAAAAAGGAGGAGTTTGATTATGTTTTAATGACAAAGTTTAATTAAACATCCATGACCCTCTAATATGTCAGCTGATATGGGATGATATGAAGCTGATTTTTTTACCGATTTGCAGGCAGAGCAATGATCAATCACTTCTTTCGTCAGACCTTTTAATGTGTCAGGACTCTGAGTGTACACACACAGGTACTCCTTCATATTTGACCAAGAACTTCTTATTTAAAAAGGAGCTTTTTGACTTAAGCAGGAAATCTTCAGCCCCCACTGTAAGGTTTTGAATGCTATCAGTCTGGAATACAAAAGGTTTTTGAGCCACTTAGAATACAAATGACTACAAGTGTGAACGACAGCAAAGGGGGCTCTTTAGTGAAGAATAGCTATTGAAATGAAGGAGAGGAATGCCAGTGAGATAAAGACAAGAATGAGCAGTGCTGTTCAGTCAACATCAGCCGGTCCTAACTCATCCCAAGTTAATTTTTATAGTGATACCTTTGTTCAAAACTCCCTTCCCTTTCTTCCAGCAGGATTAATCACACCAGAAAACAAAACCTGGTCTTCCTTATTAAAGTTTTCTTAAAGTGAGACTTTTTTTTAACTTTAAAGAAAGTTTCTAGGTCACTCGAATACCCGCAGTAAACCGTCTGCCCTCTGAATGGTGGGTTGTGTGTTACAAGTCAGAACATACTCAGAACAATATCCTGACGACACATCTGCTCTATTGTGAGTCAAAGAATGGAAGACGGTGTGTGTGTGTGTGTGTGTGTGTTGTGGATAGGGTGGGTTAAGGTGTGAAGTTTGTTGTCTTGTATGACGTAAGAGGATATAACTGTCTAAATGTTTGTTATTCTGTTATTCTCCTGCATTATCTTTAGGCAAAGGTTCATTTTTGTCGTTAAAAAAAAAGAGTATATGATCAGTACCTCATCTTCTCTGATCACGTTTGTTGGGCAGAATGAAATAAACTTCACTGATAAACACAAAACACCAGATTGTGGCGCAAAGTTGTCATGTTTCCCAACACACTATAAAAACACACTTCAAGCGTGTTTGTGTGTGTGTTTCTGTGGCAACGATCCACTGGAAAAATCAGGAAACCACTAGATCTGTTGAGAAATGTAACTTGTTGAGCAAAGTGAATGGAAAGGGTGTTCATGATAAAGCAACTCTTTCCTCTCTAACCGACGTCTACATTGTGGTTTTGAGTAATAACACAGGAGCCTCAAATTTATCCGTGTCTCGTGCATCTGCTGTATGCGCACCATGCAGCCCAGCTGACTACAATGATTTCAATGTTCTCATTTGCATGAACTATTGTGTTTTTAATTGGAAGCTGAAGTAAATTCTGTTACAAAGTTACTGTTTTGCTCGGACTCAGAAAGACCCCTGTGTTGGATTTGAAACAGAAGATCTCAGCAAGTGTTCTTTCAGGGTTTTTGGCAGGCGGGGGTCCCTCCATCTGGCACTTTTGTATGGTAGAGGGGGCTCCAATACAAACAGAGACCTGGCTCAGTTTTGATCACCTCAGATAACAGGCACAATAGGTTTGATTACAGCAGATAAGAGGTTATTGGAGTCCAGAGACCACAGGAGAGAAAGAGGGACTAAACAAGCTCCAGGTCAAGACCACCTCAACTAAATAATGTCAGTGTTGCAGTTTCAAAATCTCTACTAGAGTTAACACAGCAGAGCGGGCACTTTGGTTTTAGTGCTAGTTTATAGAACCACTCACCATGAGAGTACAGGCTTCATCCATTATTCGTAATCTTAAATGGGAGCAGAGAAACCACGTACATTAAGACGGATGTGTCTGACAACTAACATATGGCTCACTGGACTTCAATCTGCTGAGGTGGTAAAGTAAAGCGCCCAGAACCAGACCAGAATATCAAAATAAAGCGCCGGTGGAAGACCATGTGTGTGTGTGATGGCCAGGGGAATGTTTTTGCCACACCTCCTCAGGGCCTCTTTGTCTGAAAGATGACACCATCTCCACTCACAGCCTAAAGCTAAAAGAAAACACTCTCAGGCTTTATTTCACTCTTTTCACAGGGAAAGACTTCAGTTTGAAAAATCTGTTCGTTTCTTCAAATCAACAAAAACTGTTTTGACTGACTAGTGATATTACTAAGATGGAGCCTCATGTAAAGACGTCACAATAATATGCTGCCTTTCCATATTACAAACAAAAAAGGGGTGTCATTGAAGACTTAATACCGCTGCCCTGAGACAGATCCCCTGATACACAGTCCCTGTTAAACCCTGTTTCTGGCTTCAGTAGTTCCCCTGCTGAATTCATCCCACCATTACGTCTCCAGGACATTTACATTAAAAGCAAGACCTCATAGGGGTTTACAAGTCCCACCTTAAACTGGCAACATAAGAAAGACTCCATCTCAGTCATCCATCTGCATGACTTTAGAAGGAGTGATGCCATACAGATGAAGTCAGCCTCAGAGCATGAAACCTGCCTTTAAAACATGTGAAGTGGATGATAGATGGAGCACGGCTCTGTTAATGAACTGAGATTCAAACCTACACATGATCACAACACATGATCACACTTATTACTGAGTTTAATAAAGACAATTTCACAGATTTAAACATACAAATTAAAACAAACAAACTGGTCCCTCTTTAAAATATAAGCATGCTCGTACCATCATCATTTCACTGAACATGATCATTCACAAAAGGTGGACTAGACCTCTGCAGGATTGTCCCTGGCCTGCTTGTTTATCGTTCACATTAAATTGACCATTTCCATCGACTGTCACATCAAGTCTGCTGCAAGGATGTGAATTAATGCAGGTTGTTCGGTCTAATGGTGATGCAGGACATGCACTTCGATATGCTGTGACCTGTGGTGGCCAGAGAGGAGAGCGCCTGACAGGGACCTGACAAAATCAGAGACATATTTTTCTGTCCTGCTTGAAACCATTTGAGTTTCATACATTTTGAAGTTATACGTGAAGGAAAGTTTTGAATATGTCCTGATTTTACCACTGGGCTCCATGTCTGAACATTTACAGACATTACAGAAGTCTGTGTGAGCGCAGCAGGTAAAAGTCAGGAGAAATTATCACAAAGATGAGGTTCCCGCTGAACAGTGTGTTTAATTTTTGCAGAATTATCCTTTTACAGAATATAGTTCTATAAGCACAAAGGCAGTCATGATCAGGTTCAGCAGACTACACCGATACCAACAACTGTAAAACTCTGAGCTCAGCGATGGTTTGGAGGACTCTCTTCAGTGAAACCCCCAGACAGCAGTTACTCAATTATGGGATGCCTCCCTGTCAAAGGGCACAGACAGCTGCTGTCACACTCAAAATTAAATCAATGTCTGATCCATCTTAGGTCTCTTGCCTTCAAAGCAGCGTTGTATGTTTTAGAGCTACTCTCTGCAGCGTCCACAGGCTGCATGCATGGTAAAATAGAATTAAAGAGGGTCCCTCAGTCTCCCCGGTGCTTTTTCATGTTGTTCAGAGAGTGTGTCACTATAGTCTGCATGTGGCATAATTAAAACAAAAACTATCCTGTAGAGTCTAAGATTCAAAAAGAAAGCTGATTGCTTTGTTGTGGGTCTGCAACATTTATATTCCAGTTTTGTCTCACACCTTCGAGGGAGCTGATGTGATTTCTCTGACAGTCCCCCTCAGACTCCTCACAGCCATGAAAACCTTCTGCTGTTGTTCGGATTTGTTGGCTGAATTTCGAACCACATACTCTGATCATCATTTTCTATACTGCGGTTTATAAGTTATGAACTTAATGAACTTTTGCTATGTTTGCTGAAAACGTTAGTTTTGAGAGAGAAAGAAAGAGAGAGAGATTTAGGGGCCATGAGCTTCTGCCTCCTGGCTTTAACTTCACACCGAAGAACCCATTCTCTCCCATCTAACCCTAAGCCAAATTGAATAATTACTACACCCTAAACATTAATTATGTTCCTCTCAGATTACAGCCCAGGTTTGGGGGAATTACAACAGAGCAGAGAGTAGGCGCTTGTTTCTTTGTCTCTTGGAAGCAGCAGGATACTGTATATAACATTGTTGAAGGACTGTTCCAAGGAAATTTGATCCGTTTTTTTGATTTATGCAGTTTATTTGACTCAAGGCATGTTTCCACAGGTACCATGGCATTTAATGTCAAGGGGAGCAAACAGGCTTTCAACAGACTGAACCTGTAACATGAGCTCACACACCTTTCTGTTGTTCAGCCTCATTCTCAGTGTTACTAATCTAGCATTGTCTGCGTGTGTGTGTGTGTGTGTGTGTGTGTGTGTGTGTGTGTGTGTGTGTGTGTGTGTGTGTGTGTGTGTATGTGTGTGTGTGTGTGGCACATGTTTTTTGTTATGGGTGCTGTACTGTTGTGTAAGATTAAAGACTGGAATACCAGTATTAGTGCGTTCTGTTTGGTCTTGTGAATCAGACAGCATAATAGCAGAGCTTGGTTACTGCACTGTTGCAAAGTCCCTGGGGAAAAAGGTTTGGGACTTGAGAGTAGATCTGTGATGTGTTTTTGTAGAGGAAAGGATAAAATAACAGTTATAGTGCAGAGAGAGAGAGAGAGAGAGAGAAAAACAGCCTGCTTGTGTCAGACTATCCCAGAAACAGGGTGAACTGTAAATGAACCTGTATCTTCCTGCTGTTGTCTGGCTGCTTCTTCACATTTACACCCGTGAAACCATCCGACTCTGCCCTCACTTCCCCGCACTGATGATGAGCAGCTCTGCTGATAGATGCTTCAGATGTCCACTGAGGCTCCAATAATCTTTTGATCTCAGCCCCCATTTCAACCGCAGATCACAAGATACTGCAGCAGCCAACCTTTGCTCAAGTCTCACCTCCCTCATATCAGGTTGCATGAGAGGTTTGAAAAGATGAACTCCTCACTGCAGGTACGCGCAGGTTTTTGACTCTAAATGCAAATGCACTAGTGTCAAAATGTCATGAAGCATTCTTTGGTGATGGAAACTTTGTTCTCTTCTAAAACGTATCGTTCAAAAAATGATTCAGTCATTTTAGTGTTTGAGTCTGGGAGACTGGGGGTCCTGTGACAGAGAGTGGCAGCACATGAATCCTTAACAGCAGAAAAGTCTCGTTCATTTATGGTGACCTCTGATCTTCTCATTGTTCTGCCGCTGTTCCTATGGGCAGATGGCTGCTCCTCCCTCTGTAATGGGGGAGGGCGGGGGAGGGAGGTGGGGGGGACGTCCCTAGCCTTTCACAGATTGCCGGTTCAAAGCAGGAGATCCTTACAGTGGTACCTCAAGGCGAACCAACCTGCAACAGCCTGAATGATCCCCATAAGAATAAAAGGACTACAAATGTAGAGGGGGATGAAAACTACTGAAAAGAAGAGCTCTGGTTTCAAGTCACAACTCTAAGTTTTGTCTTACAATCCTGAGATTTAATCAGGGTTTTCATTATTAATCTCTCAGCCTCTTCTCTGGACTTGAACAACAGCAGCAGCTGCAGGGATGTCCTCAGTCCTGAGGTTGAGGCATAAATGAGGCCTCTTGTAGGACAGCTTTAATCTAGTATAAGCTTGAAAAAACTTCAATTAGTTGATCAGTTTACATTTGTGGAGACAGCCCTAAAGAGGTAGACCTCTGATGACTGATGGGGGGCCGGTGATTTTGTTACTGGGTGTCGTGTTATAAAAGGAAACCCTGTCCAAGCACTTAATGACCCTCTCACACCTGCTCAAGTGTCACAGCAAAGCTGGATAATCTGTGATGCTATGTCCTTATCAAATCAAGAATAACAAAGCGGAAGTTAAGGCCACAAAAACAATAACTTCATAACTTATCTCATTCCATATCAGTAAAGAACAAACAAACAAAGAAATCTATGATCAGACTAACTTCGCTAACCTCCTCCATCAGAGGGTGACGTTGATTAGCAGCAGTTTTGTTGTCGGGCTGTCTCCTTCTGTGATTTATTGACGGATGAGAGCCTTTAATGTTAGAGGAGCTTTCAGAGTCCAGCTGTTCCCGTGTCTAGAGTTTCACTTCGGACTTTTTCCTTTTCATCATCACTAAGCATGTTCGCTTTGTCTAATACCAACACGGCTCACAAACCACAAACCTGCCTCAGTGCTGTTTTAAATGTTCATGAAGACAAATGTATTTAATCTGAGAAATATAAAGGAGAGCCTACAGACCTGCACTATGGAGGACAGATTTACACAGGCCCATAAAACAGAGGGATTAGGGAGAGAATGAGAGCTACACTGACAAGCAACATACAACCTCTGCATTTATGCCCTAAAGCATAACTCGCTCTTATTTATAACACTTATTCTATTTTCCTTGTTTATGGTTTTCCTCTTCTATTTTTCTTGACTACATAGGAGTCTGTGGCATTTTTGGATGCAGATAAATCAACCCAACCAAGTATTTTGCCCTTTACTAGTCACCGTGCTGTGTTTCTCCTGGGAAATCTATTTTTCTCTATGCTATTTAGTCATTGTCTCTGCCCAATAAATCATCCAGGAGTATCGTACCACCTCAGTGCATTTGTCTCAACACGTGCGTTGAGACCAGGTCTCAAGACCTCACAACTCCATGACACCAGTATCCACATAAAGACCAATTAAGTGGATACCATGCTGCAAAGAGAGAGACAATACTATACAGAGTAATACATGGAGGGAGGAGAATCGGCGCTGAGATATTTAAGAGGCTTTTGGGGTAAACACTTTCTCTGATAAGAGGGTAAAAGATGGTGAAATCTATCTTTAAAAGCGGAGACTGTCCTCCACCAGTTTATTTTGATGTGTCTGCTCTTTGAGAGAAAAGACCACTGCTGCTCATGAGCAAAGGATGACAATTTGAATAATGATATAGTTTCAACACAGATGAAGGCTGGTGAGTCAACCACCTCCTCTGTGAATGACATTTACAAAATGATGAAGGAAAAGGTACGAGTTCAAGAGAGTAATCAGGATGTTTCCGCAGAACTAAAATCAATGTAGGCCATCAAATAAAGTTAGTTAGACATAATACTTTATCTACCTTTGTGTACTCCATCCATCCATCCATCCATCCATCCATCCATCCATCTTCTACTGCTAATCATCAGCCTAAGCAGAGAAGCACAGACTTCCCTCTCCCCGGCCACTTGTCCAGTTCTCTGCTGGGGACCTGTAGGTGTTCCCAGGCCAACTAAGAGACATAGTCTCCAGCATGTTTTGGGTCTTCCCCTTCTACTGGTTCTACTTTGGTTTTTGGCTCAGCTCCCTCTTTACCACAAGAGACTTATGTAGCATCTCACCTGTGGATTTTTTTTTTGGCTGAGAACCATTGACTCAGATTTGGAGGTGCTGATTATCATCCCAGCTGCTTTACACTTGGTTGCAAACTGATCCAGTGAGAGCTGAAGGTCACGCCCTAATGAAGCCAACAGGACCACATCATCTGCAAAAAACAGTGACCAAACCAGACCCCCTCTACACCCTGGCCACACACACACACACACACACACACACACACACACACACACACACACACACACACACACACACACACACACATACACACACACACACACACACACACACACACACACAGTAGGGTTAATTGAAAGTTAGTTGAAAGTGTAACTAAAGTCTGTTTCAGCAGTCATGAGGTCTGACACCCACAGCATCATAATTAAAAACAAAATATAAATAATTGGTTCCATCACTGATTTTCTTTTTCACTTTAGACGGTCGCACAGAGGCATCTACCCATGTGAGGACCTTTAGATTACTTTATTTTAGGGTGGGGTGATTGAAAGGACAGTTTGTACTGAGGAGTAAGACTGCAGACTAAATACAGAACACAAAGTTAGGCCCTGTTTTAATGAAGAATAGGATATGTTATATTTCAAAAACTCATTTGTTTTTTTCATAAAACAACCAAAGAGAACTGAACTTTATTTACGAAGCTCAAAACACTAGCAGGTTGCAAATGAATATATTAGAGAAGGTTGATTTAAAAAAAGTCAGAAAAAACAGAATAAATGGCGCTAGGACATTAACAGAGGAGACTCAGTCTGATTATTATGATTAGGTTGATGCATATTCATGTTATTTTTATTTTTAAACAGGACTAGAGTTGCCAATAAAGATGATGCAATTTCAAATGTGTGTCCTGCCAATGCCATACAGTTTGGAGAGAGAGCTATCTAGTGGTAATGTGTGTCACTACACAGATCATTGGTCCTGCAGTTTACATGTCATCTAAAGGGCTGTAAATACTTATCTCTGTGTGATTTATACTGAAGATAGAAGACAAGTGGAATATTCCACCTAGAGGCAAAAGACTTGATTGTTGTTTAAAAAGTCTGATAAATTCTGCACAGATTTGTGTTGTTGAGAATTAAAGTCTAATCTAAATAATAAAAAATTACATTGGACAGCTGCATGTTAACTCTGTCTTTAACACCATGTTGTGTTAAGAGTCGATATATATTTCAAACACCTAAAAGAGTCTCTTATGCAACATACTATCCAGTGTTTGACAATGATTATTGAGTGAGGGGGCTATGATTGTAGTCATGCAGGTATATACTTCAAATACAAGGAGGCTTTTACTCATTTAAAAAAAGCAAAGACAAAAATGGTTTCATAAGTTTTAAAACTCAAATCAACATAGAAAACAGGGTCCACAAACCCCGCTCTATCCTTTTGTAATCCTTCACAACTTTGTTTCGTGCCTCTCTATTGCCAGAGCTAGTTTTTCTTCTTTTTAATCAGACATCAGTCAATGATTTCACAGTAGTTTCAAAGATTTAAAAACACAAGTCCACTGAGTTAAATATGATGGAAACATTCAAAAAGAACCAGCATAATAAGACATATTGACCTTATTGGATTGATGTTGTTGTATTTTAGATGTATGCAGTAATAAAAACACCATTCTCCTTGTTAGTGTACACTCCATCTGAAACATTTCCAGTACTCTGCTGTTAGAAAGCACATCGATTGATGCCCAAAACTCAGATGAGCTGCTTGGCACACGCTGATCAGCCCCTTGAGTCTGCTGGCTTCAAAGAAACAAACAAAAAAAGCAATCAAACTTAATAATAAATGTTTCTGAGAGCCTGAATAACAAGCAGTGTACTGTGGACACAGGTGGACACCATTACAAGCTGAAGTTTACAGAGAAAGTATGAGATTTAAAGCTGTGCTGGTGGTGGCATTGATATATTACGTTAACATGATATTAAGTGAAAACTCTGTGATCAACCAAGAAAAGTACTTTATTCTATGAGTGGGACAAGGTAACAGCAGTCTTCTAGGTCCATGAGATCACATACAGCTGCAGTGCTCCAATTTTTAACGACTTCCCCATTCAGAAAACTAGAAAAACACCATTACAATGACAACAGCCATGAGCTGCTGGAAGGGACAAGCCGAAATCACATACACTACTGCCTCTACTGGCTGCTGGATAATCTTGTTGCTCAAAATTACGTCAAAAATAAGATGCAAAAGTTTTGTAAATCAAAGACCTGATTTATGAATCAGTGCACTTCAAGTAGAAGAGCACATATGAGCTGTGAGTGATAATAGGCCAAAATGAGCGGCCTCTCTGGTACTAAAAAAAAACATTCAGAATATTAAAACATTTCGTCAGGGGTTTATGCACAGGTGTTGATACAGCTGTGGGGCAGCAGGTGTCAGTAAACTCACTGCTATGTTAGCTCTGGGAGGTCCAAGTCTCCCCGGAAAAAAAAACTGAGGATGTGATCCAGTTTTTTTTCATGGTATCAAGGAAAGCCAGTATGTGCAGGACACGAAATCAATCAATCTATCTATCTATCTATCTATCTATCTATCTATCTATCTATCTATCTATCTATCTATCTATTTATCTATCTATCTATCTATCTATCTATCAATCTATCTATCTATGGAAAAGTGAATCAGGCTTAAACCTCCTGCTGTTTTTACAGGAACAATGCTCTTCTTTGTGGCTGTGACTCTGGAAAAACTTTGTCTTTTCTGGACTAATAGAGGACACCAGTGGGACTTTTGGGAATTGACTTTAATCTTAAATGGATTAAACAGAACCCTTTCCAAACCCAGGACCACTTTTCTGAAGCCACCAGTGTAGAGCTAAGTCTGGACCCCAGAGAAAAGTGAAAAGTACACAGTTAAGAGAGCACTGAAATTTTTAAGAAAGTGTATATACTTTTGTATTTGGAAAATAAAGTCAACGGAGCGAAGCTGCAGTGAACGGAAGCACCGTCGCCTGTCTCATCTTTTCTTCCTATTTTATACAGAATCCTAATCTGTCTGCAGAACCCATTCTGGGGTCTGTAACAGCAGCAGAGCAACATCACCAGATGTTGTTTTTGTCCTTCAAGTCAAGTTTGAGTGTCACTTTTTAAACGAATGTCTGTCTGTACTCAAGCTTCTGTTTATTTGCCTGTCAGCTCAACAGTTAAACTCTTGTGATGACTGTTTGTGTCGATGTTTAATCAAATTTAGACATACAGCTGTACTTTGGACAAACTCTGTTCAAAATCCATTCAGTATATCCGCTGCAAACAGGCAGAATAATAGACCAATCCAAACCACTGTACCCCAGCGGTTCTGATTGGTCCGTGAGTCCATCCAATCCCCTGTCTCCCCTGCTCCGCACCGTCACGCCCATGGTCCCGCCTCCTCCCCACTACTCCCCTCACGTGATTAGCTCGCTGCGCGTAATGGCGCCGGAGAAGACAAACACTGACACCAGGAGGCCGCTTCTGTTACCCTCCGCATTGAAGGGAAGGAAACTTGGATTATTTCACCTTGTTATGAACTTCCAACCGCGCTCCCGTCAGGGGGGCATTCTGCGGCAAGGGTGCATCCTACAGCATAACACCTGTGGAAAAAGCTGCAGAAGGATTTGGGACTGAAAACTGACGCTGAGACAGCCGAACTTCTGTTTAACAGGTAATTACTTAGTTTACTACAGTGGGAGATGTCTGCTGAATAACTCTGGTTTGTCTGTGCCTATACTGACTAATGACTGAACGTTGTTGGTCAGAACGGGTATGCTCTGTCAAAAGATATTAGCATAAGTTAGCCACGCACCTTTAGCGTTGTGAACTGAGCTGGTGAAGACACGCCGAGAAAGGTAAATCCTCGGCCACGATCGGCCCTGCTCCGACCATAGACTGTAAATACTATGGACAACTTTGTTCCGCCTTCCGCCTGTATATGGATTTGAAGCCAAGTAGTTCTCGGTATTTCCGGGATTTTTCTTTATTTCCTGAAACAAGCTGCGCATTAGCGTTGTGCGCATTCGGCGAGAGAGTCGCCAAGAGTCGCTGTGATGACGTTCGGCTCAAACAGCGTATCCCCCGGGAGAGCTAACGCCAATAGGCTGTATCAGGTGTCAATCATAGAAAACATGAACCCCCTAATAACTTTTAAAAAGGAAGCTGTACAGAAAAAAGAGGACTTAAGCAACAAATCAGTCTTACTGTAACTACATGTCAATGCAAACGTGGCGGGCATGTTTGTGACAACAGCCAATCAGAGTCGATGCCATGGTTAAGAAGAAATGTTATTCAACGTCGGTGTGGTGGTTCAGGCATCTCCACAGTGACGTTTAGCAATTAAGCCGATGTGCAAGGTATGTTGGCGGTCGGTGCCCTTTAAAAACCGGCAACACAACAGATCTGTTTAATTTTCTGAAGTTCTTGCCGAGTGATAATGAGGAAAGAATGAAAGTCTGCACAGCCTGTCACAAGTAGCATTAGCAGTTTAGCCACAACTAGCGGTGCAGTCACCAAACCAAAGCAGCGATCAATCGTACCATCTATGTTTACATCATCTATGTTACATTTAAGGCGTCTTCATTATTCTGTAGGGGGAGATTTGTTTATTATGAGTTGTGCATACTTGCAAAAACACTCAGGACTGTAAATTACTTGACTGCATAATTTAGTATTTATCTATTTTTGTTGTACTGTTGAATTTTTAATCTCTAGTTTCTTCAGTTTTTAGTACAGAAACTTTAAAACTGGCAGTTTAAAAAAATATCAGACGATATGACAAAATACATCGTGATCATTTTTTTCTTTTTGCCAAGTCACCCAGTCCTAAGTGGGAACTTATTTGAAAGTGACACGGAAATCCTGTCCATCCAGTGACACAGAAGACCAACAGCTCCTCTAACTCCCTGTTATGTCAAATCTCAAGGTCTCAATGCAGCACAAACCTGGAGCATCATACTGTGGCTGAGAATCGGTGTCTTAGCTGATTCTTCTGTCAGGATTGGGACGGTTTCCTCAACCAAAGAAAACTACAAACACTCTCCTCTCTGCTGCACATTTCCACGGGTTGCTGTGGCCTCTGGAAAACCCCTCCTTTGTGATTTCTCTCAGCATAATAACATTAGCAGGCCCCCAAAATGTGAGCTCTGTTTCTCTTTTTTGTTGTTGTGTCAGCATGTGTTACTCGCAGGTTGATGGCCCTGATTGTTGCCATGGTAACACTGGTCTCAAGCCTGAGTTAGCCTGGGGATTCCCTGTAGGTGTTTTACTTTGTTGGCTAATTGTCAGTCAGGCTATCTTTTGTGAACCTGTGATAGACGAGTCCAAGAGAACATTTAGACTAGTTTTGTGAAACCTGCCTGGATAAGTTATTTAGAGTATCCACCTGAAATGCAGGTATTTTGTTGGTGTAATTGTGTCGAGGATTCAGACTGATCAGTGTTTCTTCTTATATTCAGACCGACCATGTGCAGGACATAGGGCCTCATTGTCGTCATCTGGGGGCCTCATCAGGCTGGTGTCTGCCACATACATCAAGACAATGAAGACCCCGATTCAGGTCAGTGTTCACGTATTTTCAAAGATATGAAACGGTCCTCAGCTAACTAACTGATGCATAAAGTCAGCTCACTCTGCTCCTCCTGTCCTGTCCACTTTGACACACACACACACACACACTGTGTTAAAGTGTGTCAGCTTGCTAAGTTTGTGCTGTTGTCTGTACCTGGTAGCGTTTCAACATTGGTTTTGATGGCTGTGATGCATCAAGTAGTTCAATATTTCTCCTCGATCACTTTAAAAACAATTGGAGGTGAAATTTTCATCTCAGTGAAATTAGTGAGAATCAGGTCAGGTCAGTGGATTCTCTCCACTTCCTGGAACCACCACTTGCTTGATTTTTAAAGTTTGTCCACAGCTCCATAGGGATTGCTGGAGGAGGTGGGATTTATGACCTATACTGCAGCCCATCACCAGAGGGTGCTGTTCTCAGGGTGAGGGGGCAGACAGCGTCCATTCTTTCTACAGTCTGAGGGTAAAACACCAAGAAAACTGTAACAAAGAAAAAGTGAGCGCGAAGCATTGATCCCCTGTCGCCGCTCACCTTGAAGACCCGAAACATGTCATGGCCTTCTCTGCTTTTGTGGCAGTGAGCGTGTGTCCATGCCGCCTTGGAGACCATGACTTTTTAAAAAGTAAAGAAGCTTCTAAGATATTTACCCCTGAAACACTGGCTCCAAAAGTACTGAGTGATGAATAACTCAGTGTGATGGAATGAGTAATTGTCTGTGTGCATGTTTCTTCAAATAAGACCTGAAAGACTGGATGCTTCAGGTGATCCACGGCTCCCTAGTTGGATGTTTGTTCATTAAGGCATGTCTTTGTTAGCGTATACCCACAATTCTTTTGAAGCCTGTAAACAAGATGAAGGTCTGTTTGGACATTGTTTGAGTTCCTTTTTTGAAAAATAAAATGTGTTAATGCATTAATACACAAAGAGCAGAGTCAGAGGCAGCTCTCTGATAGCTATAAATGAAGAGATTAAGATTTAAAACCACGACTGTACGTTTAGATTTGGAAATGGTAATCATATTACACAAAGTCTCATTTCAAAAGCAAAAGATAAAGGTGCAGACTTTAATCTAGGACTAAAGAGTTCTTCTTCAAATGTTTTTAGTTGTTCTGAATATTCTAAACGATTGAGTTTTTTGGCTGTTTTAGAATCATTATGCCTGCTAGTACGGCAACTCCACAGGGACAAGACAGTAGAGCATAAATCTCCATTCATCAAGTCTTTAACATGCAGCCAATCACAATGTGAGAACATTAGAATTTTAACGGCCAGGCCAGCCAATCAGACTGTGTGATGTCAGTAGAAAGCCCAGGACTCAGAGCTGATCTGACCTCCTTATCATGTCTGGTACCTACAGGGGCCCAAAAAGTGGAGCAGGGACTTCAGGATTGTTTTCTAAAAGTGTGTACCAGGTGTAGAGTAAAGGGCAGACCGGCCTTCTAGATGTTCTGAGGAATCGTAGAACAGATGGTCGTCCAGGACAGCTGGTGCCCACCTCAAATGCCTCTTCAATGTCATCTTATTTTGTAGCTCAGAGTTTTCAGTTCCTCACGCAGGTCAAAGAAAGACATGGCACTGGTAGTTCGCTCTGCACATCATAGTAAACTAACACTTCTTAGGAAAAGCTGCGAGTGTGTTCATCAGCTAAATAAAAGCCTCAGTGTTATATAAATATGTAGCCTCATATAACAATGTATATATAATAATGTAGAGAGAGAGAGGAGCAAGGTCCAGGTGGGAAAGTGTAACGGCAGCTTCTATCCACCTGGTTAACAGAACTAAAGGGAGGAGTGCCATCTGTCACCAAACCTGCTTCCTCCCCCCTAAATGTCTCTCCACCATGTTTATTGTTCGATTAAACATCATTTTTTAGCAGAAACATTATGATTATATGAGTTTGTCAGCGGTTATTCTTCTTTTCGATAACACTCCACAGTAGCTCAGTCTGAAAGTACGATTGCTTCCACCAGAGAAATTACGTCTATTGAAGTTTTGTCTCTTTAGTGGTAAACTTATTGAATTCCTTCTTTTGTGTCCTTGATAAATGTAAGATTGGTTTGTAAAACACATGTAACCTAATGAATATCACATGCAGGCTAGTATGTCTTATTGTTCAGAGTAACAAGTGGTGTAGCTGGAGGATTTAATATTTGCAAGAACATCTATTGTCCCCAATGTTTTGAGGGCCCAATCCTGAAATTGGCGCTGTTGTTCATGCATCAGGGTCAGTGGTATTGTGATATTATGAGCTGAAATGAAGGCAGGGGGGACTCTTAACGCCTCTATGCACAGATTGTTGTAGGCTGTGCTGTGTCAGGGTTCAGGGCTGTTTTTTAAGCTCTATTCCATCCCTGTACAGAACCAAGCAGCATGAATGTAGCCGTGTAATTTAGTATGCAATGTGCAACATGAGCAGACCCGAGGAGACAATCCTGTTTTAAACACTTGAGGCCCAGTGAGACTCGTCCTCGAGAGGATTCTCTTTTGTATGAGTTTTAGTATGGCTTTTTGTGGTCATGAAATATTGATTACTCCTAATAAAGAATTTATTTGCCAAGGGGGGAAGTGCACAGCAAGTGCATTATTGTGTATTAAAGTTATTTAAGTAATTAGTTATTTTATGCTAAAACAGGATCGATTGATATCTCTTGTGACAGTGGGGGCTCCTGCTCTGTGTTTAGCAGAGAGAAATGAAGCAAACACTAACTGGCTAAACCCACAGGATCTGGGGCGGCTCCGCTTCACTCCGGACCGGCAGGCAGATCAGATCCACAAGCATTCAGCGCCCACCAGATCCAATCCGCGGCCACCACCGGAGGAGAAGGGCTCTAGAGGTTACCGATATTTCTCACGAGACTGGACAAGATCTCACGAGCTCTTGCCTCTCCTATTATCAAGTTAAGAACAGTTAAACATATTGACTTTATTTTATTTTGAAAATTAACTGGATATTTTACTCTGTAACTGCATAAAACTTCCTCTACTGCTCATGCTGCACTGAATTGATGCACCGTGCTCCGGCATCCAGCAAATAGAAACCTTGCGTATCTGATCCGCCCGCCTGAGCCGATCCGCAGCGGAGCCGGACGCAGGACGGATTCTGTGAATGACTCACATTGATTATGATGCTTGTGGACTTGTTCCGCCGGCCGTGCCGGAGTGGAGCGGAACTGTTCCGGACCCCCTGGGTTTTGCCCGTAACACAGTAGACTGTAAACTCTCCACACTACACATGTCTGCTTTAAACTGGGATGATTGAGTGCACCAGTATCAAAACCTCCCCGTCCTCCCCGTCAGACAACTGTACAGCCACTACACAGAGATACCCAAACAGCCAGGTGAATGTCGCCTCCATCACTACATGATGCCCATTACTCAGTACCCAGTGTTCCCCTGACAGGGTCCCTTGAGGTGTCTAATTTCCCAGATATTCATAGGGGGTCAGACCATTTGAGTTGCCCACTCTCTGGCTTCACCCTAGTGTCTGGTTTTGGCAGCAGATGGCGCCTTGGTAGAGACACAGCTGCAGCAGCATCTTATTTGAATATCAGGTTGTTCAGTTACTTGTCCGTGCTTGGTTTCCTCGAGGTGAACCTTACAGGGACCATGTCTTCCATTTATCATATGCAAATATGACACATGGGTGGAGAGGTAGTCGTGATTGAGCTGAGAATGGAGGGTCAGAGCTGTACCTTTGGTTTTATCAACAGAGAGATGAGCGCCTCATGTCAGGGCTGCTCTGAAACCTTTTTCCAATCATTCCAATCAATAAACACCAGCTCGGTTTCTTACCAGGTTTGTGGATTTGTATGTTTGAGGATTACATGCTGCAGTGTCCTGCTCATGATCATCTGCTTCCAAATAGACAGCAGTGATCAGTGAGTCCATGTGCACTCCTCCTTTGTGTCCTCGGTTCTCTTAAAAGACTTGTAGCCATGATTGCATATTTATAGCTGTTCATATCTGCCCAACAAAACAAGACTGTTACACAAACGCAGTGTTTTAATTATATCAAGCACAGTATTGTGTGTGAAACTGAACTCATTAAAAACTTACAGCTGATGTGGCGTGCCTCATTACCAAAGCACCTTTTAAAGGCGATCTAATGCAACAACTGCCTCCATTCAAAAAGTAATTTTTAGTCTGATGATGCTATTACATATTTAAGGTGACTGTCTTTTTCTATAGCTGGATGTGTCTTTTAAAAGAGAGGTCTATGCACTGGAGGAACCAGGGAAAGCAGAAAACTGTTTTTTTTCATGTTGAAAAAGGCTTCAAATATCCAGTAAAATGAGACCAAGAGAGGTGGCATAATTTGAAATGAGAAAAGAAAAGGACCTGAGTGATTATTCAAATGTCTGGATACTGAGAGAGAATCTAGAGAGACGAACTGAAATAGGCAGAAGAATATTTAAATGCTGCACTGTGCATGAAAACATCTGTGCCTGTGTGTTTTGGTGTGTGCATGCCTTTGCGTAGGCATGTGCAGTGAGAAAGGGGGGGTGTGTTCACTTGGAGACAGCGGGGATGGCTTATTAGAAAATCATCCCTCTTAGCCAATGGTTTTTGAGAGAGAGGTAGATGTCATTTGAGTGAGAAGTATCACCTCCCACTGCCTGCACATCTCCTTCAGTGTATCGCAGCGCTGTGTGAGAGCACAGCTATCACCGCTCTCCCCTCTCTGTCTCTGTTTCTCTCTCATTGCCCACAAAGACTCTCTCTGTAGCTGCAGTTGCTTGGTCTCCTTGCCCCTCCTCTCTTACTGATTTCTTCCTCTCTGCTTTATCTCTGTGACACAGTCCAAAAAAGCAATAGGATCTGTTACAAGCAGCAGCATTATCAGGAGCTCAGGTAAGCCCTTTTTTTCTGCTATTTGCTTTGCAGCGAGGAGCTCCTCACCAAAAACCGAATCCTCTTTGCACGCTCAGAAAATGTACATGCACTGATTCCTCTGCATCTCTTTCTCGCTGTGATGAATTGAGTTCAGATGTAATTGTGCTCGAGTTGTGCTGTGATCTTAATGGGGTTTCCAGACGGGTTTTCTCAGTGCTTTGTTTCTCTAAGCTATGACAATGACAACTTCAGCAATCTGGCTTCCATTATGAGTGTGTGCCTAAGAGGTGCATGTAGGACTGCTGAGATAAAACCACAGATATGGAGGGAAAAGGAGGTAAGATAGGGAAAGAGGCAGATAGAGATAGCATCACAGAGCCTCTGTCTGTCTAGCCTTGTGTATCTGCATGTTAGCATGGATTTTCTGCTGTGGACTAATTGACACAAATTATAAGTCTATGTGCGTGGACTTTTAAGTGTAAGAACAGAGAAACTGAAGGGAAAATGGTAACCACAATTTCTGTGTGAGACAGAAGGGTTAGATCATAGTGGAGAGGAGGGAGTGTAGTAAAAGTCAATCACTGATATTTATTGGTGAAACAGTTTCTGTTCAAATGGCTCTGCCCTTTCTTCAGCCTCTCGAGTTTGAGAAGAGCAATTCCAATTTCACAATCAGTCACATTTGTCACCTGAATCATGTCCTGTGGTATTTACTGCAGAAGGCTGGTAGAGTGATGATGGATGGAGACATTAATGGTTTATTGAAAGGTGGGCTTACCTCTAAAGCTGATCTCTTACCATCATTTTCCCATGGACTAATGGCCTGTTGACTGTGCCTGTGGTATATGAATATTTATCGAGCTGATGAATTAAAACCTGAAAATAGCCCAGAGCAAAGTTGGATTAAGTAATGCTTATATTTCATTAATGACATGTTAGCGTCTTGACAGTGAGGGGGGTTAAGAGACGTAGCTGTGGTTGTTTAAGGTGAGAAAAGATCCAAACAGCACATGTCGTTTTTTTAATCCTGCTTTGGAAGTGTTTCCACATCTCAGCTGCATCCAGTGTTCTACCATCGTCTGAAAATGCAATTAATTAAGCAAGATTTGGTAAACCTCTTTCAGCTCCAGCTAACCATCCATATACACTGCATACTCAGATAAACAGTACATAGTTCTAGTGTTGCATGGGGACTATAGGATTTTTAATATCAGTTTTAATATACCTGTATTAATATTATCCAGAGCAAAGAGGAGCTGCCTCAGCTCTTTCCCCTACAAAGCCCTGTCATTAAGCTAGCAATCATCCAGAGACCAAGATAGATAACCAAGTTTTGAGGAAATAGAGTCAGGGAAATGGCAGGAGCTGGTGCCTTTTCAGTCCCCCCAGGGTCTGGTGCTGACAGTTACACTCCATCTGTTTTTCTGGTTGGTTGGGAAAGGTGTGACAGGTAGCCAGAGTAATGGGGGATGTTTGACAGATGCATATTTCCAGCCTGGAATGCTTCATATAAAAAAGATAGATGGCGTGGATGCAGGCTGAACGAGGGACAAACTGTTGGGCTGTGAATCAATCCAATGAGCGCTCAGTCTCCCATCTTGGTTGATCTCTCGCGTGACTCCCAGAACCTTTCTAATTGCATCCTACCCTGATTATTGATCGAGACATGAATGCAGTTTATAAGACTTCTGGAGGGAGGCGTAGGCCACACCCACAGCTATTGATGGTGAAGTAACAAATATGACCAATCGATGATCTGTTAACCAAAATTTAAATGAGTTATACTGGAGGTTTTGTGCGTGCAGGTATGTCCAGGTGTGTGTGTGTGTGTGTGATAATTTTCTAACGACACCTTCACTGCAGGTTTGAAGTGATAGCTGAAGCTCTATGTGATAATAATCCTCCATGAATCTTTTTAAGGCACACCACCCAGAGTGAAGGTCAAGAGACCACACTACAGTTTAAACAGCAAGCAGAGTAGTAGACTTGACCTTAAAACCCTCAAATAAAGACGGCTATTCAATCTGCAGCCGGGCACCTTATTATGACCACAAGCAGGTCCTTTGAGAGTGAATAGAGGCTGGCTGTCAATTACTGGCTGGGCACTTTAATATTCCTATCATGGAGGAGAACTTACTGGTAAGTTCAGAATGAAAATGTACCAGCCATGACTCTGTACAATTATCACGTCATCATAGATCACGTCTGTGCAGTTTTCTCCAGATTCGGAGTGAATGTCAGTGTCTCCCCTCTCTGCTGCTCAGAGCTGAGCTCTTGTCCTGACAGGAGAGTCGTTATCATCGTATTAAAGTCGGTTCATGACAGATAGATTTCACTGTGAGGTCCTCTCACCATCACAAACGCTGGAGTGTGATGCATGTGGAGTTTGGCAGATGTCGGGGTGTGGGGCAGCTGCAGAGCCTGTTGCTTCTCACTTTGGTGCTTTTATAAGACAACAGTCATAGTTCCACTTTTTTTTATTCGCTTTGAACACAACATGACGTATGAGCACATTTGCCCCGCATCCCAGAGCTCTTTGATAATTTTACTCCATGATCAGACTTGATGTTTTTTTTTTTTAGGGCTGCCAGGCCAAAGCTATTTCTGTTACGGGAGAGTAGAGGGGATTGAGAAGGAAGGAGGAAACTCAGAGGAGCAGCATGTGAGGAAACAAGATTGCAGCTGTAGTAACTAAAAGACTAACCTCCATGTTGTTTATCATTTTCATCGTTTTGTGAAACTTAGTTTTAATACAAGGACGTCTCTAAAATCTGTATCTGATGTTTTCTAAAATAAAATCTCATTTCGATAAATAGAAACAAATCCTCACTGACTCTCACTGATTAGTTTGGCACTATGTAAATGAAGATTGATCACTTGATTGAGGCCTTAAACCCCATTTTTCCTGTGAGATTAGGTCAGATTGGAGAATTTATGGCTGTCAGAAAAAGTACCTCTTGTCTCCTGGCGAACAGTCCGTCTTTGAGGGCTTGCCGAGGCTTTGCCCTTTGACTTGTCTGCAGAAGCCCATGGATTTTTCATTGTTCATGTCTCGTCTACTTGTAAACTTGCTTTTAGGCAGAGAAACGCTGCAACTGAAGACAATTGTTGAAGGGATCCAAATGAGCTGATCTTTAACAGTTTCTTCAAAATGTTGGACTTCCAGTCAACATTTTACCACAATGTCAAGAGACTTCCTTTTTAACATTTTTATTTAAATCCTGGGCAGACGGATAAAGTTCATCGGTCCGGGTGAAAGTGCCTCCAGGGTTGGATTTTTCAGCCTGGAGCTGGGAGCACTCGTGAGTTTTATCTGTCAATTCTCTACAGTTTTAAAAGATAACACACTTCACTCTACTTTAGTGTTCATTATGATTACATTTAATAAATAATTCAACAATACACAATAATAACCAAAAGTGCACTCTAAGACCTTCAGATCAATTAGATGTTGCACTAGAGCACCATCATCTTGACCCAGATCCATGGGGCCACCAGGTCCACACCCTCCGATCGTCAATCCCTCATATTTCTGTGAGAAGTCGAGTTTCTGAGCCTCTGTTTTGCAGCACCTGTGTGCACAGAAAGGACCAATCACAGAGAGCTGTGGGAGAAGCTGCACGGAGGGCCAATCTGAAGTGAAGTTCCTATGCATAAATAATAGAGCTGTGGAGGAACCATCATGCTAAGAAGAAAGTTTCATTTCACTTTGTCACGTGTGTAATTATACTCCACCCTGCACCCGTCCTGTGTGAGTTTTTTTACTCTGTGATTTTTCAGCCTGATGAAGGTTAAATGACAAAATGAGAGGCAGAGGAAGACGCCGAGAGGAAGAGAGTGATTTTAGTGTCCTAATAAAGGTGTTTGTGTCAAACTGTCAACCCATATTTTCAGCCTCCATCTTTTCTACCTTGGGTGGAGGCAGAATCAGTAAGTCTGAGTCCTGTGGCAGTCTAGGGCCAAATGCTCCGACTGATGCAACCTACAATGGTGACTAGTGGTGGACTGGGTCTAAGATGATGTTGGTTCAAGCAGAAGAACAAGTTAAACAAAGATCTAGACATGACATGCATGACTGTTACTTGGCAATCCATACCGTGTTCTAGCATGTCTCACCCCCTGAGTCTGGTATTGTCTGACTTGTATGTGCACTCTGGCACAGTACGCTTCTTGGTCCAGGCACAGTTGGAGAGGTTTGTCGGTACGGTTACCCATGCATGTGCACAAGCTCAGTGCAGGGAAGCACCCTCTTTTTCTGCACTTTCACCCAAACTCAACATTTCACATCAACACAGTTCCAGAGGGAGGACAGAAAGAAGTGAAATTAGCTCAACAATAGCAGCAGAGAAATTCTTCTCCCTGAAATTAAGAAGAAGACAGAAAAGAAGTGACTCTCGCATTGATGGAAGGAGGAGGATCAATGCTTGAATCAGTGAAAGGGTGAATCAGTGTGTCAGGAGGACATCAATCAACATTAAAGTCGCCCACAAGTTGATCAGGATAAAGTGAAGAGAAATTGACACCACATCGACTTACATGAGGAACAGGGAGGGTTAGCTGCATTGGCTTTACAGACTAATACCTGCTGAAAAAGTCATGCTGACAAACGCGTCTCTTCATCATATTTTATAACATGACGCATGAAATCAACATTATGATGAAATGATGATTTGACTGTAGAAAAACTCCAAACACTGTATAAGGATAAAGGATCCTCAGGTGCAGCAGGACAAGCTGGATTTCAGTGAACGATTGTGTTCATGATAAATTAATCCACAAATTTCAATTTGTGTGATTACAGCGTCGGTGTTCTTGTATTTTATGGATTGTAAATGTAAATTAATGGACATAGTTGCCTTTAAGCTTATTTTTGATAGTTACAAGTTTTACTGATCTGTTTGGACTATGTCGGTGGAGCGTCACGTTTTTATTGTTTTAGAGAAAAGGATCTTTAAGACCTTCTCTAGTGATCAAAAGTTAGGCTAAACTTTGCTAAAAGACGAGGACACAGCAGCGGGGAAGTGTGTCCAACATGAAAAAACATTTTCATCATCATCATAAGTTTGAGGAACTGTTCGGTTTTTAATGTTTACGATAAAACCTCCTGACTAAAGCTGGCGTTAGCAGCTGCAACGTCTCATCACAGTCAGGCACAGAACCCTCTTGAACTCACGTTCACAGTCATTTTGAGGTAAACCAATTATGTCTACAAAAGCATCTTTTTTAGATGTGAGATCAGAGAGCCCCCCCATCACCCCACCTCCTACGTAGAGACCCTGTGGTGCAGAGACTCTGTTCACTTTGGTGATGAAGAGCGAGGAGAGGAGCATCACTCTGCAGGGAGAAGATTTGTGGTGAAGGAGTTAGACCTCTTTCCCAGTGTTTAATAAATACATTATTTATGTTGGTAATGTGCTCTCTTCTAAAGTATTATTTTCCTGTTATTAATCTCAATATTCCTGGTTTGTGTTTTTTCTTGAGCAATCTATTCTCATAAGTAAGAGGGATTATTTTTTATCTTATTATTTTACAGAAAAATAACAATAAAAACTTATTTTTCCTCCTGAAATATTTACTTGCCTCTCCAAATTTACTGGAATAGGAGTTCAGAAATGATCAGATGGGATCATTGATAAAATTGAAATGGTAACTTACCCAAGCAGCAGATGGCCAAAACACTGCAGTCTTGCCCACCCAGTCGAGCTCACAGCTTCAGTTAGATTAGTCCAGTTATGTGTGGTGAAACACACTTGAAGGGTATCTGACAAGTTCCAGGACACCTCTTAATCCTTGAACACGGAGCTCACCAGACTGATTGTTTTTTCATGATGATCATACAGGAGATCGAACTGACATCTTTCTCTACAAAAAGCTTTTGACCATGCCTATCATGTAGACTTCAGGGCAGGTCTCTGAGATGTTTTCTTCAGTTCAGGTGTAGGTGATGACATGCTGAGTTGGAGGCAGTCTGCTAGCTTTTGTAGTGAAGGTTTTGTGGCATACTTGACAGATAAGCATGTTTCGGTCAGTGTTTTCTTTATGCCAGATGACTGACCTGATGCTGTTTCTCTTTCTGACCAACTTGTTTGTTTTCATCCTCATCTGCCGTCTCTTTGCACTCATGTACTTGCCTGGGTTTGTGACTTTCTCTCCTCTCTCTTCATGCCCCCGTTCCTCCTCTTCTTGTACTCACTAGTTGGAGTATAGAAATGTAATACGTCCCATGATGTAGCGCGATACATCGTACAGCCCTACCTTCAGCCAACGTGACTAATAATTTTATTCCAACAAAGGTTCACCACAGGCTCAGATAAAGACCTGTGACAGTTATGTTTTGGACGTAACTTCAGCAGAAGAAGCTCTGTGTAAAAAGCAAAGAGAGTCTTCTGAAAGGCTTTGGCTTTGAAAATCATCCCCGAGGTAAAGCTGTAGTATATTTTCATGCTGGTGATATAAATGTAGGTGACACAGAGCAAAAGCAGCTCTCAGATCTGTGTATTTTTGGACGTAGCCTGTTGCTGCTTGTTGTAAAATTTGGACTAAATGTGCTCCTCTCACCTGCAGTCTGAACTATAAACATTATTAAGATGTTGACTTTCAGCTGCAAGATTGGGGATTCAGTTGTGTCCTTGGTTACTGAACCCCATATTCCTCCTGACATGTACATGCATGAATGGGATGAGCTAATACTAATTGTTCCCTCCTGCTATTACTGTCTGGATGTCGTGTGAATAGGTGAAGGTGAAACGTTGTGTAGATTTGCTCTGAGTGGTCTGAAAGACTAAAGAAAGGTTAAGTCCATTTACGGCGCACTAGCTGATTAGTCTGGCAGTCATTAGTGCTTGTGCATCTTTGTGTGTGTGTGATAGTGTGTGGTCTTGTCTTCGTGCTTACCTCGTCCTTCAGCTCTTCAAACACACTTACACACTAACCTTCCTCCTGTTTGTCTGCCTGCTCCCCTCTCTCCACCTGTGGCTGCTGCTAGTTACTCATCATGCTCTACATGATTAACTTCAGTGGCATCATGTGTGACTCCATCAAGCTCCCAAACTTTCTTGCATATCAACCTGAGTCCACAATGAAGTGAAAGTGGAGGCGTTTAAGTGGAGATGTACAGGACACTCCACACCCCAAAGAAGACGTGTTTTGGTCGACATCATCCTTCTTTTAACCGAAATAATTCCAGATAACTGACTTTCCTTTTCTTTTTGGCAACAAATCTTCATTTTCAAGCTGTTTGATTGGCTCTTTGTCTAAATCCAACCAAGACAATAAAAGCAACGACTGTTGATTCAAAACAAGGATTTAACATTTAATCAACAACTACAGAGAGAGAGAGAGAGAGAGAGAGAGAGAGAGAGAGAGAGAGAGAGAGAGAGAGAGAGAGAGAGAGAGAGAGAGAGAGAGAGAGAGAGAGAGAGAGAGAGAGAGAGAGAGAGAGAGAGAGAGAGAGAGAGAGAGAGAGAGAGAGAGAGAGAGAGAGAGAGAGAAACTGAGAAGTGAGTCTGATTGGCAACTGAGTTAAGGACGAAGGCGATTGGTGGATCGCTGCACAGCACATGCAGAGTCACATGGAGTGTATCTCAGTCAGCTACCCTTGAAATTAAATGAGTTCATTCACCTCCAATATCGCAGGCTCTGTGATGTGACTATCGCACACACGTACAAAGCGATGACGATAGTCAAACGATATATCGTTCAGGCCTAGTTTCTAGTAGCACATTACAGATTTTATCCTCATTAGTTTATTTTGATTGTGCACAGAAACACAAGTCGGCCATTGTATTCAGAGATCTCATTCCCACTGTCAAAATCCAGTAAATATTCCCCAGGGTTTTCATTACGTCACTGTTCTGAAACAGGTTCTGCTCCGGTCCCTGTGCCCTCTGACTCTCCTGGTGTCTGTCTGTTGTGTCCTCTTTTGCCTTCCTGCAACAAGTGAGACCACTTGAGACATCCGAACGACTCTTTTTCCACCTGCTAGATTTGGTTGTACACAGTTTGGCACAAGTGGAAGTTTAAGGAAGCTCTTGGCATTCTGTTCTCTGGACTTGCAATAACAATCTGAGCCTGTCAGCGGTGAAATAAAGCACTTGTAGTGGACTCAGTTTGACGATGCAGAAATGCCGAGTTAAACTACATTTCAGCTTGTTTGGAGGCTGCCGGCTGCTCTCAGTGCTGGACCAAGTTTCAGAAACTCTTCTCGCCTTCAGTCAAGCACACACACACACACACACACACACACACACACACACACACACATGAACAATCCTCAAATTGTTTATGCATGTCAGCTTGCATTTATATCACTCTTGGTATGGTTATTTTGGATGTATTCAATAGTTAAACCTGAAGGATCTCATTCTGGTTATTCAGTAATTTGTTGCTTATTTTTGCTTTTATCTATCAATTGCCTCTATAATATATTGACCTACAGTATCATTGTGTCAAGAACAAATAACCAACAGAGGGACCCAGATGCAGGACAGGAGGCCAGTCCTCAGAGGCAAACATTAGATTTATTCAGTCGAGGGTTTTGGTACACAGCAAACAATCAGCACAGGTAGGGGTTTAAAAAAAACAAGAGGTAAAAAGCAGAGTCCAAAACTACTGAGGCCAAGAATAACAAGACTATGAATACAAAGAAGGCTGGACTGTGACTGTGAGGTACAACAAACTGGTGACAGGACAATGAGAGACATGGGGTTAAATACAAGAGGTGACAGGGGTGATGAAAAACAGGTGGGAAGACACGATCAGGGGGCAGGTGTGACAAGAGGGGGGCAGGGCAGACAGGAACACATCTGACACAGAAACAGGGGTCAGTGACTTCAAAATAAAACAAAAAGAAAAAGACATGAGATGAGATGAACTAAATAAAGGTAACTTGACCCTGATCATGACAGGAACTAAATGTCATCTTTGTAACTTTGCCTCTTCTCATTGAAATGTTTTACGCTGGTTGAAATTTTCCTTTTGGTCTAAAACAAGTTATTTTAAACTCAGTTCGACCATTTTTCTACATTTAAAATGAGCATTTTTGTCAGAGAGTTGATCCTGATTTTCTTTTCTCTCAAACATCAGCTGCTTCAGATCAGGTAATAACAGGCCTGACAACAACAAGCCCGACAACTATATTCAACGAGTTAGACAACAACCTGACTCCCAAACCTCCTACCTGGTTCACTGAGGTGAACAACAGGGCCAGAAACTCCCACCCTTAACTTAGCGCCATCTGCTGAAGCCACCGGCATCAAGCTACACGTCTGGGACCCTTTTACTTTAATTAGTTATTTTACCATTTATTAGATGAGCTCCAGTCGTTTATTTTCATCACTTCAGATATAAACTTGTTCACCATCTCCTGATGTTTTTGCCTTGACCATTTTGACCACTCATTTATCTACCTTATGTAAATGTTTGATCATTTATTTGTAAAAGATATTTGCATAGAAGCTCATTATTCTGTTTGTGTGACTAAGAGTTAAACTCAACGCTGATGGAGGATTAAAGAGCTTTGCTGAATAGATTTATTAGATAAATATTAAGAATTGTGTCACTGTTTTTTAAAGAAAGCACAATTAATCTCATAGCTCATTGATTTTGTATTGCTAAACTTAGTGCTCATTAAGTTATGTCATTTCCTTGAGGGAACTCTCAAAAGGATAAGTCTCATCTCATCTCATCTCATCTCATCTCATCTCGGTTCCTAAATGCTTCATTTTTGGATATTGTGTTTTCTCTCAATAAAAACCTTTGTATAATGAATAAACATTTATAAATACATGATTAAAATATTATCGGCTTATATGTGAATAATTTGGTTAAACAACAAAATGTATAATAATGAGAAAAAAACTAAGCAGTTAAGATGAAGTGCTAAAAAATGTACAAGAATACATAAGAAAACAAAACGGTCTCATTTTCACACATTTAAAGTGGCAGCTTAACTAAAGTATATATTAAAAGTTCCCTGTATTAAGCGCTGTCTTCTGTACAAGACAATAGAAGATTTTAGATCCAATTTTTAAAATGTCACTTCATCTGGTGTGCTTCCCTCTCTGTTCACAGCCCTCTATATATCATCAAATATATCAGTTTTATATTAATTACTGGCTCTACTTCTACAATAAACCAAAACAGCCTGTTTGTTTTTCATAATCTCTATTTCAAAGCTACTGAAGCACTTCTCATGGTGCTGCAGTCTCGTTTCTTTATTTGGGCAGTAAAGAGGCTGAAATCTTTGGTTTGCTGTTTGAGGATATCAAGCATGAGTGTCTAACTCGAGGTCACGGCAGTCATCAATTTAAGAACATGGGTGCAAACAGTTCTGCTGTTCAGGTTAAAGAATCTTCAGGAACGTTGAAACAATGATTCCCTCAGACTTGTTGGTGAGTATAAGGCCGATCTTTTCCTCTTTTCTACTCTCTCTCATGTGTCAAACTTTCTCTTTCTCTGCAGAAGCAAACTAGGAAATGAGGAATGTCCAGATCCGTTTTGAAATTGAAAAATTAATATCTGCCAAATACGGAGTCCTGATCTGATACCTGTGTCTGCCTCGGTGAAAGAGCTGCACACCTAAATTAAGAAGAAAATGTGTTGAGCTTTTTCCATTTCTCTGAGCTGAATTAACTTTGTAAAAATCATAAATAAAATAAAAACTCTTCCACTCAGGTTGTTGTTCAAAGCAGTGAATTCAACCACCTTCTCTCTCAGCCTTTTTCTCTTCCCCTTAAGGACACTGATCCTTCCTTTTTATGTCAAGAATGTTTCTTCAGCACTGCAGCCTTTTTCCTCTGCTGCTTCAGTGAATACTCCGTCCTTTACTGCATGTTTAGTTTGAAGGTGTAGTAGCGGGTTGGTGATAATAAATGCACCTGTTTTACTGCTGCCTTGATGACTGATCGTAGTGCACGTACACTTGGACTGTTTTTACTCTTTAGTTTGAAGTATTTCCGCACTGCTGACATTTTAGCTCTGGGGTTGTTGATGTTAAGTCACTCACGTCTTTATGTTCTGCCACAAATACTAGAGTAGAGTTTCTGACAGGTGAGAGAAAGGGTTTGGAGTGAGATGATAGGCTTTGGTCTAGTAAAACATGCTGAGATCAGACCTGGTATAAGGGCCAGGGTTGGGACGTCTCTTATTGAACACTATAATTTACATTTACGTACCTATCTGTTTGTGTTATCAACATGTTTCCTTTATTAATGGATTTATATTCACAAACTGTAAGCACTGAGTGTAGATGCCGGATCATTGTTGCTGTTTAGGTACTTGAGTACACACATACCTCTGATACTATAGAGTTGGAGACATGCTGCATACTGTCATTGTGTCATGTCCTGATCATCAGCTGATGTAGCTCCCACAGTTGAGAGATATCTGTTTACTTTGTGGTGAGCTAACAGCACTGACCTGTTTTGGTGCAAATTGCTGTGAGATCTGAGTCAGTTTTATGTCTCTGGTCCCCAGAACAGGTGCTGGTCAGTTAGCTCTCGCCTCATGTCCTCCGTCTACCTGTCATGGCTGCACTCTGAGAATTCAAACAGCTACAGGTGTGCCACTAAGTCTTCAAACAGCCTTTCCTGGGCCTTTATTAACACTCAAAGCCACTGGTTTCCTCTCAACTCTGAACATTTGATTTGACTAAAATCTATAAATTTGCTTTTGACCGACAACAATTTCAGGCGACATTAACACGGCCTGTACACACAGCTTTCAGTACATTAACAGTCCTAAAGTCTTTAAGTCTTTAAGTTACTGGTGACTCCAGTTAATATTCTTCACTGGTAACAGGCCTGCTCAAAATAAATCCAGTGGCATCTCGCTACTGCGCTTGTTTATGCTGATGGCTCTGTTTTTAGGTCCCTTAGGAGCCTGCTCTCAGACAAAAGTCCCACAAGAAGCCTTTACAGACTAAAAAACAACAACAGACTCACCATGACTCTGACAGGACTGTGGTAATAATAAGCCTTCTATGATGGTGTAGGAGCACTCCTATCCAATAGATCCTACTCTCCATAACAGTGTGTGTGTCCTTCTCATAAACGTTTTCTCTTGTTAGTCGAGGAAATTCCAGGAAGCAGAGATGTTTGTTGTTGGTGTAATATTCCCTTTTACTGGCTTTGTTACAGCCTGTCCATTGAGATTCTTTTGTAAAAGCATCTATAACATAGTCTGTGTTTTTCCTGCAGTATGCTCGAACATTTTCCTACTCATGAATAAAAAAAAAGGGTTTTCATTTTCAGATTTTGTTCTTCTTTTGGTCTGATTTAACATGTTCTTGGATCTCTTTTCTTGCCCTAAATAAAATATTTATGATTTGATAAAAAGAGGATTTTCAGTGAGAGTTATCTGCTGAACAACTCGGTGCTTTGTGGCTCTTTCTGACATTGCATTCTACTCAAAAGTCTGGTGTTTGTTTTATGTGTGAAGTAGGAATATGAATTTCCTCACTTACGTTGACGTCTGACTCCGACTGACTCTACACGGATTTATGAGCTTATAAGATGGAGATGTAATGGTTCCCCTGAGCCACTTTTTCTTTCCAGATCAGACATTTCATTTGGAGCAGCACTGCAGGTGGAAGTGTGCTTCAGCTTTACCTGCTTTAATTTTCCTTTCATCAAATGTTAATCACCTACCAAATAAAAATACCGCCAAACACTCTGTATTTTAGGATCTGAAGGCTGAAAAATAACAAAAAAAGGTTTGGGCTCTTTAATTTTCAACCATCTGATGTTTTTGTTACAGTCACTGTAAGTCGAGGTCCTTTTCTTTAGAGTTTCAAAGATGATGTTACTGCACCATATGGAGGCTGTGGCTCAGTGGTAGATCTGGTCATGTGTCTGTTAGAGACTGGGTTTGAGTTTGATCCTGGGTCCTGCTGTCCACACGTCGAAGTGTCTGTGGGTAAAACACTTGGCCCCAGGCTGCTCCCAGTCGAAGTTTAAGCGATGTGTGAATGGCGTTAGTTAATACTGAATGACAATTTATATACCAGACTCTGCCATGTGTGCACAAATACTCTGAAAATAGATAAATGTGGCATTTAATGTGAAAGTGCTCCAAGGGTTATATAAATACAGCCCATTTAGCATCCCACGGCACTTAAGAGTGAGTGACGGTAGGAAGAAAGAGCAATGTTGTGTTAGGTGCCAAAGTGATAAACATACAGCTGATTGAGTTCACAACCCGGCTCCAGGAGCAGCTTCTCAGGTTGACAGACTTTTTGAGCAGCTGGAGAGAAATGATTCCTCAAAAGTTCGGATGTCTTTTTGGTATTTTTACCCCAATTCGACGTAAGCTTTGGGTCACAGAGTAAAACTGAAGTCATGATAGAGAAAATATGGGTAAAACTTGGGACTAGGGCTGCAGCTATCGATTATTTTAGTAATCGAGTACTCTATCGATTAATCTGTCGATTAATCGAGTAATCGGATAAGAAATGTTTTGCTCTCACTGTAATACTTTGCATTGAATCACGTTTGCCTCATTAAAAACCATCAGTAACACACAAAACTGAAATAGGCCAGGTCTTTCAAATGAATATTTTTACTGCATAAATCAGGAACCAAAAGTTTTACATTTTACCATGTAGTTCACATGAAACTACTGAAGGCAAGGTCTGCAGATGGTCTTTTAATTGCTATGGTAATGATCTTTGCAGTTTTCACTAAACCAGTCACAACTATTTCCAGGCTTTGGATCTAATTTTACTTGTTTAATTAATAGGCTGAAATAATATAATTCTTGGATACTAACATAATTTGACAAGCAAATGTACATTTATTCAATATATAAAAGTGTTACATTTTTATTTACATGTTGTTGTGTGTTGGTCATTTTGCAGCCCTCTGCTGCTCATCACACGCCTAGCAGGTGGTGTATAGCATTATCACCATGGATACACGGATGTTTGTGTGATTTTTTTCATCCACTGCCGCCCGGTTTGTGTCGTGTAGATGTTGATTATGAAAATACTTCGCAATAATTTGGAAACGTGAAGGGGGAGCTGCTGCTGCCCGGTGTTTACGGTAAATAGACGCAAACACCGACCAAGTGGACGCTTCGGTCTCCGAAAACGCAGAGACAAATTTACAAACAGCCACTATTTCAAACAACTGGGCTCATAATCGTGATGTAAACACTTACTTTCTCGCTAGAAAAAATATTATTATTGAATGAATTTATATAATTTGTCCGGTATGCAGTCGTTCTATGTAGCTTGTGGTAGGACTATTTAAATTTTCCCGGCGCTGCGTCCGGCCGGCACGAAATGCATTCTGGGGTATTTAGTATGTATGTGTGTAAACGCTCGGGCAGCCGCGGCATACTCAAATCATCTTTGAGTAGTCAGTAGGCAGTAGCTACTGCTTGAGTAGGTAAGTAGATAACAGGCAGTATGCCATTTCGGACACAGCGGCTGTGTCCGAAATGGCCTACTACTCCTACTACTCCTACTAACCCCGCCTCTGAATTGAGTAGGCAGTGCGTTCACACTGTACAGTATGCGAATTTTGTGTATGCGAGAAATGCCCGGATGTATACTCAATCGGCTTCGATTTCTGAGTGTGCAACGGAGCTTGCTTCACGTACTGCTTCTGCCCCACAATGCATTGCGCACCTCAGCTGGTAATATGGCCCTCCTTCCCGAGGCTGAAAAGAAATAGATGGCATGTGATTGCAATAATAATGATATATATATAAATAGATAAACAATATTTAGTCCGTATACATTACACAATTTTCATCATTTTATCATATTTTGATCTTTTTACCGGATTTATTTGTATTTTAAATTAGGATTATAGGCAATGTTTTTAACTATTCGTATGAATTGACTTTATTTATTTAAGTGTCTATTAAAGATGTATTTATTACATCAAGTTTGAGCATCTTCTCATCTCTGAATGCATCATCAAAGTGGTCGCTCATATTAAGCACAGACCTCTGATTAATAAAAATTATCTTTGGTAGAGAGCACATGGTTCAGAATATACAAACGGGGGAGTTTCCAGTTGACAATGTATGTAAGCTTTACTAATTCTTACTTGTGGTTGAAAATCTGATGGTTTCTGAAATTATCATTGTACATGAAAAGAATGTAGTCGGGAAATGATGTATTTGCCAAGGAATAACCGAACAAGGTCATAATAATTATGTTGTGTGTTGGTCATTTTGCAGCCCTCTGCTGCTCATCACACGGCCAGCAGGTGGTGTATAGCATTATAACCATGGATACACGGATGTTTGGGTGATTTTTTTCATCCACTGCCGCCCGGTTTGTGTCGTGTAGATGTTGATTATGAAAACACTTCGCAATAATTTGGAAACGTGAAGGGGGGGCTGCTGACGCAAACACCGACCAAGCGGACGCTTCGGTCTCCGAAAACGCCGAGACAAATTTACAAACAGCCACTATTTCAAACAACTGGGCTCATAATCGTGATGTAAACACTTACTTTCTCGCTAGAAAAAAATATTATTATTGAATTAATTTATATAATTTGTCCGGGATGCAGTCGTTCTGTGTAGCTTGTGGTAGGACTATTTAAATTTTCCCGGCGCTGCGTCCGGCCGGCACGAAATGCATTCTGGGGTATTTAGTATGTATGTGTGTAAACGCTCGGGCAGCCGCGGCATACTCAAATCCTCTTTGAGTAGTCAGTAGGCAGTAGCTACTGCTTGAGTAGGTAAGTAGATAGTAGGCAGTATGCCATTTCGGACACAGCCAGCTTCTGTCTGTCCTCGGCTGTGTCCGAAATGGCCTACTACTCCTACTACTCCTACTAACCCCGCCTCTGAATTGAGTAGGCAGTGCGTTCACACTGTACAGTATGTGAATTTTGTGTATGCGAGAAATGCCCGGATGTATACTCAATCAGCTTCGATTTCTGAGTGTGCAACGGAGCTTGCTTCACGTACTGCTTCTGCCCCACAATGCATTGCGCACCTCAGCTGGTAATATGGCCCTCCTTCCCGAGGCTGAAAAGAAATAGATGGCATGTGATTGCAATAATAATGATATATATATAAATAGATAAACAATATTTAGTCCGTATACATTACACAATTTTCATCATTTTATCATATTTTGATCTTTTTACCAGATTTATTTGTATTTTAAATTAGGATTATAAGTAATGTTTTTAACTATTCGTATGAATTGACTTTATTTATTTAAGTGTCTATTAAAGATGTATTTATTACATCAAGTTTGAGCATCTTCTCATCTCTGAATGCATCATCAAAGTGGTCGCTCATATTAAGCTCAGACCTCTGATTAATAAAAATTATCTTTGGTAGAGAGCACATGGTTCAGAATATACAAACGGGGGAGTTTCCAGTTGACAATCTATGTGAGCTTTACTAATTCTTACTTGTGGTTGAAAATCTGATGGTTTCTGAAATAATCATTGTACATGAAAAGAATGTAGTCGGGAAATGATGTATTTGCCAAGGAATAACCGAACGAGGTCATAATAATTATGTTGTGTGTTGGTCATTTTGCAGCCCTCTGCTGCTCATCACACGCCTAGCAGGTGGTGTATAGCATTATCACCATGGATACACGGATGTTTGTGTGATTTTTTTCATCCACTGTCGCCCGGTTTGTGTCGTGTAGATGTTGATTATGAAAACACTTCGCAATAATTTGGAAACGTGAAGGGGGAGCTGCTGCTGCCCGGTGTTTACGGTAAATAGACGCAAACACCGACCAAGTGGACGCTTCGGTCCCCGAAAACGCCGAGACAAATTTACAAACAGCCACTATTTCAAACAACTGGGCTCATAATCGTGATGTAAACACTTACTTTCTCGCTAGAAAAAAATATTATTATTGAATTAATTTATATAATTTGTCCGGGATGCAGTCGTTCTGTGTAGCTTGTGGTAGGACTATTTAAATTTTCCCGGCGCTGCGTCCGGCCGGCACGAAATGCATTCTGGGGTATTTAGTATGTATGTGTGTAAACGCTCGGGCAGCCGCGGCATACTCAAATCATCTTTGAGTAGTCAGTAGGCAGTAGCTACTGCTTGAGTAGGTAAGTAGATAGTAGGCAGTATGCCATTTCGGACACAGCCACAGTTTCCCTCCATGATTGAACCAAACGCGCGGCAGCGGAAGGAGCGGAAAGAGCACGCTTCTGCGCAACAGAAATAACCGTCCGTGTCAAACACCGTGCGCTGCACATGGTTCCGGATTTAAACGATTCCTCGAGGCATATAATTTGCCTCGAGGAATTTTATTAATCGAGTTACTCGAGTTACTCGAGTAATCGTTTCAGCCCTACTTGGGACAGGTAAAACTTTTCCAGTAAGGTGTAAGAATTACCTGATTATTAATGATGTCTGGGAGATGTTCAGTGTTCAGTTTTCTGCCATTAACATCAGTAAAGAAACAAAGGCCTGATTTCCCGACTTAATATCAAAGTGTAAAGAACTTTTAATTAAGTCCCGTCTTTCTGTTTTTCTTTCTAATGTGGTCGTAACACTGCCTGGCTTAAACCCCACAGAGACAGGGAGCACGGCTAAATACACTTTCTAGGATTTATATATATATAAAAAGAAGGTGTATGTGGTGTGCAGTAAAAGTGCTTTTGGTTGTGATACTGTAGGAGGGTGGTCACAGCTCACAGGTTGAATTTGTTCGCTAAAGCAGAAGGTTCAGGAAGGACTATGTGGAGTGGAGCAGATGAAACTGTAGAATCACAAACCTCTAAAGGTGGCCGAGTCCGTTAGAATTCATCTACCAGTTGAAATGTGGAGGCAGAGACCCTCTCTACCTTTCAGAGAACACTTAAAACTTCGACCTGGTTCAGCTCTTCGTTAAGCTTCTGTAGGTTTAGACTGTCATGGGTACTGGAACATCGAGGACCTTGATGAATCGAACCCATCCAGACCAGGTTCCAGAAAAACTGAACCTCCACTGCACATTGGCAACATCTACTAAGTTTTACACACTACCTCAACACACTTTTGAGCACACCTTAGAGCGCTCCTCATTCCTCATTTTTTAAACCAATTATTTTGGGTATTTTTTTATATTTACTGTGAAGTTAATTTGTATGTATAAACCAAATAAGCATTTAGATATAATCATTGGCGCGGGGTAAGCCTGCTGGAGGGCTATGGAAACATTAAGCGACTGGTTTATTCTTTTGGCTTGAATTTACACTCCTTAAGGGTCTGGGAAAATAAGGTCTGGGTCAGTGAGATATGGGGTTTCAGGAGCATGACCGGGAAGGACAATAAGAGAGTGTGGCAGGGAGGTTTGGCCGGTGAGGAAGGGGCTGGGGGCCGACAAGGGCAGAGGGTGTTAATAGAATCAGGGTTTCCTCTAGATGAGCTTCAGAACAGGGCTGGCTGGACTGTTGACATGTAATCATTGAATGTCATGAGAGGGCAAAAACACAACCTGCTGCTGTGAGGCTGAACTATAATTCCCACTGGTACCATTGTCATGGTGTGTTACAGACCACAGAAGTTACTGAAGCCGTGGAGTTTGATTCAAAATTCAACCAATCCTGTGCGACGATACAGGTGCATAGATTATTTTAACACAGAGAACCCTTTCATTTGACGTTTGTTTCACTTCTTATGGGCGTACAACACGAATCAGACTTACAACAAATTAGGCCTGCACGATATATCGTTTGAATATCGTCATCGCGATGTAAGTGTCTGCGATAGTCACGTCGGAGGTGAATGAACTCAGTTAATTTCAAGAGTAACTGACTGCGATACACTGCATGTGACTCTGCATGTGCTGTGCAGCGTTCCACCAATCACCTTCGTTCTTTACTCAGTTGCCAATTAGACTATCCTGCCAGCTGTCAATCAAAATCAGATAGGAGGAAACCCACCCCTGCACCTGTCCTGCAAATGGAGTGAGTCGCGTGTCCGCTGAGAATTACTTTCGGAACATTCTTCATGACTGTTTAGCCCAACAAATACGAACTGTATGGGTTTTAAATTGTATATTTCCGTGGACCACTCTACTATAAGCGGTGCGCGTTTTGCGAGGTGCATGCAATTCTCGGACATGCGTTTCTCAGCACAACCCCGTTAACAACAACAACAACGATCGCAAACTAAGCAACAAGCAGAGAAAACCACAGAAGATTAAGATTTGTTGCCAAAAAGAAAAGGAAAGTCGGTTATCTGGAATTATTTCGGTTAAAAGAAGGATGATGTCGACCAAAACACGTGTTCTGTGTTCATCTGTTTCCACAATAACGTCCCAGAACAATAAAAGCTAAAAATATCTCCGAGACAGACAGAAGCCGTTCTACTAACATTCACAAAAAGAGGTAAGATCAGTGCAGGTTAACTGTCCTCAAGATTTCAGCAGTGCAGCATAACAGTAAGTGCTATTCAGGTCATCTGGTGAAAATTCCTCTATATTTTAATATCCAATATATATCGCAGGGTTGAAAAAATCGCAATATTAATTTTTTCCAATATCGTGCAGCCTTACAACAAATGCAAACATCTGCACGAGTACTGGTATTGTGCACAGTGAAATGAAATGGCTTGTTATTCATACAAGCGTCTCTGCACCAACACAAATCCCCCTTTACTGTTCGTAGCAAATATAACCTCCATCATGCAAAATGCACGATATAAAGGAGATGTACAGTACACTCTCAATATTGTAGTTCCATGTTAAATGTTTATGTCCTTCCTCTCTTCCTCAGACCCTCTGGCCCAGGCTGATGCTTTTGCCAGCCCAAGAAGGAACATCAGGGGGTATGTACTTAACTGAGTTTGGACCAGCAGGGATGTTGGAGGCGTGACACAATACCAGCCCTCTACACATTGATTCAAAGAACTACGCCGCTCCACGATGCATCGGGGGAAAGCTCGGGACAGCTGATTTACCATCCCTGTCGGATTTAATGTCTTATGAGGCTCCCTACCATGCGACTGTCCTCTGTGGAAGGACACATAAAAACCTCCGCTCCTCCATCAGTAAGAGCTCTCAAAGGCATGACTGACGGTTATTTTGCTCAGGTAAAGTGTATCTTTCAAATCTTGATTTTATCAGTGATGGTTATTAAAAAAACACACATCGCCTCCTCTAGTCACATTACTGACTTCATGACTGGTCTAGTTAAACCAGGCTTAGCTGCCGTTTAGGAGTCAATCACTGTTGTTGTAAATCAAACATGTGAAGTTGTGGTTCATCTTTTCAGAAGTCAGGATGAACATTTATGTGAATATTTTCTAGCTGAAAATATGATGTATGAGCTCGATTGGTTTCTATTGAGCAGCAAACAGAGGGCATTTAGTTAACCTTTGCTAGTGTGAAGTTGGACAGTATATTGCATTAATATTATGATAAAGCCAGGTTGGTATGGGCTTCTGTTATTGCTGATTGATTTGATCATTTCTTGCTCTGTATAGTTTTGGCAGTAAGATATACATGTATAAAGATAGACATCACTCGAATTGTCAAAATAGTAATAGCAATAGTATCTGTAGTGTGTTCCATTGAAAATGAATTCTGGGATATTAGCCAATAATCTCTGAAGACTGTATCCCTGAAGGATACATGATCCCTCAGGGACACAGTGCAGTTTAATTAAATGCTGGGAAATAAATGATTTGCAGTCATGACCATCATTAAATCTGCCTCACAAAAAAAAAGAAAACTCAGGTATTACAGACTTAATTCCACAGTCATTCATTTCACTGTTGGTTCAGCACAATTAGAGGTCCCGTGGATTCAGAACTAATCCTTCCAGGACATGAATCATGGATGCAGGAGACAGAAATGAATTACCTGTAATACCAAGGTACTAAAGCCCAGTACAAACCTCAGCTTAAACCAACCCCTGCCTTTAATTCTTGTATCCACTTCTGTCTTTGGAGACTCAGATACTCAGGTTTGTCTAATTATTTTTGACTAAAGAGGAGAAGGAGGCCCTCGTGGAACAATGATGCATTATGATCCAGACTGAGTGGGAGCTGACGGTGATTGTCCTGGTCTGTGGCTGCAGGATTTCAGATTAGGATTCGTTTTAAAAATAAACCACTGTGACTCTTACACCTTTTTGCTGTTTTAGTGGAATTTAAAATCACATCATGAGGTGAATCAAGTGTAAGTTTCTGTAAATTACTGATGAATCTCATGTTTTTTCCCACAGGAGTAAAAGAGGCAGCGATGATCTCGACTATGACCCTGAAAGATGCCTTTGGTGCCGTTGCATGGACACAGAAAACAGGGACCTACCTCAGCCTCTACCTGCTCTTGTCTCTCTTCGTCTTCACTGTCCACACGGATATAGTGTTTTCTAAGGACCATCATTTCTCATGGAAAGCAGGTAAAACGTGTTTTACTGCAGTTCATACAATTGTTAATCAAAACCCACTTTTGACTTTGATTCTTCCAGATTCAATCATCCTGGCAGAGGTGGGCGCTGTTGATCAAAAATGTAACTCTGTTGGGTGAAGCCACAGCGAGAACAGCACCCTCTGGTGACGGGCTGCAGTATAGGCCATAAATCCAGCCATCTCTATGGAGTTGTGGACAAACTTTATAAATTAATGACACAGAATATGAATTTTTCTCCTTTCATTGCAGAGACTCTCCTGCTGAATGCGTGTAACGTTACTGCGAAAGCGGTGATTCCAGGAAGTGGAGAAAATCCCAGAAATACTGAGAGCAATTCGGCTTTAGATACGTATGATTACGGAAGGCTGGGCCAAGTTGTCCATAGCAAATACAGTCTATGACTTTAACAACAATAACAGTGAATTAGTTCTATGTTGAAAATAAACTGAAGTTAGCATCAGAATCTGTCAGGTTTGACTTTGCAGTGTGTGAGACAGCTCGGTGGTGGTTAAGGAAGCCCTCTATCTGGTCTACATGGATTCAACTGGAAATATGATTACAACTAAGTCATATACACACTTTGCACACACATCAGAAAGGCTTTTGTCAGCTGTAAGACCATAAACTGATGACACACCTCAGACATATACAGTATGCTCTCTAAGGTTTATTCAGATTCAGATTCAGACAACTTTATTTATCCCCTAAGGACAATTCCGTTCACAGTTACCCTGCCGTTTGATCCGTCCAAACACACAAATCAGCAGACAAACAAACCAGACAAGTGCAAGACTTTAATAGCAGCCAGTAGACGACCACATTCCCTTGTCAGAACTCACAGATCAGCAGGATCAGCAATGAGACACAAGATAAGAAATAAAACACTCCTGAAGCTCCAGTTCAGCACAGGACACATATGACCATCAGCCGACTTCCAGGCATTTAAAAGGCTGATGGGAGAGATGGGGAGAAAAGAGTTTGAGTATCACACACACACACACACACACACACACACACACCAATGTTTTACCTTTAGCTTTCATACTGGCTTGAAAATCTAACTTTCCGTCGTTGGCGAGCTTCTCATGGATTAGCCAGTTTCTGTCCTCCGTAGTTGAGCCCTCAGTCTCAGCCTGAGCTTTCCTGTAGATGAACTAACAGCTGCTCTGTTAGCGCTGGTTGTCTCCGTCAGTGTCCAGATTCAGATTTTTCGAAGGTAAAACAAAGTCAGACAGCACAAGACTTAACCGTCTCTTTGATCTCACTCCTCTTACTGAGCTCCCGGAGTATAATTTGACGAAGACGGGAGCAGAGAGGCATGTGATCTGCTGTAAACACCTGTCGGATACAGACACCTTTAAAAAGCATGTTTTCCTCATACAGGGATATTAAAATGCTGAAGTGGAGAAAGAAAGTATCAAGGAAAAAGAAAAAGAGACGCTGCTGCATCGCTGTAGCCTTAATTATTGAATAATTTTAGATCAAGAATTCTTGTGAAGCTTCTGATAAATTAACCACAATTCTTTTAATGATGTCCCCCGTTTGTTTAATTGGTGTTTGTGCCCCAGAACATCAGTGAATATGGAGACGGTTGGTCTTAAATTGTGCCTGATTGCTAGTTGCATGTTGTAATTTAAGATACTTTTCTAATTTTTGATTAAAAAATGTTTGTTTTTCTGCCTCTGTCTTTTCTGGTTTCAGGTCAGTGGGGTCAGTGTGTCGGGGAGAGGTGCGGCTCCGGTGGGGTTCAGACAAGGACAATATGGTGTGTCCACATAGAGGGTTGGACTACCCAGCATTCTCACTGCCAACACACGGACAAGCCAGAAAGCCAGCGCCACTGCTTTAAAGTCTGCGACTGGCATCAGAACCTCTTTAAGTGGGAAGTGTCGGGCTGGAGCAGCTGTGTTCTGGCCCCCTTCTTTTTTAACGAGCTCAAACTTAGAACTGCTGAGTGCATCACAGCACAACATGGTATTCAGAGGCGCAAAGTCCACTGTGTACGCACTTCAAATTATACCGCAGTCACGCCAAGGATATGTGAGTTTTTCTCTCAGAAACCACCGACGGAACAGGCCTGCCTCGTCCCCTGCCCACAGGACTGCATCGTTTCAGACTTTACCTCCTGGTCTAGTTGCAGTAAAACTTGCGGCGTTGGCCTGCAACATCGGACTAGACACGTCCTGGCTGCACCCATGTACGGAGGTGCAAACTGCCCAAACTTGACGGACACAAAGACTTGTTCCACCCATCTTAGCTGCCCTTCTGAGGAGAGTGAGTACCAGTACAGCCTGAAGGCAGGAGCCTGGAGCAAGTGTCGGCTTCTTCATCACCAGGATTCAGGGCTCAGAGGCGACAGTACAGTCGACCTGAGCATCAGCTCCAATGACAACAGCACAGTTACGCTGACCAAACACGTTACTCCACACCACCCCCATCAGCACCTTCATCAGACCCCATCCCACGGGCATGACATGTCCTGGGAACTTTTAGTGGGATACCAGACGAGACAAGTCTACTGCACACGGAGCGATGGGAAGAACTCTCTGCTGAGGTAGGCCGATCTTCAGTGATGCGAGACAACGCATTTTTCACCAAGCAGGTGAATGAAAAAGTGTCCGTGAGACGAGTGGGGAAACATTTACTCAGGGGAAAATCCATATTTTTGAAGCCCACAAAATTGAAGGGCTTGTAATGACAACGATTTGGCTGAACAAAAAAGCCGCTTTGTTGCTGAAATGAGACCCTGACCTGAATGATTTTAAATGGATGTCACCTCCTCTACTAAAGAGAGAGAAACAGACAGACGGATAGATAGATATAGATGGATAGATATCTGCTTTTTGTGGCTCTGATGTCGTCCACTTTTGAAATAGCAGAGCTCAAAACTTGGTCGATCGCTCTGCTAACAGTCGTTTTTGGGACTAGAACTGAAAACAGCTGTTTATATGTACGTGAATATGTGACAGTTCCTGCTTTGTCTGTACAGGGAACACAATAATGGCAAAATAACAGGAACTAGTTAATGTGAAAGGGTGGTGACACCAGCGTACACCGCTGTAAGATTTATATCAGCCCTCATCTCTGCTAATACAGACGGGGAAAAAGGCCCCATGCTGTACAGGTCCCAGGGAACGCCCACGTGGATAGTTCCTCTTTAAGAAGCTCCCTGTCAGACGGTGAGGTCCAAAAACATCTTCAGTCACTTTCTGTCGACAGCAGCGTATCATGTGTTGTGGTCTCTGACTGATTAAAACTGCTAGATTGAGAGACAGTGGGTGCTTTGAAAGCGCGTTTATATGCTAATGAGGCGCTATTGTGGGGAGCACCTCCTGTTTCCTCTGTTTGATACCCCCACCCACACACACACACACACACACACACACACACACACACACACACACACACACACACACACACACACACACACACGCACGCAGGTTACTTCTTTCGAGGCGATAACAATTTTCTTGTCCCTTTCTGTGTGTTGAATTATAATGACTGAATAATGGAACACCGTCATGGAGGTGAGAAGATTCACTCGAGGTGCATTTTTAAGTCTGTTTTACTAAACAATCAATAATGATACATTGAAATGACACTGTTTTTATCTGTAGTCATTAGCGCTGCAGCTCCACACCACACAGCTAAGCGCTGTATTTCATTATTGGTGAATTAAGGACCATTCAGAGCCATGTTTCTGAAGCTCTCCATGGAGCCAATGATAGAAGAAGAAGAAGAAGAAGAACTTTTTTAATCCCTGAAGGGAAATTCAATTGTTTGTTGTCTTACACAATATGTCTCTAAAACTCATCTACCATTTACACAAGAGTTATAATGTCTGTTGGTCCAAAGATCTTCTGAATCTTTCTGTCCTGCAGTGAAGAGAGAGGAGCCGTCCACCACCATTGGTCCTTTGGTCCATCAAGGTGTTGTGAAGTGGGTGATCCATGTTCTTTAGAATAGTCTCCACCTTCCTCAGTGTAGATCTCTCCACCACATCCTCCACAGAGCCAGCCTTTTTCACCAGTTTGTTCAGACGTCTCCATCTTTGTGTTTGATACTTCCTCCTCAGCAGACTGCAGCGTAGAACAGAACACTGTAGATCTACACCACAGACTGATAAAACATCTGCAGCATCTAACTACAGATGTCTATTGATCGGAGTCTTCTCAGGCTAAAGATGTAGATGAAGTCTATATTCTTAGACCAGTCCAACTTATTATCCAGACGTACACCGACGTATTTATATGTTTGTCTTGAAGTTATTAAGATGTTTGTCTCATTTCTCAGACTCTGAAAAGATGTCCTGTTGTGTCCTTTGGTGAAAGAAGCTAAACTTCAAATTGTAATTTACTCACCAAGTTTAAACCTAAAAACGATGAAAAAGAACTCAGATCATGTTTAGTTTTTTTTTTTAATGACTGCTATGAACAGCAAGCTTACAAAGCGACACAAAAGACTGAAACGTCCTCCAGCGTGAAAGAAAAAGGTACTCTAGTGTGTGACCCTCTCTGTCACACTGGAGGACAACGTCCCCCAAAAGATAAACTAGTTTAGAAGTGATTCAGCAGTCTAAGTATGCTTCTGTGTGCTGTGCAGAAAAACTGAGCTGAGGAACAAGGACATGAAACAGTAACAAATATTTTTAAGAGCTCAGGCATCATAACAGTAGACCTGATACTCATAATATTCATAAAGAACTACATTATATGACAAATAATGCTAAAACATTCATAACTGAATGTTTGCCTCTGCAGGATAATCACATGATAATAAATTATTTGCATTATGTGTTGAATTACTGCCCTCAACTCTCGAGAGGTTAACAGAGAGAAAACCATGTGAATGTTTTATATTATCTCCAGATTTCAGAGGCTGTCGCTGTTTTTCCCAGTTTAAGTATAAAATGGACTAAATTAACCTACTTGGCTGAAATAATTTAAACTTTAAATCAATCAATCATTTTTTGTTTATAAAACACCAAATCATTATTATTATCAATACCATTAATCATTATCAGCTGTTCTCCCAAGACACTTTCCAAAAGAGCAGTTCTAGACCTAACTCTTTGTTTGATGGATTCAGTAAATAAGTCATAATGGACTGATGTTAAATTAACTTAAAGGAGATTTAATTCAGAATTTAACAGAAGTTAATTTTAACTGTATGTTATTATAAAATGTTTATTTTCTCATTATGTGATTAATGTCGGTGAGGCTGTTGTTCATGTCTGCAGCAACAGTCCAGAGGAACCTCAGAGACGAAGGAGCTCAGGGCCTGAACTAAAGAGCTTTGCCATATTTAAAATGAGTTTCTATCTAAAAATATCTAAAAACTGTTCAATCCTGTGAAGGTTGTGATATAAAGTTCAACGTTTTATGAGGTTTAAAGGAGAATTTGGTGTTTTGCAACCTCAGCCAACACTGGAGCAGTTTCACCGACTGTTCTCCCCATCAGTCAAACCCACACAAACACAGGAGGAAACAGGGCCCAGGTGGAAGTCGTGGTTCAAATTGTGTTTTTTCCTGATTGTATAATATGAAGATATTTCTCTGTGTTTTTGAATGTCACACAGCAGGGCAGATTCATGGTACAGGTCAGAGAGTCTCTTGTATTTTCTCAAAAGTGAGAACTTTGTTCGTTTCTTTTTTATGCTATTTTATTTAAAACAACAACAACACATTTCTAAACTCTTACTTTCCATCTCCTCATTTATTAAAGTTTATTATGTGTTCATATCCTGTTTGGATAACAGGCTTCTTTGATATGTATTGACATTTGTTATTCTCAGAGGCGAGGCAGATTCACTGGCTTTCTGAGCTGAGTGTGAAGGCACTATTTACAGTTCAGTGCCTGATTAGCATAATATTTGTCAGGGACTTTTTATGTCTGGATTTCCCACCTGAGTTCTGCCTCATTATGCTTTGCTAATTACTTCCTGATTACAAAGTAAAATACTGAAATGAGCATTGCATGCATCTCTTAACCGGGCTTTCTGACTTAGCTCTGCAGAATTCTGGATCCTGATTGGTCAATACCTCATAAACAATGGAAATTAATTTTCATTTGTGAGGGAGAATCCAGGGACAACAAAGCATATCTTATCATAACAAATAAATCCACACAGTTAAGGGTCTGGATGTTCGCAATAAGGCAAAAATACAAGTGGTAGAGTACATCATCTCAGTTGGAGGGATGGGGGCTTTAACTCAGGGTCCTACCGTCCTGCCAAAGTGTCCTTGGGCAACGTACCTTGCTCCAAACATATAGAAATGAGCCTTTCCCAGACACACACTGTATTTTTTCACCACTCTTCTTGTGTGATTCTGTGGATGTTAAGAGGACACAGCAGATTTGGACTTTGCTTTTACATGTCTGGAGTTCTTCTTACTTTGGCTGCTTGGTTGAAAAATGTGAAATAATGTGACTGTGACATGTTTTCAGGTCATGAACAGGTTTAAACGGTACACTAATAAGACAGTTTTTACCGAAGATGATAAATGTCCCATTTTTAGTGTGGTTATATGAAAGCCTGCAGACCTGATGAGCTTTTGGGTGAGCTGCATGTGAGAGAGCACATTAGTGAAAACAGAAAAAGTGCTGAAAAGGTTCCGCTCAACAAAGACAGTCACATAGCTACCAGTTCTCCCAGTCAAAGGGGCTGAGCTGACCAGTATCTATTGTGGCAAATACATTTATTAGAGACAACAAACTCATTCAACCCCACCTCAGAAATACTGTACCTCAGTGCCTCACAGCAATGCATGTTTGGCTGTGCCGTTTTGCTTTCTCTAAATGTGGTCATGAATGTGCCGTACATCTCCAGCGCTGTGAAAGCTGCGTCAGTTTCATATCCCATGATTCTTTGAGCTAGTTCTGAGATGACAGATGCTCTAACTGCTGAGTAATGGACTTGTTACGTAATAGTGAGCTGTACAAATGTTGTAAAAGATGAAAGCATTGTTACCTAACGACTGCTAACAACAAGAGAGGCGCTACATGACACCAGGGTCAGGGCAGAAAAGATCCCTGATGTGGGCTCTCAGGAGTAGAATGTCTCGATCCAGTTCGACCTTACCGGTCCACTCAGGCCACCTAGGCTGGGAGCTGAAAATGCTGGATCCTCTGAAGAACGCAGTACCATCTACCCTCTGAATTTTGAGAAGAAAACACCCTGACGTTAACCTGGGAGTTAAGAGAAAATCGACTCTGAATATAATCAACTCTAAATATAAAGTGAATCAAAAAATAATGAAGTTCACTCCAATACTTGTCAACAGGGAGGACTTGTTGCTGTTAGGGGACGTGTGTGAAAGTGAAGTCAGGGACAATCATTTCTGGAGCTCATTTGTGACGAACGTAAATACCTGTAGTTATCGAAATAGTGAGCATCTGTGTGGAATTGACTCAGTGTTGTGGACAGGTATAGAAAATATGATCAGTAATCTGTTTTCTTTGGAGGTTACTAAATGTTTTATTTCTGATTTGTTTGACTCTTGTATTATTGTCTTAATTTTTGTGTCCTCTCAATCCACAGTCTTTGTACCAAGGACAACTTCCCTGTAACGTCCCAGGCATGTGTGATGCCTCAAGACTGCAAGACATCTGATTGGTCATTGTGGAGTCCCTGTTCGAAAACCTGCAAGTCCTCAGACCTGTCTCCTGGTTACCGTCTCCGGTCAAGGATTATGACACACATCCCGGTCGGAGGGGGGAAACAGTGTCCTGTCCTTGAGGAAAAAGAAGCTTGCAATATCATCGGGGATTCACTTCCCAACTGCCCCAGGTAGTTTCAGAAGCGCTGCGGACATGTTTTCATTCGTCCACCGATGATTCACTCTGTGCGTCATTTTTTTGGGTGGTACCTCTAATATCCTGAGAAATCTTCAATGAGCTCAACAACTATGAGGAGTTCCAGGCATGTGTTCAATCTCACTACGCTCCGAGTCTTTGGGCTTTCATCGTTATTTGGCTGATATTATGTGTATTAAATACATTAGGCAACAGAGAACTGTTTTCTGTTCTCTGTTTGATAAATCTACACCAAATGCCCGAGAGCAAAGGATTTACATGACTGGGGAAAAGTAAAATGAAGCACTTAGAGTAGATTACTACAGGCTGTTGTGTTGATGCATGTTATTGCTTTTGCACACTTGCATCTCTTTCATATTTGAAGCACAACATTTTTTTAAATGAATTTTAAATCAAATAATTAAACCCTCCTCCTCCTCCTCTTAATGTGACTTTTCCCTGAGAACAAGTAGAGCTGCTGCTATTTGCATACTGTAAACATGGAGGGCTTGTGCTGACTGGAGTTGTTTTTCATTTTTCATGTCCGTCCTGGCAGGTTTGTGTGGAGGACCACTGACTGGGGGGAATGTCGCATCCTACCCTTATTAAGTCAGCAGGACCATCGGCTGGGTAACATCAGTATTCTGTGTGGAGGTGGGATCCAGTCCAGGAAGCCATACTGTGTACAAGTCTCCAACGACACAGCTCCACATCACAGGAAACATGGTAATTAAGTCCACCTCCATCACACCACGGCTCAGAGAATACATGATACATTCAGAGTGAACTTGGGCCTGTAACAAAAGCTGTAAATGTGGAATTAAAGTCAGAGTTGGAGCAGGTTATTCAGCCTGTGTTTCATAAGCTTAATTATATCCTGAGTAAGCCTTTGGATAGCATGCACCCCCGTTTTTGAGAAGGCTCATTTCACTTCCATAAATGCATTTTTTTTTTCATCTAAGGGGGTTGCAAAAACTTGCCTTTTGTTAAAATATCAGAAATGTTTCAAACCTAATTTGAAACCAGATCCTTCTGCCTGTTTCATTTTGAAAAGAGGCCAACCACACGTCATTAAAATAATGACAGCAATTGTCATCAGGATTAGTCCTCCCAAAGAAGTACATCTCTGGATGGTAAGTGGGGGGTCATTTCAAGAATCAGGTCTGCCATTTTCTTTACACTACAGCAGTGGGAGAACTGACTCACCTACCGACAAACTTTTAATACTCCTCTCTCTCCGTTATTTCAGTGTTGAAAATGACAAAAACATCCTCGATTTTACCATCAGACCACTTTTTACGTCTGGATTAAAAACAACATATGAAGTTTGAAAACCAAAACAAACCTGAAACCTTTCATCACTTCACAATCAGGAAACTTCTCAGTTAACGGAGCACTCTGTGACACCTGTATTCTCATGTCACTGAGTCGGTACAGTGTTAGCGTTGGTGATATGCGATGCAGGTATATGTTATCTTTGTGTATACAGTCCATTGAGACTTCAGCATCCCTGAGTGTCAGTGGGTATTTTGCAGCTTAAAGACGTGTTTTTTTTGAAGACATGCTTCCACATCTGCTGTAGGGTCTGCTGCTTTCAGCTGCTCATGGTGAGATTACAGCTGCTGATAATGTGAGCTTTACAGACGTGACAGAAACAGAGTCTGATCATCATGATGAGGCAGAATTTATGACTTCAGGTGGTAGTGATACTCAAAGTCCCTCTTCGATCTTTTTTTTTGTTCTCAGTGGTCTTTAAATTGTGATTATAAAGTTTTTAACCAAAATTATGTTACCTGCATCACTTTCAAGGCCTTTCCTTCTGCAGAGCTCCGTAGCTCATAAGTAATTTACCTCTGAAAAATGTTTGAAAGAGTTTTTCAATCGGACATATGGATCATTTTTGTGACTCAGCCCTTCGGTCACCCAGCAGCTCAAAAATGGCGCTGCTATCACTACCACTCTCCTGTTTTTATTTCTGACAGTCCAAATGTGTTGACACTCACATGGAGGACTCTCTCTCTCCGTCGTCTATCACTGCACCTCTGCTTCCTTCTCCCCACAGTGACTGCAGCCATTTGTGCGTAATGCTGTGAAAGTTTGCACCTGCTTTTCAAATGTGCTAAATATCGGCGCAAAAGAGCGACTGCGATCGGTTTCCGGGGTTTAATAAAACACATTGTAGGTGCTAATTGATTTCATTTGCATCTGCTCCACCCAGTAATTTATGCGCTCTGATGATCTACATATATTCTGCATATTCATGAAGGCAAACACGCTGAATCGATTGCGTGCGCTGTTTCGCTTATTTGACAGACGCAATCCTCGGTGCACCTGGTTATGTTTTTAAGTTTGCATGTTTTTTTATACACACAAACCTTTAGTAGATCAGGCCCATAGACAACAAATCAAACATGATCTACATTGGAATGGGTCTTTAAAGGCCATCGTCACACCTGCTGAGTGGAAGTTGTAATTATGTAATTAATGTTGTAATTAAGTTGTAATTATGCATAGAGTTAGTTCAGGCAGGTCCAGAGTCAAGCTCTGCTGTAAGTACATCAGCTGATCCCAGTGCCAGCCTGTATCAGCTGACATCTCAGCTGATTACCTTCCAACACATCGACCTGATAAACGTTAAGATGGACGCTCTCTTTTAAACCTGCTCGAGCCTGCCGTCTCTTTGATGATCGTATTGGTGAATTATTCACGGTACCTTTCGCAGTGTCATCAGGAGAAACGTTCTGATGTTCAGCTCTTAAGCCTAGAAGGACGAGTGCTCCTTCCTCACTTGTACTCCCTCTCAGGCAGCTCTTCTGTCTCCCCATGTTCAACTTAGTCATAACACCATAACTCTCATCAAGTATCTGGTTTACTCAGTACAAAAAATTCACTTGCACTGTCTGGGAAAACACCTCAGCCACACAAGCCTCCACTTCATCCAGCTTGTCATTTCATGCACTGCAGACTGCTGGGTTTCCTCTGGCCTTAATTGCTCCAGCCTCTTTCTAGAAGAAGATTTCAGCCGCTGTGGTTGATGATCGCTGATATTCAATCCACAGACAAACTTCAGGTAACTTCCAAAACAGAAGGTCAGACATATAACAGTAGGTATGAGTTTAGATGAAGACACATATACCACTCTCCTACTGTATTATACTTTTATCTGTCGTATTTTTTTAATGTACTTTTAATATATTCTCTGTATTTTTGCACTGTGGGCTGGAGAGAAATATCTTCTTCGATCGCTGTTTATGATCTCACTTTAGGCAGAAACTGACAATAAAAGCTTGAGTCTTGAAATCCTCCGTGTTGAACCAGAGAGGTGACCTTTAACCTCTGCATTGTTCAGGATGTGGTCCGGTGTTGTGGATCAGACTAACTGGTTCATTGGTATAAAGGTTTAAAAGGATCATTCTCGCTCCTCACTGTGGAATGAAGTTCTGTGTGTCTGTCTCTCACAGATTTATTCACATGATAAGTTTTTCCTTCAGCACCACTCCGAAAGACTCTGTAGAAGATGTTGAGAGGCTTTATTAAAACAGATGGAACTAGAGTAGGACCTTCATTCTTGTCCAGCTCTCCTTCTATTAGACTGTGGAGATGGTCCAAAAATGTAGGCATTTATTGAGGACATCTGTGTGACAAAACAGAGAATCCTCTCATTCAGGATATCACAGGCAGTTTTACCGACGTTAAATCAACAGATTCTTCTGTTATAATTAATATTTATCACCATTATTATAAATAAGTTTTATTAACCCCTTTTTCCACAAATAAGGTTAACGTCAAATCCTGCTCTTACCAGGGATGTACTTGTTATGCTCTGAAATATGAGTCCAGTTCTGCTCAAGGTTTCTGCCTGTTGAAGGAAGTTTTCCCACCGTAACCTGCTCAATACTGCAAAGTGCTCTCCTCATGTTGGTTTGAGATAAGTTAAATCTTTTCCCATTTCAAGGTTGGGTCTTTTTTTAATACATCAAATAAAGAGCTGGGTCTAGACCTGCCCTGTTGTGATTTGGCTCCTCATTAATAAAAATTGATTGATTAATGGATTGATATGTTCTCTGAAGAAGGTGGTACTTTTGGTTGGTTCCCTAGAGCTAGGAGAGGAAACATCAGAATATATACCCGTTAAAACTGAATGGACTCCATGACTGTGGGGATGCTTCAGAGTGTATTATTGGATTGACTAATTCCCTGTGTTGTTAAAAAAGATAACCGAGCTGTCGGTATTCGTTTCAACCTCGTCACATGTTTGCTTTGCTGTGTCATGCCTTCCTGTCTTCATGCCCTCAGCTGGCTGTTGCTCCTGTTTGTCTTCCTCATTTAGACATGCAGATGAAAAGAGCTGCTTCCTGTTTTGCTCGCCACTTTAGATCCACTTTGAATCTCTCTCTCTCACACACACACGTGCAAACACACACACACGCACACACACTAATCTAGAGTCCTGTCTGTTTCCTAGCTTTTCTACAGCCCAGCTTACCCTTGCCTTTCATTTGTTCAGTGTCCAGGCCTGTGGATGCCAGGCTGTGTGCTGGTCTGGAGCCCCCCTTAGCTGTCCAGCAATGCTTCCTCCCTTGCCAGCTTCCCTGTCTGCTCTCCCAGTGGTCTCCCTGGAGTTCCTGTGTACATGACAACTGCAAAGAACCACAGGGGAAAAAAGGTAGGGATAAAAAAATGGACATCATCATCATCAAGGTTCAAACACAAAAAAAAAACCCTGAAATATTTCACTTTGTGTGTAATAGATATAGAATCAGTGGAAGTCTGACTTTAGAATTTAATAATGGGGGAAATAAAAACTGTTAACCTGAATGTTTCCTTGCATGATAAAAACCCACTTACACCCCATGATGAAATGATACGAGTCCTTAATAAATGGATGAATGGATAGATGAATGGATGATTAATGGATGGACATATGAATCAAAAATTGGATGGATGGATTAATGATGGATGGATGGGGTGAATGTATGAATGAATGAGTAAATTAAAATTTAAATGGATCTATAAATAAAGGGATGGATCAGTGTTGAGTGAATGGATAAATGAATGAATGAGAGAATGAACGAGACAATTAATACATGGATGGATGAATGGATGATGGATGGATGGATGGATGGATGGATGAATAGATGGATGAAGGATGTATTTCTTTTCTGCACTGGCCTGAAAGCTGAACATAGATTGGTCATTTGTTTGTTCTGTTCATGTGTTCATGTGTTCATGTGTGTTTGTTCAAGCTCAACATTACAGGTCTGTTAGATTCTTGTTTAGCGACTTCTCCAGTAAATTCAGTGACTCATAAACAGTCTAAACTCGTCTGCTCATCTGACTAAGATTCAACTATCATCATTGTTCCACATTCTGGACAAAACAGCGAATGCCAGAGGCCATCATTTATAAACAGGAGGTACTGCTGGCTGGTCAGCCATACTATTGTTTCCAAACTAATAACAGAAAAGACAGAGAAAATGAAGTGCAGCCTGAAGGTATTTCACAGGGCTGAAACTGTGCTTTATTCGCTCATCAACTTAGTGCCTAACCTCTTCCAATTCAGAGAAAGAACACAGCAGCTCACTCAGGACCTGATCTGCTATGATTCCACAAAAGGAGGACTAAATTCTGTGTACGTCCCAGGAAACTGCACACTCTGTTGGTGTGCAGTTTGTAGGTGATCATTTAAGAAGAACTGCATCAATGGCATCAGGTATAAATACTGGTGGTGGTATTTAGATCAGGGTTTATGTGTTTAACTCGTTTATGTCATTGAGAGTTTGGACAGAAGGTAAAAAGTCAACATTGTCTGTAAAACACAGAAAACAAAACAAAATAAAAAGTCTCATGATAAAACCTCAGCAAATAAACAGTCCATCCTCACCTGACACCTAAAATCATCCCAGATCAGCAGACTCTCTACAGGCTACAATTTAGAGCACAAATCAAAAACAGCAGCTCCTAAAGATGGACTGTTGGATATTAAGTTTGAAGTATGTGCCGTGTCCTCTGTGGCACCAGAGTATTTGAGCCGCTGTCATCTATACCAGACCGCTCATCAGCCCTGTATCTGGTCTGGAAATGACCATAAATGCCTGACAAAAGGCAGAGATGAGGTGCAAGCAGAGGTGAGGTTCCTCCGTTGAAACTGATATGTGTCTGTAACTCTGTCTCCTTCTCGCCAAAGTAACAATAGCCATCTGTTGGCAACAATGAGCATCTTCTTTTCAAAGTTATTTTAATTACATACAGTTAAAATCAGGGAAACTCTATCCAAGCCTGTGATTAACTAAGGCTGGAAATAAATGCTCTGTGATGTTTATTCATCCAGATAAACAGGCTGCAAGGCTGGACCCTCAAGACCTCCTCAGTGCTGTGAAACAGGGTCGAGACTCTGCATAAACTCACCAAAATAACTTTTACCACCAAACCCAAAATGTCACCTCAAAAGGTTTTCATAACCTGAATCATCGTCACCATTAATCATGTATTCACCTGTTGCTTTTATTGGTGATAAACATGAACATAAAGCCAGAATGCTGTTTGTGCTTCTCTGTCAGGTTGATGTAGAATATTTACTAACTTTGGTAATAAGATTTATAAAACTATACTTTAATTTTTCCAGGATCTGTGTGGATGGTCCTCCTATCTTTATACCAGATATGATCTGAATTAGAAATGTCATAACTATTCCACTGTTTATTCTTCACCCATTAGTTGAAATCAGGTCAAATGATGATCAGTCTCTCTGTTATACACGTGTGAATGGGAAAGCCCAAACAAAGCTGCTGCACATGTCCTGCATTAGAGAGATTAAGTGGACCTGATTCAGAGAAGCTGCATGTGAGGATGGGTTCTGCATACTTTATATCACACATGTTCCAGTTCCCTCTTTTATTTCTGTGCTTTGAATTGGCTGGGATAAAAAAAATATCTGTTGAATCCTTTCTCCTCTCTCTGTCAGGTTTTAGGAAGAGGAGGAGAGAGGTTTTATGGGAGTCTAGCCGTTCTCCAGAGACCTGCCCTCATCTGGTGGAGTTTATCCCCTGTGAAGACCCCACCTGCTACCAGTGGCAGGTCCAACAAGAAGGAAAATGCATTCCCCACAAAAGCTCTTGTGGTCCTGGAACGGAAGCCCTGAAGGTGACCTGTGTCAGCGCTGACGGTAAGACTTTCATTTCCATCTCAAAGGAAGAGTTTGTATGGAATTAAATCCTCATCCGTAGTCCAGATAAGCCACTTATCATGGACTTTTACTTCAGCTGTCTTTCCACAACTAAATCCTATTTAAGAGATTATCTTTGATAGTTTTTAATAACTTTCTTTCTTTTCAACAAACGATCGTTGATATAAGTGATATTGCTGGTGGGCCGATAAAGATTATGTTCCCTATTTAAATCATCCTAAATCGATGGTCTGAGGCACATCGCACAGAGTGAATCAGGGCGTGCTGACCACATTTTCCTGCTCAAGCAGCACGTGATCCGGGAGCTAAGTGAGGTGCATGGATATAAGAGGTTGTATTGGGTCCTTTGACTCTTCACCATAACATGAATGAGACCAATCGATGTGTCTGCTCTCGTTCCCTTTAAAAAGAAGGTGCAGCTACAGACAGGTGTATATTATATTTTAGCCTCTGTTCTAAGTGGACCCAGCTCGATCCAGCATGTGTAACTTCTCTCCTTTCACTGTTCCTTTAACTGTGTGTGTGTTCTGTTCCTGCATGGATTCATGTTGAATATCTACTAATGTCATATATCTACAGAAACAATCAGGGACAATGAAAGCTAACAGACGGGTGAACATTTACATATAACTCAACGGTTTGAACCCCGGGACATGCTCATAGTATTATGCAGGATCTAATGATCATCATCCTGTGCACTCTCACTGTATCAGCAAAGACACAGTTCCATCTTTTTTCCTAAAATGAAAGCATGTGGCAGCTGTTGTAGCCTGCCACTGACTGAAGAATATGGGCCAAGTTTTTGTTTTTTTCTGCTTCCTCCAATAAAAACAAAAAAAACACACCACCTTTTTGCCAGACCAACACACTCATTGGCACCTCTCCATTTACACACCGTGGTTCCTGGGCACAAGTTTGCGCCATTTTTTTTTCTTTGCTTCTTGTCAGAGTTGTGTCATGCCGTCTGGTTTACTGTAAAGTACTAAGTTACCACAGTCTAAAACTTGTGCAGAACTGGGATTGGACTGCGTCAGGGAGTTACTGTAAAATTCACCAAACCCACAGTAAAGCCATTAGTGCTGAGGTCTGCATATGTTTGCTTGTCAGTATCATTGTGATGCATGTACCACTCGACTCGATGTGATCCATTGTGCTAAGCTATATCATCATGTTAGATGGGAACATCGGTGTTAATGAAGCATGTTTAATTCATGAGCATCCATCTGTGCCCAGTATATGCACTGCAAACACTGACCTGATTAAAGAGTCAGAATCACAGCTTCTTACGAGGAATTAATTGCTCATCTCCATAGATTATAAAGCTAATTGCACAATTTTTGGTTGGTGTTTCATTATTCTGTCACATTGTGTATGTTTATCAGGTAGGCAATTAAGGGTCCAAATATGCTAGGCAACAAGGGAGACCATCGAGCTCTGATAGGACCACATGGTTAATTATTTTGGGTTGGAAATTTATTGACATGTCTTTCTCATTAGCTTTTCAGACCGACCATGGCTTTGCTTGTTGGCTGATTTCACTCACATTAATATAATTTATTTCAGTGTCAAGACCTCATGGCCAAATTCAAAAAATCCTTCAACGTGTCTGTTTTTTTAAGACACTGTGTCTATGTTTGAATCTGAGGTCTATGTTTGTATTCACGAGGTCTAATGTAGAAACACTGATGTCCTCTGCAAACAAAGGTACTGCAAAACTGTTATATTTGTTTATATTCTGGGTTTAGACTCAACTTTTCCATATCAAGGACGTCCCTTTTTTTGAGGTGTCATGTACAGAAACAGACGATACCCTGATTCGTTGGGTGAGCATTACGCCCTCAACTGATATGTTTGGTAGCCCATCACTTGGTTCCTAATGTGCCCCACAGTCCCAGATAGACGTGAAAAATGAGCAGGAACAGCCAGTGTGTTATTGAGGTAATGAAGTGGGAACCTCCCTTTGCCGATATTTCATTGAGTCAGGACCACAACAGTTAGCTCTATAGAAAAGAACCCAGCACCCCCACACAGACTGGAGGATCTGATTTACTCCGCTGTCACTTTGAAACAGACTAAGCTGTGGATCCACCAATAATAAGAGCTGAAAAGTCCACTCTTTAACAACTGTTCCTAATTCACTAGGGGGTCCCGTTCTCATCCCCGGACTGGAGCTCTATGGATATCCATGTTTTATCTGATGTTTACGCCACAAGAACGGGCTTAGTGATTTTAATGATTTCAGACTGTCGCACCAATTGCCTGGAACATTTTCATTTCTGTACCTTCAACTTCGATCATCTATGATAGCGTATAGACTGCCATAGAATTCTCTTACTGCTCACCCTCTGCACTCCATTCTGTACAACAGAGGTTTGGTCTCCTGAATTTACTCATCTATCCAGGATGCCTCATAAATCACCACATCACTGGACTGGAAAAAGATTTGGTCCTCCATCGTCTTTGCTTCTAAAAACCCAGATCATCAACAGATCCAGTTCAGTTACATCCACAGGACTTCGTTCACTCCAAGGAGGAACTTTCTCATGAAACGCTGAACTTCTCCACTTTTCACCCTGTGCTCAGATGGACTCGTAGCTCATTTATACATATATACTTTACACAATGTTCTGGAAGTCACTGTACTATGTTCTCCCATTATGCTACTCTTGAATGACACCGCCTCACTGAAGGTGTCACGCTGGAAAAGAAAATTCGTCCTAACAGGCATCACTGCTGCCAAAAAGGTGTTACGCTGGAAACCTCTGCTAGTGATGGGAAGAACGGTTCTTTCGACTATTTAAATGATTTGTTCAAAAGATTCGTTCACTGAATCAGTCAGAGCTTAGGAGCCCCGTCCTGCCGACTGAATTCAGAAACAACATAAGAGCGTTAGTCTCTTTAATTAGTGCGAAAACACTGAACATTTCTACTTTCTTCTACACAAACGATTGTGTCTTAGCAGTGTTCACTACAGGAAGTTAGTTAAACTACAACCTCAACCACAACAACAACCAACTGATTTAATATGAATTATTAATTACAGAATAACAGTTGAAAAAAAAAACCTCACCAGCTACAAGGAGTCAAGGTAAAGCAGCAGCCAATTACAGCCTTCAGTACAAGGAGAAAACACAGGACATGTTAAGAAGCTCGAGCAAACAACAAACCTCAATGACTGTCTGTACAGAGCGGGCAGAACAGGATTATACTAGGATACAACGGTGTACTAAGAACTCACAATAACTCACAACACTCGAAAGACAAAACAACTGCTGTAAAACATAACGAAGCAAAGGTCCATTTGCAGCAAAACAATTACGTCTCAGTGCTCCACGGTAAAATGATGCTTCCTCTGTCCTTGGTCAAACCAAGAGTAATTACAGAGCGGTCATGTCAGAGAGCGGTCCACAGCGCTCACTGCTGCTCAGAGAAAGAAGGGCTGAAAAGAGATGAAGGAAATGTGAGGAGCAATGAGTGAGGAGACACAAGAGCAGCCTTCACCGAGGTCCTTCAGTGGACAGACTGCCCCTGTATGAAATGACAGCACCTGATTAAACTCTAGACAGGGAGATTATCCATGATGGTTTCTGCTTTGGATCATAATGTAAATTAGTAACAACAATACTGTGCCATACTGTGGTCCCTTTGTCCTTCAGTATGTAGTGAACAGGATGCATCCTTCCTTCCTTTCCTCACAGCAGAGTGTCCTTTTTCCCTCTAAACAAACAGGAGAGAGTGAAATATGACCAGGGCCGGACCATTTACTTAAAAAAGGTATTTTTGTTGCTCCTGTAGAACAAAGAGGGCAGCAGGCTTTCATATAAATACTCAAAAAACTTTTAGATGGATAATTATGTCAAAAACGACCTCCTTTTCTTGTGAAACCTTTGCAGCTAAAAGTTTCTAATATTTCAGACTCCAGCTATTTCTCAAAAAACTTGTTTTTGATTTCACATCACTGAAATTTTGAATTTACCTTTAATTCATTTTAATAAATTACTAATTATTGTTTTACCACCTCAGAGATTCCATAACTGGGTCAAAAACGGCCCACATTATATTTCTATGGGATATCAGAGAAACCTCCTCATCAAGATATCAGATCAGAGCAAAACTGTTTGGAAGTTATGAAGCTGCAAAAGTAGAGACTACTGCATCATCATCTACAATTCTACAAACTATTATCACGACCCTAATTAGGTATAGAAACATGCTGCATGTGCATAAATGTTATTACTTCAAAACGACATACTAAAGTCTCAACTAAATGAAATGGTGGAAAAACGCTGCAATCAGAGAAAGAAATTACTGCTGCATTAACTTCTCTCACAGCCTGAAGGATATCATGTAAGAGAAAAGATTGAAAGTTTAAGTGTTAGTGTCCACTTGCTGCTTGTTATCGTTTACACGAGCCATGTCTACATAGAATTTCTTGATCCGATTAAAATTGTGAAGGATTGGAAAATCCAAATCCACTGTTTATATGGAGACAAAATCAAATAATCTGATCATGATGTGCATATACATGCCGCAAGCTTTATTCAGATTAGAATCATTTGGACATGCGCAGAGTTGTCTAGTTTTGCTAAAACAACCACAGAAGAAGAATTGTATTTGTACCTGTGCTGTCAACAAACCAACAAACGCCGGAGTGGCTCACTTTATCTGATTCAGGATTTTTCCCTCCACTCAAAGACCTGAGCCCGGTTCTGAGAGCGGTTGTGTTTCTCCTAGCGTACATGATCATTAAGCGAGCCCAGCAGCACATCCAGCAAGAGCGTGTCAGACACAGACCGATTGCTCTTGGATCCCGCCGTGTTTGCGGCTTGTAGGGCACACATGTGCAGTCAGATTAGTTTTGCCCCAACAGAGAGTCATAATCGGAATAAGTGTTTACATGGACGTGGTTCTGAATAATGAACAGCATAAACCACCCCTCTCGATCGGACTACAATCTCTTTCCGTTTGAGCCGATTTGGATCAGAATCTTCTGATCAACATGTTTACATGACACATTTTTTGTCTGCTTATTTGTGTCCATGTAAACGCAGCTGCTGTTTCACCTTGAAGAGTATATACTGAGAGTATACCTGTAACCCTTTGATTCTGCTGCACATGTAAACACTGTACTGTAATGGTGCTATGTTCTCGCTCCATCCTGTGGTGTCAGACAAAGAGAGACTGGAACGGCTGTCAGAGTCTGTCAGAGCTGACCCAGTTAAGCACTTTGAGTAAAAGTATCAACACTCACAGTAAAGGATAATACCTCTGATAATAACATTGACAGTATTTGATTCTTGATACTCTGTTTTTATGAAGCTGAAAATCTGTGGCTTTTAATTAGTTTCTGATGAACTCAAATAAATCAGTGATGGACTTCATTCTTTCTACTGTATCTTAACTTGTTGATCAAAAACGATCTGTTTCAAAGGCTTGTTGGTTTGGTTGTTTTTTTCTGTGATTTATCACCTGGCAGCAGGGGTTGTTACACACACACACACACACACACACACACGCACACACACACACACACTCTTGGTGAAATGGTCCCAGAGGCTTAGGGCTGAACACGAAGTTCATTCTTTATGAAAAACAGAAAATAGCACCGAAAGCGTTACAGAGGCAGCTGGACTTCCAAGATCACAAAGATTACTGGAGAACAACAAGACCTGATAACAAGTCCTCTGTACTGCATCATGTGTGGATAGTGTGCTCTAGTCAGCAGGACATTTGACACAGATACGCTCTGGAGGTCCAACCATCGAGCATAGGTTGGACTATCTCTACCAAATGTTACAGCTAGAAATATTGCAAAGGTAATGAGCAGCCAGAATTTCCCACACAAAGACTTTACCCCTGTTTATTTATTTGTTTATTTATTTAATATGGAGAAGGATCAGAATAAAATCCAAACACTTGCAGCCTGACACTCTCTGTGCTGTGGAGCTGCTTTTACTGGAGCTTTGTGGGTCTTTACAATTCAATTGTCTTTAAAGTCATCTACTGTTTATGTAAGAATTGTAAACGGTCTGTCTGGTTAAAGTCATTTTCTGCTGTTCTTGTAGTCAAGTAAAGCCATTCCCACACTAAGTTCATTTGGAAACGTGATAAAATCAAAGATTTCTTCATTAGCTGGTTCTGCTGTGGTGTAGTTGGACTTTAAAAACAGATGAAAACTGCTCTGATTTATGGTTCTATTATGAAAACAAAAAGAAATCAGTGAATTGGGACGAAGATTATGGTGAAAAAAAACGGATACAGATTTTTCTCAAACATTCAGCAGGTACATGTTGCAGTTCAAAGCATCTTTTTGCACCTAAATTAAAGACTACACCTCAGTGACGTCCTAAGGTATCTGTGTGTCATTATAGTCGTATTTGTATGTTTTATTTGTTTGTGACTCAGTTTTTTAGTTCATTTGTATTTAAGGCCACCGTAGTATTCTGTAAATCACATGAAGTTCAGACCTCTAAGACATTTTTCTTTGGCCATCATAAATTTTGGTGAGCTTGTAAATGTCTCAGTTTGATTACAGACCAAACTTGAGCTGATTTTCAAATGTGGAAATTACCTGAAACTCATTAAGTCAAATTTGAGATTCATCAAACGAGGAGGAGGAAGAAATAAATATGAATTATAGTTTCTTGTTCTCCAGCTGGGTCCTTACACCTTCCCAGTACTCGGGTTTTATTTGTGTTAGATTATGTAAATTATGTTTTCAGCATTAGTTTTCTTTCGTTCTTTTGTATCAGACAGAACATCAGCTGTCAAAAGTACGCTTCACACAATCATCACGTCTGCAGAAACATGTCAGGTGAGAGAAAATAAGAGAGCACTGTCTGATACAAAAGAACGAAAGAAAACTAGTTACCTAAAAAGACAGAATGAACCTGAAACACTCATATGTTTGAGCATTTTCAGGGTTTGGGTTTCTTATATATGGAAAAAATAGGAGCTGATCTAATTTAAGAGCCCAGCTGACCCATACGAAAGTACAAGCTCCTCAATCTCCTGACTCAACCCAGCCTGGACTCGAACAGGCCTGGACACGATTCCCTACATCATTACCCGACAGATACACGGAGGAGAACAAGAGTGCAACCTCAGACTTGGTGTCAGAGTTCAGAGCCTTTTTTTTCTGCCATCCGTCACTTAAAACCCAGAATTACACAACAACTACAGAATACATGCACTCTGAAAAGCAAGTTAATGAACATTTACCAGCGCTGAAGGACCAAAAACACAACGGCCACACAATAAAGACAGCTATGAGCGATGGAAGAGGAAATCTAGAGCCTGAAAAATACAGAATACCCCCTCTTGAATCCTCGACCCCACCTTCAAACCCATAAAAACACAGTAAAATAAAGTGATTCGAAATGGGCCATTGATTAATTCAATTCAATTCCACAATATGTTATTGGGGTTATATGTAACTATTTGTGATAGTGGATCTGACACCAGTGACCCCTGTTTCCGTCCAGTGGAGGACTACCTGGACTCGGATAGCAGACTGGACTGGTCTAAGAACTCTGAACAGTGGCGATTGCTCTAAGACTGCAAGGGAAGCTCGGCTTCCCTTAAAATGTCACCCCCCAAAAAAAAAGAAAAAGTGGTGAAATACGTACGGCTGTGTGTACATTTCATTAACTAAATACGCACTAGAAAGCCTTCATCTTTTGTTCAGACACTGTGATAAGAAGCTGATAATCACAGGTAAACGGCATAACTTCGTTCTCATTCATCCTCGCAGCGCCTCAGCGCTTTAAACAGCCGGACGCTGGGCTTCTGCTGACTTCAATGTGGAAGCTTAAAGTGGGTTGTTCCAGCAGCGAAACTAGACGCTCATTGGATAAATGCTGGGCTTTGTCCCGCCCATCGGAAGCCCAGCTTCACTGGAGTTCTATGGCGAGAGGGCGGTCCCGACTTTCTCCCGGACTCCAAGCTTCTGCATTCATGATTGGATGAGCTGTCTGAGGCGAAACCTTTTTTGATTGACAGCTAAACAAGCGAATCAGCGATCTTGAAGAATAAAACATCTACCAGAGCATTTTCCAAGTTATTCATTCCGTTGTTCTTAACTGCTCCGGAGACTTTACCGATCCTCAGCGACTTTTGTCTTTGTTAAAAACGACTGCTGTTGTGTTTGGCGACTCTGTTCTGTTACATACTAATAAACAAATACAATTATGATGTAGGCCAGAAAAATGAGCTTCCCCTCCTTGAAAGACCAGCAGCCGCCACTGACTCTGAAGTAGTCTATAAAGTGGTCTACAAGAAGGGCTTCAGCCGCCTCTATGTCCTCAGGAGGTCCTTCAACATTTACAGGACCATGCTGAGGAGGTTCTATGAGTCTTTGGAGGCCAGTGTGATCCTGTTGTCAAAGCTACATGTAATCTTGGACAGCATCCACCAACCCCCCCGTAACATGCTGGTTAAACACAGGAGAACATTTCCGCTCATTCCCCCAGAGTCCACCACAGAGCGTCACAGGAAGTCATTCTTGTCTGTGATCAAACATCATAACTCCTCCCTCTAACTGTCCCTGGACTTGACCTCAAGCTGTCAACTTTCCCACTACATTTAGTTAAATTCAACCTTACAATCTGTTTGTAAATCATCATAACCTCAATAATCTAACGCTGATAATAACATTTATAATACATAATAACATGACATTTTGGATTTGATAGAAACCGGACTATTTCAATGATTGGTTCGTCATTTTTCTTCCACAGGTGAAGACGCTCATACTGCCCTCTGTCAGGACAACCCTCCACCCACAGAGGTAGCCTGTGAGCGGGCCTGTCCTGCAGACTGTGTGGTCAGCTCATGGTCCCTCTGGTCGCCCTGCTCCCACAGCTGCACCTCTAAGTCGGCAGAAGGTCGACAGAGCCGGACTCGTACTGTGTTGGCGATCCCAGGTGATTGTAATATTCATCAGTTTGTTTCCTCATGAATTTCTCCATGTTCGTTCTTCCTCCAGAATAACACGTTAAATTTTACAGCAGTCACGGTTTCCTCCGATCATCTCCAAACTGTGATCTGTTACACCACTTGTCGATGACCTTATTGACTTCCATTAAAACCGAGCACCCTGTGAAAGGCTCGCTATTGTTCCCTTGTGCATTCAGGTCAGTTCAGGGTCATTGCCGACTCTCTTGGAAATCGGAAAGAGGCCCCAGTTAAAGAGCCGGAATGAAAAAGGATCTGAGCAATAATCTTATTGAGGGGATATTTCAGCGTTGTTGTAGTGGAGGTCTATGAGTGTCATGTTACTATTAAATTTACTCGCCACAATGGATGCTATTCAGTTGTGAGCCTTAAATAAGAAACTGATGGTACTTGGGCAGCAGATTTTTACGGACAGGGTCAAGTTGGCCGCTTCCTTTATCCAGTTTTGTGAGGAAACACTCATCTTCATTCATGTACTTGAATCCCACGTCAAACAAAATGAAATATCCCTCCAGGATTGTTGTATAAATGTGGTGTGAGTGTTTTTAAGACTACACAGCCAGCTGCTGTTCAGGTCATGTCAGGGTTTCATAGACTGGATAAACTATAGACGACTTGGCTCCACCTTCAGTCAGTATATGGATTTGAAGCCGAATTGCTCTCAGTATTTCTGGGATTTTCTCCACTTCCTGGAACCACCACTTCAGCGGAGGAGTGGCTCTGCTCAAACAGAGTATCCTTCAGGCCAGCTACGTGATCTTGGTACTCCCATAGGCTGTATCAGGTGTCAATCATGGTAAACATGAACCTCCTAATAACTTTTAAAAACTGAGCTGCACAGAATAAGAGGACTTGAGCACAAACCAGTCTGACAGTAACTACATGTCAACATCACAACCAGGGGGGAGAAACATTTATATTCTGTGTCATTCATTTATAAAGTTTGTCCGCAGCTCCATAAGGATTGCTGGATTTATGACCTATACTGCAACCCCTCACTAGAGGGTGCTGTTCTCAGGGTGGCTCCATCCAGCGAGGAGGCAGACGGCGTCCATATAATAAATGTACATAGAGCAAGTCGGCCACAACAGGCAGGGGAGATTTCGATTTATTAGACGGCAAACAGTCATTGATATTCGCTCCAGGCTTCTGATAACTATCCAGAGCTTGTTTCCATATGTAAAATCTATTATGGATTTGTGCAAAACCTGTAATTTCTGCACAGCTAGGATTCAGTGATGGAAGAGCACCAGTTAATGCTTCTCAGAGACATGACAGAACTCTGAAACCTGTTCAGTTACGCAGTCTTATCTTTGAATCTTGTGTTTTTATGGCCAGAAGGGAAGCAGTGTGCATCAAATCTAACCCTAGAGGAGTGGAGGGTCTGCAATGATCACCCCTGTGGGGTGTTCTACTGGGAGGCCTCAGTCTGGGGTCCCTGTGTTGAAGATCCCCCAGTGGATGCTAATGGAACTGGCCACTGGAACAGGACCACCACCTGTGTGATGGGTGTTCAGATGCGAGAAGTTATCTGCATGAAGGTGACCTTTGGACCCGTCCAAAATAAAAGGTAGGATCTCCAAACACGTATAAAAATGTTCTTCTGATTTCTATAAGGAGTAATGTTTACTGTGTGTTTACAGTGAGTGATTTTGTACACCAGGTTAGATCCTCATACCAGAATGTAGGCCTGTTATAATTCTGATGTGAGGTAGTAGCTGTGGTGTTGGTGGTAGTTAATATGTTAGAGGAGAGGCATGTCTTTGAACGCACCTTAACAGTCTGTGGGGAGTGAAACAGCAGGTCGTCTCCTTTCTTTCTGCTCTTTTGTCCTTGGATGGTGTTCAGCTAAATGTGATTATCAGTTTCACATGTTGGCTTTCTTCAGTGCTTGACTCCCACCGTCTGTGTTCTTAGATGAATCCATTTTCTTTTCTTATGTCGTGTTTAAAGCTGTGTAAAGCTTTAAAAAAAAAGGATCAATATTTATTTTATTATGTTGTAAAGAAAACACGTTCAGCCAGCAAACGTATTCAAATATTCGCATCAGAGATTTTCCAAACTTAAAATTTGGCGAGTACAGCTGGTGGTAAAAGTCATTTTAAGGTAGTTTTTGCTTCATTTCGTTCACCTTCTCTTGGCTTCATATGTCTTTGAATGATAAAAATAAAATAGAATACTTCTTTTTCTTATATTTTAGTCATTTTTGGGGTGGAGGCACAACCTCTAATGTCCCAAAGACCCCAAAACACCCTGGATTTGCATGCTGGACAGAAACATTTAACTGTGATCTCAGCTGCATCTCCATCAACATTGATTTAGTTACTCATTACTACACAACATCTGACTAAATATGATGTCCAGGACCCTTTCACAGGCGCTGTGTTGAGTAGTACAGACAGCTGCACATGTAAAGTTGAGCAGTCCCGCTCACTTCACAGCTTTTCTGAGTTTCTGTGTTTAAAACTACAAAGAATATCATGAACCATCTCGGCGATTTAAATGAAGAAATACTCAGAAATGCAATGTTGCTCTTACTTTTCTCATTACATGCCCTGTAGCATCAGAAAAATATCATATAAACATGTAAAAAACAAGAAAAAGATGATTTTCATCAGAGTGGGTCTTTAAGCAGGACTGTAGTGTAACCGCCTACAACTAAACCAGAGCGAGCAGAACTGAGCCCTCACACTATTATGCATGTGGGGATGTGGTGCATGTGGGGATGTGGTCTGGCTGCAGAGTAAGTTTCCACTGAGGTATCTTCATCAGACATCAGACTGGTCAGAAGCGCTCCGACTGTTTCCCTGAGTGAGAGAATTTCATGTTTATTCACTGCATGGCCTTGTGCTGTGACAGAAATTCAATGTTAGCATGTAGATGTGCTGAGAAGAGGGCCAGCATGTCCAGTTTAAGGCAGTTTTGACCCTGTAGGTTTGACTTACAGCATTAAATCATGATAACAGACTTTTTTTGCCAACATGGAATGGGTCTGTCATCGTAAACGTAAACTGTCATGAATTACAGAGATGAACTGATAAAAAGCTTTAGTTTGAAGAATCCCGTTTTCGATGTGACAGTTCTGAAGCTCGTCTTTGGATGACGGTGAATACACAGCAAACTTAAGTCTCTGCGGTTACTAAAAAAACAGACAAAAGGGTCGACGTCACTTATACACACCCACTTTATATCTACTCCGGCTGCTCATTAGTAAATCTGATAGCTGCTTGTTGTTCACACTTTGTTAACAACATGCTTAGGCACAGGAAATTTTCAACACTTCTGACGCAACTGCAAAGTTTGTTTGTTTCAAGGACGTGTTCGAGCCCCAGATGTGTTAATTATTTGGCACCATGTAAGGCGGAGTTATTAAGATTTGTTCCAGTCGAGTCCAAGTGCTAATTTTAGAGTTTGGGCCCAAAGTCTCTCAACTCAAACATTCAGCCATTATTCAGGTAAACAGGGACGGAAATCCAAAACTGGATCCGACTAGTTTGGAGTCATCAACCTTATTTGCCTTCATGCTTAACAATCCCCCACCGAGTCTTTCCATTTTGTTTGAAACAACAATGAATCATGAGAGGCAGTCAGGGGACAACGGCCTCGGGAGTAATCGTAGCAGACAGAAGATATGAGCAGACCAAAAGGCTGTCGCATAAAGATAAGTGTTATTGTGATAATTAAACCAGCTTCAATACTTGAATGGTTGGATCGATATGAGTAAGTTTCAATGATAATTAAAATCAACTGTCTCCGTTAGACCGTCAGCTTTTCAGTAATGAACTCTGTGTTTCTGTGACATCCATGAGCTCGTCCAAAACAAAGGTGATCTGTGAGGGTTGAGAGTTTTTTCAGCAGTGGTTGAACTATTGCTTTTTTAAACTGGTAGGAGCAGTTGTCAGTGATTATTAGTGTTAATTATGATGAGGAAACATGAACTAATTGGCTCATAATTCTCCTTCAGAAATCTCATTGACAGACTGTCAAGAATACAGGAGGAGTGTTTCATTTTGACGATCACCTGAGTTAACGAATCAACTTAGACAAAATTAAAAGACTGAGAGACATCTGGAGTTGTAAAAAAAACTGTTTAGTTTCAAGTAGGAGGATAAAAAATGTTGATAAAAAAGTGTAAAATAATTCCTCACATTTCTCAGGGTCTAACATCTGATCCAGCTGTTAGCTGTGAGCCTCTTCCTGTCCACATGGAGAACCCTGAAGGGTCCATTTGATGTGTTATTCTTCATCTGCCATCTTTGTTCAGTAGTTAGTCTGGATGACGTTTTTACTAAGACACTAATGTCATTTATAAACTTTACATGAAATATTTTAAAGATACATCATCAAACTTGGTTTTACTCTTGATGATAAAGGTGAAGATCAGTAACAGAACAGTCAGACGTGACCAACATTAACCTGCTCACCAAAGCGTTAGGCATTATTTCCCAAGCTGCTTTGCTGCCGCGCCCTCTGGCATGCATCGCTGCAAAGAGGGAGACAGAACAAGGTAAAAGGGTGTATTCTGTCAATCTGCTCTTTTTATGCTTCGGCACACTTTGATCTTATTGATGTGAATGCTGCCTTATTGATGTTGTTAGGATGTGGCACCCTGCTGTGTCTCCAGTAAGACCCAGATCTTCATGTAGATGTTTGTGTGTGTGTGCGTGCGTGCATGCGTGTGTGTGTGTGTCTGAGTGGATAGGTGGGCTTGTGAAGGAATTGTTGCTGTTGGAGGAGACATGAAGGCTTGGACTGAGTCGATTTTCAGTTTACACTTAACACTCAACAGCCTGGATGAGAGAGAAATGACACCCTATAATATATATACAGTATATATATATATATATATATGTAACGCACATGACTACAAAAGTCCGTGGAAGCACCTGCTGATGGTGTCTGTGACGTGGCGGAGAGGACAGATTAGTGAACCACCAGCATTTCTTTATTTTCCCAGTTTATACATGCTGTGCTGTGCTGTGCTTCTACACCCATGCTGTGAATAAAATCAGTGATTGGTCTTTAAACGCTCCGTATATTTTGGAACAAAGTTGTCATTTACATGTGAAAATATGAATTTGAATTATAGATTTTGACCATTAAAAGTACTTTGTCACCCGTAATCCCAGTCTCTTTTATACTGGGCCAAATGGGGGGCTTAATGATGCACTGGTACTCCCTTGTATAACTCTGCATGACTACACCATCATTCAGTGTCTTGTGCCTCACCAACATTTACTGACAGGCTGTCATTACAGTCTTGGTCTCAGGCCTGGTAAAAACTGACAGCTGTGCTGCTGACTGGCCCTTCAACACTCAGAGCTGTGGAAGTGGGGGAATCCATTCCAGAGCATCTGTGCTGTGTCTTGCTACGCTGTTCAAAAAGTCCCTCTTGTTTGCATTCAAGACAGATGGACTTCAATTAGAGAAAAGAAAAAAACAGAAAATCCTCTCCGACTCTGGATAAAAATATCTTCTCACAGTATTTGTGTCGGTTACTCAACAGTGTGCTTTAAAGGTGTACTCAATAACTCAATGACTCCTTTACCACATTTACCTTCACCAATCATACCCATGCCTGACAGTCAGTAGTGAAACCGTGATTTGTTCAGAGTGTACACACAGCATTATTATTATTTTGGAGCCTGGACTGCAGAACTCCAGGTCACCAGTCAAGAGCAGGGCCCTACTTCAAGACCTCAGCCAGGAATCAGGCTCTTTGGGAGGCAGCAGCTGACAGATATAGGCACGGGCCGGACTTTACAAGGCGTTAACTGCGAGCAGTAAAGTCTTCGGTCATTATCACAAATGATGGTCCAGAGGACTCTGGGTTAGCGACACTGATGTGCTTTCATGTGGTGTAGTTTGATTTACCTGGACAGATCACAGAACAGACATCCATCCTCAATGACAACACTAGAGTTAGGATGTCATGTTCATTTCAACCGCAGCATCAAATCCAAGTGGGAAACGGTTTCCTGAGAATATTTCAGAAAAATCATTTCCAACACCAACTCCTTTTTGTTTTCCATCTCACTGTTATCAAAGTTTTTGTCCTAGTTTGTTAATCTCTTGCCAAAACTGTCCAACTTTAACGCTTTTCATTTTTTTTAACTGCCTTTTATAGATCCTTAACCTTTTATGTTGGATTCAGTTAGATAGTTATTGTATTGTATTGTACATACATACAGGGGTATTTGTGATTTCACTATTCTGTCACCATTGTGGGACATTTTTTAGTTATTGACTAGAAAAACAAGAATTTCACTTTTTATTTGCATGTTTAGGTGTTCGGACTCTGCTCGTCCAGAAACCGTCCGACCCTGTCTGCTTCCCTGTAAGAAAGACTGCATCGTCACGCCCTTCAGTGAATGGACAGCCTGCCCTTCAGCCTGTATGCCAGGTAGCTCTCTCATCTTCATCCATTTCCAACACAACCTTTTAAAAATGAAAGAGGACACCATCTTTTAAAAATCACAGGTTATAAAGAAGTACATGTGATTGAATTTACAAAGTTTTAAATGAGTTTCTATCTCTTATCTACTTATATTTAAAATAACATCCTTTGTTCCTCTGCTTACCATCAAGAGTTCTTTAGATGCTTCTGTGTTTGATAATTTTCTATTGAAACCATCTTAATTTTTCTGAACTCTCAAATGCTGTTGAACTTTATTTAGTCATGTGTGTTTTTATGGATCATCCTGAAGTGCTCTGTGAATGAACGTAGACCTTCATGAAAATACGTTTCTGTGTACTTCAAAAAAACACCTGTTGGAGGCGCTCTGAGTGACCTGTTTTTAACGTGTTTTCACAAAACATATCACATTTCTTCAACTCCACAAAAAGAATGATTCTGATTATTATGATGAATTATATATGATGGTATTTATGGTTATTCATCCTTCCATTAATATTCACTGTTATCCACACCCATATCACTGGATTACCACAGACACAACACTGTGTGTGAAGTCCCTGTTAGCTTTAGTGAGCCGTTCTCTCTCTGTGGACGAGGTTGGACAGAGGATCTTCTGGACAGGTTCAGGTTCAGGTCCCTGTTCTGTGTTTGGGTTGTATATTTTCTAGTCAGAGTTGGAGTCGTTGTTCCAGCCGGGGCTGCAGCTGATGCCTTTTGTCCTCAACATCTCTCAGATTGCTGAGCCACTCAAAGCCCCAAAGACGAAAGGAGGACAATCATCTGGTCAGCGCTCCGTCAAACGGAGATTAACCTCAAACAGCATCTGGTGGAACCACTTGTCCTGGGCCAACCCGACTTCAGTGCCCAGAGTCTGGTGGATATAAAAGCCAGCGAGGTTGTATTTAGGGTGGTACTGGCCTAGAAAACAGACCATGGAGCTGAAGAAGTTCTTGCTTTTGCTGGTTTTAGCCTTAATCTAACTGGGAGAAAATATGACCCCACATCGGCGGTGGTGTGAGCCCAGAAGGAGAGAACCTACTTGGCAGGTCAGCACCGTGTTGACTGATTTTACTCTCTTCTGTGAGAGTTTAAAACAACCACATCCAGAACTCGACTCATCATCCAGATGCTCTCCAGGCTTCAAGAGTTCACCGTCACCCTGTGCCAGATGCTCTCTCTAAATCCACAACAGGACCTTCTCCTGTTTGTGCTGCTATCATGTTTTTCCTCTTTTTAACTGAGGCAAGAGTCGAGGGTTCAGCAGGAAGACTCGACGTTCAGTACCAGAGACGGGTTAGAAATGGAGAGGTGGTCATCAGTTCAAACGCCGTAATGGCTGCTCTCCCTAACATAACAGCCGCCCACCCCGATAAAACCAGCCGTCAGATTTTCAGATTTCCAGTTAACCTGCCATCATTCACCAGTGGACACAAGGCGTCAGTTGGTCCATTTCTCGAAAGCTCCGTTCATAAATATTCTTTCTACGATTATTTTGAGTGTTTGCCATAAAGATGGACACCACAGAGACAATCTCCCAAGTCCTGATGAAAGAGATCCTGAGATCCCGACTTCATCCTCTCTGATTGTAGGACACAAGTTAACAGCAGCCTCAAACCTCAAACTACTCCAGGCTCCCATGTGTCCCTTTGGACTCTGCTCATGTTCATCAGAAGAGGAACTACGACAAGCATCAACGACAAAGTGTCTTTGGAAGAATCAGACCTGAGAGTTTTCTCACATTGTTCCTCGAACTCTGAAGAGGGATCTGCAGAGAAACACCAAGATCATCCAGCTGACAGCTCATCTGTTTTAACAGTTTAAAGATAATGATCATGATAATAACGACCCACAATAACGATCAGCTGGGGTTGGAATTCCAGGTCAAAACTGCACTTTGGTAAGAGGGGAGGATTTTCACTTCTGCTCACCACCAACAACTCATGAATTCAATCATCCTGTCATGTTCCTGTTTTTTAACACCTGATAATAACCTCATAATTTCAAAGTACTTCCTGTATATTTGACCATTCTCTTGTCTTTTCTGAACATGTGATGCTGTTTAGATTTTAAATTAAGGGAACCTTCCCAAATGGATAAATACAGTTGTATCTAATCTAATTTAATCTAATCTATTGCATGTAGTTCAGTCTTTCACCTGCTGCTTTTTTATTCCAGGTTGAGCAACAAAATATATCACAAAATTTTGCTTTTTAACAATCCAGTCCTTGAAAGACCTGGAATTAATCTTTTGATCCTCCAGTCAATGATTGTGAAGTTGTCTCCAAAGTGCAGAGAAGGTCCTAAATGTGCAGCATCCTCCATTTTCAGTTACCGTTAATGTGAAGGGGTGAGGGCGAGAACACTGAGAATAGTGAGAATAAAGCGTTTTCATTGGTTGGATGATGGAAGCTCACATTGTGGTTAAAAGTCTAAAAGCAGTTTTCTCAGACTGTCTGAAATATAGGGCCACATTTCCAGAGAAAGCATGAGTCACTCTGTCCTCAGAAAAGCAGCATGGGATCATTTTCAAAGACTGTTTTGGTCTGATTCTCTCAATAGTCTGCTGCTTATCGAAGGAACAGCAGAAAAAGATCATTTTTTTACTCTTATCACATTTTGTTCGACATGGAAAAGCTGTTCGATGAAGTGTCTGTAACAGGTAACAGACATTTAGCACATCTTTGATCATACAGATCATTGTTATGTTGGTATTTTTTCAGGTTCTGTAGGTCATTTTGGGACCTTTTCTGAACCTTTTATGTTTAAAGGAAGAAACACTTGCATGTGGAGAAACAAGATTTGGAAAATATATTTTGAATTACAAATAAAATGTGTTTGTAGGATTAACTCTGTCCTTGAATATTTGCAGATCTGCAAACTTTAATTAGGACTTTGTGTAAAATGTGAATAAAAACCAAATAGAATGATTAGCAAATCATTTTCTACCTTCTTTAATTAAATACACTAAAAATAAAGATATTCAATGTTGATTGTTATTTTTGAATTCACTCATTTAGGCAAATAATTCAATAATTTAAGAAGAAGGTCTGTCAACGTACAACTGCAGGAATTTAAAGATTGGATCATCTGCATAAAATAAAATCATCAAAAGATTTAGAGAATCCAGAGAAATCTGTGCAGGTCAGCAACAAGACCCCAAACCAACATTGAACATACAAGTTCAAACTCTACTGTGCAAAGACAAAGACAGACGTCAACAACAGCCAGAGACACCATCAGCTCATCTGAGATGGACTGACCCAAAGTGTAAAATTCTGCTCTGGTCTGACGAGTCCACGTTTCAAACAGTCTTTGGAAATCATGGATGTGGAAAAGTACCATCCAGACTCTTCTCAGGTCAGAGTTCAAAGCCAGCATCTGTGATGGTCTGGGGGGTGTGTTAGAGTCCATGGCTGACTGTCACATCTGTGAAGGCTTCATTAATACTGAGAGGTACAAACAGGTTAAGGAGCAACATCTGCTGCCATCAGGTCCGTCTTTTTCAGGGACACCCCTCCGTATTTCAGAGAGACAACGCCAAGACTCATTTTACACAAAGGCTTACAGAGTGTTGTTAAAGGAAAGGTGAGAAACAGAGAGAAACATGAACCTGAACCAGCTTTTTAGAAGTTACAGCATCAAATTCAACATGAGTGAATGTTTAAAAAAAAAAAACAATCAAGTTTATCAGTTTAAACATTTAATATCTCTGCCATGAATCTGGGGTTTGTATCATATTAGTTATTTATGACACTGAAGATATAATCACAGAATACTTAAAACATGACAAAAAGTCTATTTTAATCATCATTTTAATGAGTAGGCTTCATATCATTTATAACAAACTGTTTACATTTCATTTTAAGCAGTTTTCTTAAATAAATTTCAAATAGCTGTATGTTGAACTGAAGCATCTCTTGAAGAAAAAAAACACAAAGTTGTTCTAGAAAAACAACTTTACCTGAAAAGAGATCATCTTTAGTGTTCGCTGGGGAAATTCACCAGGACCAAAGAGCAGAGGGCGAGATTATCTCAAAACCTTCCATAGAAAAAAGGATGAATCTGAATTTAATTATAGAGAAGCTCACACTATGTGATGGAAAATTATTTTTTTTTACCTTGAATATGTCCCATAATAAATAATTTATTCCAACATTTATGTAAATGAACGAATATTAAAATCACGTTCCTCTACAGTTAATCCCAAAAAGTGACTTCATGACGAGTCAAAAAACTCGTTAGACTGAAAACAGAGTGAAATTTTTCTCTGACAAAAGGAGGAATAAATTCAGTGAATTTTAATAAAACGACTTTATCTTAGAAATAATTTTAAACAACCGTGATTCAGTCTGAAGAAGAGAGCTGACACAGTACAGGTACAGGTAGGGGTGGACCAAGCCTTCCAATGAGGATTCACAACATTGTCTGTTCGGTAATCAGAGTTGTGTAATGAAGCTTTGAATATAATCCAGATGAAGCTCTTCCACTGGGCTGAGTCGAACAATGACTCAAGTGGTGACCGCCACAAAGGAGAGGAGGGAGAATCCACTTGGAGATACTTTCTTTTGAAACCTGTCTTTAAGTTATTACTCTCTGGCAGCAACACTGGAGCTCCATTTAATTAATGCACACTATAAGCCTCAGAACCATTTAACTTTGTCTGTCTCCTTCAAACATTTAAATACAACTGGCAAACCAATTTTCTACTTAATGGGATATCCTGGTGCTTTTGAAAAAGGGTTTTGGGAGTTACATGTTACTCGTACATGTGCCGGTCCTGCTGGGAGAAACACGACACAGAGTATGCTGTGTTTTTTTGTAGGAGCTGACTCTGTGACACAGTTCAGGTGCTCTTTTTGTTTGCTGCACACTGATCATCCCACCACTTGCTGTCATGAGTGAGACCAGTGCTGTTCTGAAGAGTGTTCAGGAGTTAAATCAGAAAAGCAGCAAGAACGTGTGTCTTCAGAGTGAATGTTTGACTCTCATTTTCAGTTTCCTTTTGGAAATACTTCGTCTTGTTTGAAGGAGATCCTCCACAGACCATTATGTGATATTTGATTTTAATACTGTAAAACATGTATGAATGAAACCCATCTGTAATAAAATGACGTGTTTATTTGTTCTCAATCTCTCTTGACTCCACTGAACTCCTCATCGTTGCACTATTGCGCGACTGTCTTGTACATACAAGTTAAATGTCCAGTTAAAGCTGTACATACTTTGTCAAAAAGAGCAAAGTTAACCAGAGTCAAATCCTTGTTTGTGTTGACGTATACTTGGCCTATAAAGCTGATTCTGATTCAGGGGAAATACACTGACTAAAAAGACTGAACTGTAACTCTGTGCCCATGACTGTATCTGCCATGTAATCTTAAATATGGAACTGGGAAGTAAAACAGTTTACCAGTGACTCACTCATCATATACAGGATTAAAAGATGGGCAGAGCCAACAGACATCCACTGTGTCTAATACACTTATCTTTGACATGTCACTCATACAACCCCACCTCTAAAGTTCTGACGTATCCCCTCAGCCTTCTCCTAAAGATTGTGTTTGTCAAACAGAGAATACCACTGCCACGACACAGTCTCGATACAGGATCATCATCCAGAGGTCTGCAAACGGGGGTCAAGAGTGTCCGGACACCCTGCACGAGGAGAGAGACTGTGAATTACTCCCAGTATGTCCAGTGTACAGGTAGGAGCATCTTTCATATATGTGCACTGTATTTATATCTGATATCCTGCAAACCTCATCTGTATGGTGGGATGATGCTCATGAGAAGTCACAAATGAAATGAAGTAGTAAATTATTAACAACAGGAGTTCAGGACCTTCCTGGATTCCTGCAGCGTCAACAACACCCTGAGTTCTCTTCTTCACTAAAGGCCGATGTTTTGCTGCCATGAGCTAAACTCTTTGGAGACGAGACGTTTTCCAGCAGCTGCTGCACTTGTTTCTCGAGCTGAGAGGAGTTTAGAGGTTAGAAAACAGAAAAACTCAGGTTTCATTAACTGGACTGTAGTCCTTGTGACGGTTTACCATCATCAGGTGAAACTGGAGTTATAGACAGAAGCATGTTTGCCTCCACTGTAGCGACAGTGACAGTGTTACAGTAATGAACACTCTACATTAATGCTTTACAGGTTTTTTTGACAGTTCCTACAATCCTCCTGATGTAAATGCTGTGTACAGACACACAGCGCTGTACGACCTACTCTGAAGTTTCTCTTTGTTGGTTTGTTTTAGGTGGAAGACACACAGGTGGCACAGTTGTGTTCTGGTTCCAGATTCAGTTGGACAAGGACCTTCAGGACCAGGAGAGACCTGTGGACATGGTTTAGAAAAGAGAGGCAAGTCTGACCTGTTTTTTAATCAATGAATGACCGATGAATTGATTAGATGAATAATAGCCATTCAGTTCATCAATGTTATCGTATTCATTTATACGTCTGCTGATTGCAGAGAAATAAGGAAACAGTTTATTTGAATGTTTGGTGTCGGTGTGTTTAATGGTGGAGCTACAACATGACATCCAACCCTGTTCATAATCATAATAAAATCACGTCTATAACGTAATAAAGTCTCAGCAGATAATGTCATAATGTACCAATTTATTACATTAGGTACTGATTATTAAATTATGAACTTTTATTACATTTAAGTCATTACATTATGAGCTGTTATTACATTATTAGTAGCTACATGTACGCCTGTACAACACCTTTAGTGAAACTGACTTTCATAAGGAGGAACTCTTGATAAAGGAGTATTTTTCCTAACAGGTTATAAACTTAAAACAGTACACTTAAGAAGACTTAATGGTCCTTTCAGTACTTCTCCACAACATTTGAGAGAAGGGATTTGGTCCAGGTAATTTGAGGAGAATACTGATCAGTCTGTGGGTAATGATTTCACCATGGCCTCGAGCAGCAGATCGTAGAGCCCCAGGCTCAAATTGGAAACAGGTTTGGACGAAACACTCGGCGATGTAACATCACACTGGTCGGTTTGGCCCTCTCATAAAAGTCTTATGATGAAACGATAAATATGTACCAACCAGCTTGGGACAACAGAGTGTTAAAATGAAAAGGGAATTAAATTCTACATAAAAGTCACAGGATATAAATAATAATTAAATAATTAACAGAGAGAGAAAAAAGGTACAGGAGCCAAAAAGATGATTTTTACTCTCAGTCCCTTTTGATTTGAAGCTCCATCAGTCCTTGTTTGTCCCCAAAACAGACATGCAGATAAGTGCGATTAAAACTGAGCAGCTGAGTATGACCCCCTCTCCTCGTCCTCGGCCAAATCATATGTGGGTGAATTCATCTGTTCATGTTAACTTAATCTTTTTATACAGGCATATAAAATCAGAGGATATATGCAAGATGGGAAACATTTACAAGTGCTTTTCCACCTCTAACCAAAATATGACGGTGATTACAGTGATTATGCGCATATATGAATTTACTGCATATTTGGGATATGATATATTCTGATTTATTGATCAAAAAACCAGACATCCTCATGCATGCATCCTATTGCTAAGAAATGAGGGCAAAGTTGAAATTGTTCAAACGTCTCCCTCTCTTGGTCCCAGACTGCAGAACCTGCAGTTGTATGTTTGACTGTAAAAACATTAGATGCAGATTTGCACCCGAGCACACAAACTTGTCCTTAGACATGTAGCCCACTCTTAGACATCCATATCTAGTGGCATGAATTGTTTCGTTTAGTTTTGATGATGCTGAGTGGATGAGAAAGTGCTTCAAACCCTCAGCATCCATGGATGAAGCCCCATGTCTGCAGCACCAACAGGGTTAAAATAGAGCGTCGGCACAATCTGCTGGATCACTGTGGAACAGTGAAGTCTACAGCTCTGGTGATCAGGTGACTGCTTAGAAAAAGGCTTCTTTATGTCATTTTAGTGCCAGTAACACATGGTCAAAAAAACATGCTTTTAAGGGAAGTCTATTGTCCACATTTTGGACAAACAAGGCTTAATTTGATCCTAACATGATGGTTTAATCTATCAAAATGTGTCAATCAACTCAAAATAATGATGATTAAAATGATGAGTGTCCTCCAAACGGATGTAGTAGAAACTGAGGGTGAAAACAAAGTAAAGGAAGTGTGAAAGTGAAACTCAGAGACAAAAGTCCAACACCAAGTCAGAATACATGTTCACATGAAATCCAGCTGTAGCTCCTCTTTTAAAAACCTCCTAAAGAAGTGACTGTTTCTCCTCTTCTTCTCAAACACCCTCTGTTGCCACAATGAAGACAAACTGTCTCTGTCAGAGAGCCCCAAGCTGAAAACATCAATCTCCTTCTCTGACTCTGAGGAGGACAAACATTTACTGCCTGATCCACTGGTGATCTACCGGCTCAGGCTCTGATATGTGGCTCTGAACACTCACCCCTCACTGGATTAACCACAGCACTGGCTGGATGGGGGACTTCTTTTTGGTGCCACACCTCTCGTTGCTGGAGCTGCACCCCGGGTCTGTGAAAATCAGTGGATCAGTAAAATTAGACACACTTGGTCCTTTTATACTGTGTATGGGACACAGAGTGGTGTGTCTTAAAGAGACAACTGTCCCAGTAGGTCCGTCCCTGAACGAACGTGTGCACAGACCCTAACCCTAACTTTGACTGGGTTATTTTCCTCCTGTCCGTTCCTTCCGGGTGATAAAACTGGTAATAAAAGAAGCTCTGAGACTCCTCTCCTCAGATGGTTCGGTCTTGTGTGTCTGAGTCGTTACCTGTTTTATTTCGTAGATCATGTCTCTGAGTTTTTCTGTATTTTGTTGATTATTTTCTGTACGACCTTTTAGGGTCCCTGCGTTACCTTATATTCTCCGTTTGTGTCTGCTTTGGTCTAACCTCCTTTAGGAAACCTCTTGTTCGTTTACTCTCATTGGCTTCACCTTCTTCTTATTTCCCCTCGTGTTTGATTGCATATTATTATTATTAAGTCTTCAACAAGATGGTGAATCAAAGGAACACTCAACACTTTTATTAGTGATTCACTGATACAGCCCAAGTGGATGTTACCAGAGCTTTACTTTGCCCTCCTTTCTCCATTCTCTCAGTATTAATGACATTTCTGGAGAGGGTCTCTGTGACTCTTTGTCGGTGACGGGAAAAGCTTCTGTTTTGTTCTCTGTTAAAAAAATAAATAAATAACACGCCTCCTTGACCTTTAGAGATTTCTATTTGAGTATGATTAGAAAATGGCGAAGTTAAATACCTGTGACATTTGAGAAACTCGAGTGTTTGTTTGAAAGTTGAATAAAGAACAAAGAGTTTAGATGAAGATGATGAACAGGAGTTTTTACAAGGTGAACTTTTTCTTTTGTTTCTACAGCTTTTTCTTTTTTAATGATGTCTTTCTTTTCTGTTTGGAGGTTTGAAAACGACATTTTGATGACAAAGTTTGCTGTAGTTACTGCTCTGACATCCTCAGGGACAATATTTATTTATAACACTTCCCTTTATTGCAGCTTAATATGAAAAAGCAAATTGTGCAGAACTGCGATGTCTGAAATTCATACAGTTTGACTGAATTTTTATGGAGTGTAATTAATACATTTACAAGTTATGTCCTATTTGTAAAGCTTAAAAAAGAAGTTGAATAAATTAAGAAGTTGAACAGCTGAAGAACCCTAAATTCTGTTGAGACAGTTTGAGACTGGTAGGATTAGTGATGTGTGGGTCACGAACGAACTGGTTCAAAGAGCCGGTTCTTTATCGTAAACGATGGGAGCCGGTTCCCATCTGTAAGTGGTTTTTTTTTTGTTTGTTTGTTTATTTGTTTGTTTGTTGGTTTGTTTACTTTTTGTGGTTCCACAAGTGAGTCAGTGCATTTATCGGATGGTTTCAGAGAGTTACAAGGGTCTGTAAATGTAATCAAAACAATTGGCTACAGCAATTTACTGACATCAGAAAATGTTTTTTTTTACTTGTGAATAAAGGATATATTGAATAATTTAAGAGGTGTGTGTACACAAACGTACATATCATAAGCCAAACTGAATTAGGCTGAATTAGAAAATGTTTATGTGGTAAAATGAAGAGCCGTTTCTGAGCCGAATGATCTGACTCACTAAAAAGAGCCGTAATTCCCATCATGAGCAAGGACCCAGTTTTTTAACACTGACTATGAAGACTGTTAGAAGAACTTCATGGATCATGGTGGGCTGGATTTACTCTGTTCTTACTGAAGTAGAATTTTATCTCCTGTCAATAAAAACAGAGTCATGCTGATGATCTGCTGCAGAGAGCTGACTGCCTGAAAGTTAAGAATATGTTTAATTGGACGTGTTTACATCTTATCCAAACACCTTGTCGAGGAAATGTAACACATTGGTCAGTGTGACGAAAACTGCAGTGTGACTATATGTTGGTATTTTGGGGACAGTCTCTCTCACAAAGTCCACAGTGGTAAAAATCAGGAGTGTGGCACGGCTGTCCTCACACCTGGATTTAGAGAATATTTACCTGACAAAGTAACAGGATAATTGGAAAGATGATCCCTCTCAGTGGCAGTGAGAATGTGACACCATTGTGACACACTGACAACACTGCTGATGGGGAAGGATGCTGAAAAGGGTCGTATATCAGCGCTTGGCTTATATAAGATGTTGGGGATAACAGTCTAAGTGTTGGAGAGTGTGTGGGAGTAAGACATAAACATGCGAAGTAAACAGACAGAAACAGAAGTCGAGGAAAAGAAGAAGAGGAGCAAAGTTCATCCCACTGGGGTGTAATCTGGATTATTACTGCTGCAGCTAATGATGACTGTTTTTTCAAGCAGGTTTGTCAAAAGAGCAAAAGACTAATCTTTGAAAGTCCGTCATAATACCTTCATTTCTTTGACCCATGAATGTACATCCATCACATTAAATATCTATTATTAGAGCAGCGGTTGTGGATGTTACATAATTGAGGATCTAATCCTCGCAGTTCTGTTAGAGATGTAAATGACCATCCCACATATCCACAGTGGACATGCAGGAGCCCACGTCTCTGTCAGAGGGGAGGATTTTTAACTCTAATGGAAATCAATAACATTGACTAAGCGGGGGGGGGGGTCTCTGTTACAACCCAGCCTGGGAAGGAAAGGACGCAACATAAAACCCGGTTTAGTTGTTGGAGAAACTGTTATTGAAGACGTGCTGTTTCAAGATAAGTTTGAGGTGAAAAACAGAGAATTGTGGAGTAGAAAGAAACAAACAAATGCAACAAAAGGCAACTCTAAACTGGAGTGAAGAAAACAAGTCACTTCATCAAATTTACTCAACCAGCAGTTAAAGCGATCGAACGGTGAGCAGCACCTTAATCCTGTAAAATATAAGAAAAGAAGTGTAACATAATCGCCTCCACAGCAAATGTCACACAGAACTCCCTAACAAAGAATCCACTGAATTAATGCGTTTGTTTGCCCCCGAACGCTCCAATCAGCACCCTCTTGAACAATCCACTCCCCTCCGATTGGTCCTGCCGACTCAGCCCATTACCCAATCAACATCTGTTCCTGTATAGGGTCACGTCCACTCACAGACATAAACAAACATGGTAAAACAGGGAACACAGGTCGTATCCCCGAGAGCGGGGACGCGGCTGCAGCCGTAACAGGAGCTCTGCTGGATCCTTAGAAAAATATCATCTAAATATTCTCTGGATCTCAGTGAGTGTCGGTGCAGTAATCTGCAAAAGAAATGTAAAATGATTTATGCTGAGTCATCATTTCAGAGTGTTCTGTGAAACACGGAGAATCAATTAACTTTTTCAGCAACAGTCACACCAGAAATCTGAAACACACAGAGGAACGTATGAGACTCACAAAAAGAACCATGATAGATACGAAACTGATGACAAGTCGACAAACACAGATAAAAACACTTAAACTGTGTCATTGAAAGAGTTCTGATGTGCAGACTGAAACTTTAATATTAATATTTGCAGGTAGAAAAACTTTAAAAACAAACGAATCAGACTGAGTCCTGCCAAAACCGTGAAAGTCATTTTAGGAGAGAAACTCGACTCTCTCACTTACAATAACAAACTCAAGATCTTGTCTGATTTCAGAACCAGTAGTTTTAACTTAGTTTGTTTTCTTGTGATGACAGAAGTGGCGTTTTAGCCAACCTTTTAAAAAACGCCATCCAGGGTGGAATATTTCTGAAACGCCGCAGCCTTTGTTGTCACAGCGAGATACGAGAGCGCAAGATCACAAGATAAGACTGCGCTGTTCTGGTCCTCTGTATGTTAGACCCACTTCAGAAGCTGCGACATTAACAGTTCGATATTTTAGTTCTACATCAGGCTTCTTTTAATCAACAGAACCTGTTGGTTGGACAGTAGACTTATGTTCAGACGGGTCACAGTGAGTGAAGGTTAATGGCTCTCTGTCCTCTTAATTATCCACAGGTTCCCCACAGAGCCGTCTTCTCCTCACATCCTTTATTATTGTACACACCAATGACTGGAGAAGTCCTCATAAAACAGGCGTCTTGTGAAATTTGCTGCCGGTCTTTTAAACGATGATAAAATTCGGCACGGTCGTGTAGATTTTCCAAGGTCACAGCCTGGTGTCGCCCGGACTTCAGTCAGGCAGGATGAGGATGTAAAGATGGTCTCTGATCATAATAAGGAACCTTTACTGAAAAAAAAGGTCCTGCAGTGCATGTACTTTGGGATGAAAATGAACTGTTCTGTGGACTTTATCTGTTTGATTGAGAACATACTTAGGTGTTCAGAGCCAACGGGGGGTAATACATCAGCTCTTATTTTGCATTCAAATATGCTAATCTGTGATTACATAAACCGCCTTTTTGGTTTCGCTGTGTTCTTATGAAACATCTGCAGTAAACACTGGCTTCGCCTTCTGGTGGATTCTCATATCCTTTTTCCTTTTTGTACAGACACAGTTTCAGTATTTATATTTCACTTTAAGCTGCTTCGTATGAGCTTTTTATCTGGTTTGATGAATTGAAATGTTTGGTTAGGTCATGGTGAATCCAGAATTCCACTAATTTGACTGATTACTGTTTGAAATTGATCATCTTTGTATATGAAAGATCTGAAACAGCTTCAGTGTCCAAAAATCAGAAGATAAACTCTGTTGTTTGTTTGTTGTCTGTGTAATTGCAGTGACATTTTTCCTCTTTCTTGTGTTTTTAGGAGTAAGTTGTGTTCAGGAGAATGGTGAGCCCACTAATATGACAGACTGTCTGCACTGGGCTGGCCCCTTGCCCCAACAGATAAGAGCATGCCGAGTGCCCTGCACGGAGGACTGCACCCTGACCACGTGGTCCAAGTTCTCTGATTGCTCTGGATGCGGCAGCTTCTGCAGCCGCACGCGCTCTCTAACAGGTAAAGACACCAGCATCACTGATTTAACACACAGGGGTGTTTATCTGAGTTTTTATCTCCATTTTCAAGTTTCAGTGAGAGAAAAAGGACAAACCTTCTAAACTCCTGCCAGAAAGCACAGACGTATTTCTTGATCCTGCAGCGATGCCCTCGTGCTTCGACTCACAGCAGCCCATGAGCAACATCTTCTCCTCGTCTGGAAGCGTTATTGTCATTCTGTACTGTTACTGTAGGGTTGTTAGAGGTCCTTATGTTGTGTCTCACAGCATGTTATCCCTTTTTAAGTGCTCATGACAAAACCTGTGCTGAATTCTGCGCCGTAGTTTTACACCGAGCTGGATACTATTTGTCTTCATGAATATTTGAACCAGCGCCAGAGGGTTCGTGGTAAACATACTCTTAAAATCCACCTGCTGACATCAGCCTTCGCTCTGTCGTGGGTTTTAAACCAGATGAGTTCAAAGAAACACAAAAGTCATAATGATAAACAACAACTGCCTGGTAGCAACTCTGATATTTATTAAAACCATGTTGTTGAATATGGTTAAAGAAGACTTCAAGCTGTGTCATATAGACTGTAGAAATCAGGGACAGAAAAATGGCTGTCCTGGAGGAAACCATAATTTTTATTTTATATAATTTTTTTTGTATTTATATAATTTTTTTATATAAATTATTTACATATATTTTTTTATTTTATATATATATATATATATATATATATATATATATATATATATATATACATACATACGGGATGTTTTTTATTCAAACGTTGGGTTGTTGTGTTAAACGTGAATAAAAAACAGAATTCAATGATTTGTTTTTTCCACCAACTGCTCTTCAAAAGTTGTCTCAGAATGAACAAAAGACTACTCTGAAAACCCTGTTCAGATCATTCCACGGGTGATCAGGGTTCAGTGGAAACAGGTGTCATGATTGGGTATAAAAGGAGCATCCACGAAAGGCTCAGTCCTTCACAAGCAAGGATGGGGCGCTGACCCTCCACACGAACACCAGGAGCTGCCTTTAATGACAGCCAGTGTGGGCTCAGACTGTTAAAGCACCAACAGTGATCTGAAGGAGAGTGTCACACCACCACTAACAGGGAAAATAAATCCTTTTTTCCTGCCTTCATCAGTCCACAGGAAGCTCATGTCCACACCTCCTTATACGGGTTTTATCTAGTCGAGTATTAAGATCCCAAATAAGGGGCGCTAAATTGTGTGTGCAAACAAAAGAATTGCATGTGTTCTCAGTTCATAACAGGTGCAAAAGTGGTGTAGACTGGCCTGTTTATACGAGGAGTTTGCGTGTGCTAGCGGCTGTCACCAGGGGGAGTTTTGGAGAGCAGAGTGGCCATAAATGAAAAATAAAATCTGAAGCTATGGAGTTGCACTTATCGTTTTGGGGAAGCCAGCAACTGCATGGAAGTCGTGTTTCATGTCATTTACTGCATCCTGAGTGTGTGAGAACTGGACTTACTCAACACTTCGGACAGCACAACAGAAAAACTACTTTGGGAGACACACTAACTGATGGTGAATGAAAAGCAGTGTTTAAAGAGTGTTTTTTCATTTTTGTGACTGGCTCCCAATCGGCCCTCGGGTCATCCAGCTGCACTGGATTGTGGTTGTTGTTGATAATTTATTGCTCAGAAATGTGGAAACCTGACACTGTGGAAACCTGCCTGCAAGGCAATGATGGTGTGTGCATCCTGCTCCACCAGTCAACCACTTCACCATTTGACCAGCGTTGCTCTGCCTGCACTGAGAGCTGACCAGGTTTGGATCGATGGGCTTTTAGCCCACTTTCAGCCCACTAGCAGGTTTGAATTTGTGAATATGCCAGCCAACTGTGTCGACACCAACCCCTCTCTCTCTCGGTCGTCCTCAGACGAGCCTTCCATCGTCATCCCGATTCTCCATACATCTCTCCAGTTCGTTGGTACCCTGAGCTCCTGTGTCCTTCTTGAGTATGTCCACGTATGTTAGTGTTGGACATCCTCTTGACTAAAGCCCATGTGTTGGTTCCCACAGCACCAATTTGCTGGCTGACAGTTCCCGATGCCTTTGACAGTGTCCTGCTCGTCTCCTTCTCCTTACAGCAATCTTCTTGCTCACCCTTGGTATTCCCTCCTACAGTGTTGTGTTGGTTACATGTGCGTTCTTGCTGATGCTCAGCGCTGCACGCTTCATCCTGGTGTAGCACCCATCTAGGGATTTAGAGGAGAACGGACTCTACTGTCGCGTAGAAGAAGCTGCGGTTGGAGTTCCATACACCGGTCATGTCGTTCAGGGCTCTCCATGCAAGTGCCTTCCTCACGTTTAGATCTTGTTCAGTTGATGGTGGACTCAGGTGGAGTCTTGTTTGCTGAAAACTGTCAGAACATGAATTTAAGATTTGTGAACAATTTGGAATTTGTACTATTAAAATCCCCAAATTTCAACATGGCGCACCTTTTCCCAATGCATTATTTTGATAAGATTTGCTGTTAAAGCCCCATTTGCTCAAGAACGACAAGAATGTGGTGGATGATATGAGTGAATTCAACAGTTTGTTGGTTTTCCGATCATTCCATCCAGTTCATGTGTTCATTTCTGGTATAAAGATGATATTCGTGTTATTGTTGTACAGAGTGATCAACCTCTGAATCAGTCTAACACCTGACTCATTAAATTTGGGATGTGCGGGTGTGAAGTTAAACTTAAAACGTATTTTGATCCCTATATGCTGATATTCTAATGTACTTACATTACATGAAAGATACTGGGATAACAAAGATGAGAGTCCTTCATAATTACACAAAAGACACATTTATGATCCACTTACAATTTTGGTTTCCCCTCCAATTGCTTTGAAAACCTAAAATCACACAGAAATAAGAGGCTGCTCTTCATCGAGTCCTGAAAGAAGAGTCCTCTGTGTTCTCAGGTGAGGGAGGGGGTATTTAACTGGTGAATGACTCAAAGTAAGAGATGGAGTCCTAAAGTGGTGAAGGAAATTAGTCATCTGTTATCTATTAACATCACGTCGAGCCAATTCTTCCACAGCCTCAGCCCTCAGCTGTCAGGGGAACCTCATTCATACATGCTCCTCATGCAGATGATTTCAGCAGATATCTGAGGTTGGTGCGAGGAGAGCACCAACTATACAACTACTATACTACTATACAAAGATCATTAATAAGTGGTTTGATTTAAAGGGCAAAGATTTCATACAAGCATGAGAGTCTATATTAAAGTAAATTGTTAGTCTTGCTTGTTGACCTGCGTGGTGTTGACACTGGTAATGTTCTTGTCAAAGTGAAGGAACGCTGCAGACTGCTGTTCTTCAATCAACCACCAGCAGTGTTGTAAAGTGAACAGATTGCTGTTGAATTACGTTGGGATGGTGGTGAGTTTACGCCCGGTGAAGAATGCTTGCAATCAGACCCACTCAGGAACAGATGGGCTTCTTGCTGGGCACACAGGAGGCAGAGGACACACAGGATCCATGTAACAAATAGTTATGCAGTCGTGTATCAGGGTAAACAAGACTGCACTGCAGCTCTTCACCAGGCTTTGGGTTTCTATCTGTCCTTCTCTTTCTCCATCCGACCTGTGCCGATACATTAATCAGGAAGGAAGCGAACTCTCCTAAATATTAAATTGAAGAGACAAAGTGTTGAATTACATTTTGGAGAAGGCTTTTAATCTTAAGAGACCGAAGAAACGTATGAGTGAGGGAGGGCACTGCAAACATTGTCCTTTCCTGTTGTGCTGTAGGGCTTACAAAATACATGATGAGAGGTCTGTTTATTTGTCTTTTAAAAACTTTACATTCCACATCTGTAAAACAGGACAAACTGAGGTCAGCTGGATGTATTAGAAAAAGGATTAGAGCAGTAAATCACAGAAACACCCGACCCTAACATTACTAAGATGAAAACACTTCATGGTTTTCAACGGTCTGCTGTGTTCGGTGTTGTCTACCCTTTACATCTACATCTGTCTACAGTGTTGATCATTAAAAATGAACAGCAGCGCATTCATGGTGTGGAGTCATGAGTTAAAAAGGAACAACTGAGCATCAGGAGAAAAAGGGCAAATAAATTCAGGACAGAAAAACTTGTTTTCGTGTATAAGAACCATCAGCTGCAGGAAGTTTTGTTTTCTTGGAGACGACTTCCTTCCACTGAACTTCAGTAAATCTGACATTTTAATCATTGGCTCTAAATCACTCACTAAATCAGATCAGAACTCTCTTCCCTCTCTTCATCATCCACCATCTGTAACTTTGGAATCTTTGAGACTCACGTTCCAACAGGATCTTAATCACTTTACCCCGACCACATTTTTCCACCTCAAACATATCAACCATCTCCGAGCTTCACTTTCCTCCTTAGCTGTTAAAACTCTAATCCACAATTTTATCGCATTCATAATCGATTACTGTACCAGTATCTTGTAAGGTTCACCCTCAATAATTATCAATAAATTACATCCAAACTCTGCCGCTCGCCTCCTCACCTACACCCGTCCACATGTGCCGGTGTCAGCATCACTCCTGTCCTCCAAAACTTCCACTCCATAATCAGACCCCCTCCTACCCCACTGACCTGCTCCACCCCGCTCCCTCCTGCACCCTCTGATCCTCAGACTCTAACCTCCTCTGAGGACCAAGCACTGATCTGAGGGGGACCAGGTTTCCTCTATAGCTGCCTCCTTCCTTCCCTCTGAAACACATCTAAGTCTCTGGAGCAGTTAAGAACAACAGAATGAATAACTTGGAAAATGCTCTGGTAGATGTTTTATTCTTCAAGATCGCTGATTCGCTTGTTTAGCTGTCAATCAAAAAAGGATTTCGCCTCAGACAGCTCATCCAATCATGGATGCAGAAGCTTGCAGTCCGGGAGAAAGTCGGGACCGCCCTCTCGCCATAGAACTCCAGTGAAGCTGGGCTTCCATTGGGCGGGACAAAGCCCAGCATTTATCCAATGAGCGTCTAGTTTCGCTGCTGGAACAACCCACTTTAAGCTTCCACATTGAAGTCAGCAGAAGCCCAGCGTCCGGCTGTTTAAAGCGCTGAGGCGCTGCGAGAATGAGAACGAAGTTATGCCGGTTACCTATAATTATCAGCTTCTTATCACAGTGTCTGAACAAAAGATGAAGGCTTTCTAGTGCGTATTTAGTTAATGAAATGTACACACAGCCGTACGTATTTCACCACTTTTTCTTTTTTTTGGGGGGGTGACATTTTAAGGGAAGCCGAGCTTCCCTTGCAGTCTTAGAGCAATCGCCACTGCTCTATAGCTGCCCCCTCCCTCTGAAACACATCAGAGACTGTACTGATATATCAAAGAACAAATCCCTCATCAAAACCCGCCTGTTCAAACCTGCTTTCAAATACTGATGCAGCTGTACTGTAGCCTGTCTTTATAATCTGATTTTATCCTATTTACTCTGTTGTTAAATGTCTTTTAGTGCCATGAAAATCGCTGTATAAACCATCATTATTATTAATGTTCTTATTATAATCCAGACTTCGTACTTCAACAGGGACTAAAATGGGCCTTTGAGCTGGTGAACTAATAAATGTCAGATTACATTTGCTGGAATTATGTGAATATATTCTTCTTTCCACTAACACCACAGCCTGAGATGAGTTTGTAAGATACGATTATTACATTTGCCTCCTCTGGTCTGTTTATGTGAAGTTTGGCAGCTGCGCTTCTCTGAGTGATATGCTGTGTTAGTGTGTGGTCGGCCCCCGTTGAAGCAGTCTGAGGTAAATTAGCTTTAGCTGTAGCTGGCACATTATCGTTAAAAAAGAAAGAACCTCTGTTTCCTGCGGTCCAGCTGTGTAGGGACAGAACACAGACATTTGTACGGGTTTATACACCCGAAAAAGAAACAGAGCAGCTGGTGAGTCTGGCTCTAACTGTTCGCTCTGCAGCACCAAAGCGAAACTACAATAGCACTTTAGAAGTGGAGTGCCCAAGGAGTGGGAGCAGTTTAGCATGCATGCCTATTTAATCCGCTGCTGTCATGATGTCACCTCAGGAGCAGATTCACATTGCCCCGCAGAAGCTGAGTTTAATGGGCTCCAGAAACTGCAAAGAGGCTTTTTTACTCCTGTCCTATCAGGGTTGGTAGTCAGACTGCTGGATGTCCTGAGTACTTCTGTATCGGCAGAAAAAGAGTGTTTTTCATTAGAAGGGACTCTCAGGTTTGAAACTATTAAATGTTGAATTAAGTGAGGGTGAGACAAGGCAATAGCTCCAGTGTTCTCCTCACCTACGTCTCCAAAGAAAGATTAAATCCTTGACTTTTGATGTTGTCATTGGTCTTCAAGTTAATGATGGTAACGCTTTCTTTTACGGTACACTTATTACCAGGTAATTAACAGGTAATTACCAAGTAACAACATGAAATTATCTGGTAATTACATGGTAACTACTAAGTCAATACTGTTTTTCTTTTTTCTGTGCAGCTCCATTTTCAAAAGCTATTTGGGGTTCTTATTTTCTATGATTGACACTTGATACAGCCTATGGGCGTGCGAAGATTGCGTAGCGATACGCTGTTTGAGCCGAGCGTCATCACAGCGACTCACCCGCCGAATGCGTACAACGCTACTGCACGAGTGGTGGTTCAAGGAAGCGGAGAAAATCCTGGAAATACCAGAGAAATTCAGCTTCAAATTTGTATGATGATGGAAGGTTACCTACCTGGTAGCTAGACAGTATTGACTTAGTAGTTATCATGTAATTACCAGATAATTTCATGTTGTTACTCGGTAATTACCTGTTAATTACCTGGTAATAAGTGCACCCTAAAAGAAAGCGTTACCAATGACAAAATGTTGTTGCCTGTGTGACATCTGACTTTGACATTTCTAATCAAACAGATGACAGTTGAGGTACTTTGGTGAACTGCTCTCAATGTCTGATTACAGATCAATAATGAAGGGTTATCCATAAACGACCTTAATCTTCTCCACAGGCCGCAGTAAAAAAAAGGAGCATTGCCTTAATAAGGACTTGTACCCACTGGAGGACACCGAGACCTGCCCCTGTGATGAGTTCTTATCTCAGCCCTTTGGGAACTGGTCTGCCTGCATCCTTCCTGATCCTACAGCCTTCAGCCAACAGGGGTGGATGACCCAGAAGGAGTTACTAGAGTGCGGACCAGGCCTGCGCTACAGATCTGTGGCATGCTTTGACCAGCAGGGGCACCTGGTTAATCCAAGTCTTTGTCCAGAGCCAGGTAGGATTTATGTATATTGTGACAACCACAAAGGTCAGACATTAGGTCCAGACAAGCAAACCAAGTTTTTACCTATAAAAGATGTCATGTGTTTTATTGTGATTAAATATGATCGTATTTGGAGACCTTTATAGTTGACAAAGCTCAGTGATCAAGCTTTAACTGGATTACTGTGTTTACCTTTTGCCCACAACAGTCCTTGGTGAAAACATAAATATAAATCCCCCACAGGGATGGCTAAGCTAAATTCATTCATAGAGTCATGAAACGGTGCGGTGGTGAGTCCGAGGTCTGGGGGACAGGGGCGTCCTGGTCTGAAATGATTAATTTGATCATCATTGAAGCTGCTGACCAAGTCTCAGTTTCAGGCTACATGGTGGAGGTCTGCCAAATCCCCTGCCCCTTGGACTGTAAACTCAGTGAGTGGTCGCCCTGGTCAGCCTGCAGTGCTTCCTGTGGCAGTGGGTTAAAGATCAGGTCCAAGTGGCTCAGGGAGAAAGCTTTCAATGGTGGACGCCCATGCCCAAGGCTGGACTCCAAAAATCAGGTAAGGTTCTTTCAAAGGCATCTTGTATTGTACGAGAGGGACCACACCATACTATGTGACTGTGTGCATGTTGATGTGCACGCTCATTTCTATTCAAGTTAATCCTAAACAAAAAAAAAACAGTCGAAAACAGTGTTACTGTTCATTTTCAGCACTATATTGATATTTTCTATTTTAATTAATATGGTTACAGATTAATAAAGGCTACACTTTACACACTTTACACACTGAACACTTTATTTTATTGATTTTTTACACAAAGATGAACTCTGAGTCAGCTTGCAGCTCTTCATTACCACGCTGTTTCGAAGTAGACCTGTGGACTTCAGAAATGTTCACACGTGTTTTTTTAAATGACTTTTTCACAGAAATAGAAATAAAACATGGAAACAGTTGAGACTATTTTATTCAATACCATGGTAATGAAACACTCATAAAATCAGGCACTGGTGTTTTTAAATGTTTGTCTATAACATCTATCATGTCCACAGACTGATACCTGAACCTGACCTTCATTGAAAGGTCTTCATCTGTTAGGATGAGTTTCTTTAACCAGTCATATCAGCCTTTAGAGTGTTGGAGCTGTGCCTCCGACAAACATCCCTGACCGAAGAACCTGTACACATTATTTACATCATGTAGGTCCCCAAAATATGTTTAGCCGTGATATTTCCTTCTTTGGACCCTCCACATGTTCACCTAAGGCTTCTTGAAATATGTTGTTCTGACCATACATGGATTTTTCTTAGGCTCAACTAAATATCAACAACGTGTTTAGAGTTGTGGACCGCTATATATACTTGAACGGTCTCAAACCAATCTTTGTTACACTTGTGGCATGTTGAAGTTTTAACCCAGATCTGCAACCAGTAAAGCTTGTCAAAGTGACCCTTCGTGTGGACCTTCCATTCTTTCAAGTGTGAACCTGGGCGAGGCGTCCTTACAGGGCCTCAGACAGTTTTTTGGGGGAGAGGGGTGAGCCAAAACGGCTCTTTTCTTTGACAAGGTTCCTAACCCCTGAGCTGGTTGGAGTCCTGAGTGGTCAGTTCATTTGATCGACCGAATCCTATTCTCTGGGAGACATGCTCTTACCTTGTTCTAAAAACAGGGTGATGGGTGAAAACTCTAAGATGGAGGAGATTGAGGAAGGCCGATGAACAGATGGAGTGAAGCTTCATCTATAGCTTGGATTAATCTCTGACAGCATATTCTCCATGGGGTCATGGTTCGAAGAAGGGCGGTGCTTTATGAATGCTGTTTATATGCTTGAGAGGACATAAAGGACACTTGAGTTTGTCAAGGTCAATGTGAGAACGTGGCTCAGCAGAGAGAGAGAAAAACATTCTCCTGTGTTTGAGTCGAGGTTTGTGTACAGATGGTTAAGTGCCCACTAACGGGGTCTTGTTGGCCTCTCCAGATATGACCTCTAATAACCTTTGCCACTGAATTTGGAGCTTGCTGTTGCAGATGTCCCTGCAGATACATCCTGATGGTCGACTAGAGCTCATTGTGAACATAATATACCGACTTCCTTCTATTGTAATAGACAGCGCAGTAACGTTTGATGGTCAAAATGTACATCAACAGTCCAGCTCAGCCTTCGCACTTACATTTGGTTCTTAAACGTCATAACTTCTACATCTCTAAAGGCTTCCCACCTCTCTCACAAACACATGCTCTTCTGCCATGACATGTGAACTGTCCCCCAGTTTGAGTGTGGCCCTACTCACATGAACAGATGTTCCCCCAGGAGTCATGCGCAGAAGTGGCTGGCATGACAGAGAAGACATTGACTGTGCTCCAGAACTCATCTGCTCGTCTCATAGCTGAGTGAGCAGAGAGGGGAAAGGGGATAAAAACCAAGACAGAAAGTGGCACTGTAAAAAAAAAATCACCCCAGGCTTAAAAAACAGACGGTGAAAGAGATAAGCAAACATTTAGCATGCTAGAATTAGGTAGTTAGCAACATGTCGAACATTGGAAATATGAAGATGACAGGCGGAGTGACAGAGATGAATAATGGATCTGTAAGAGCTAACTTTCATTAGAAATGTCCCGTTGTGCTTTTAGACCGGCAGCTAAACCTGTCATCAGAACAGAGAGAGAGAGAGAGAGAGAGAGAGAGAGAGAGAGAGAGAGAGAGAGAGAGAGCATGCTAAGGTTTCAGGGTGAAGGAATCAACCCTAATTATATTTCAGCTTCATGCTCTTCACCAGACGTTCACAGAGCTGCTGCAGAATCGCCTCCATGTAGATTTAGATCAGTCTCTTCATTTGAGCCTGTGCTGCATATTTAGATCTAATCATGAGCCTCGAACCTTTGACTTCTCTATGAACGGGGACAGCGTGAATGGGAGCCCAGCAAGGACTTCTCCTGCATGATCCTCATACACACAAGAATCCTCATTTCAATTTTCAGTCATCTCATAGAGAAGCAGAAGCTGATCATCCACTTTTCGATATAGTTCTTCTCTCCAGGTAAAAACATCGAATGACTAAAAAGAAAACCATAAGGACATTGTTTGTTTTTTCATCTTTAAACCAGGCTAATGAACCCTAGTTTGGATGTCAAGCAGCAGCAGAATGTAGTGATGACTCCAGGCTCTGACCTCTTCTGTCCCTCAAATTTACAGTAAAAGCATAAATTTGAGGATTGAAAAGATAATATCCTGACCTGTAGCCAGAGTCTGAGCATGAATGCAGCGAACACCTACCTGATCACCTTTCCTGCGTCCACTCAGCAGATGTTCCAGTCAGCGGTCTCTTTAAACTGCTTCATTATAACCAACCCTTCACTCACTGAGCTCATCTGCCTCTCCATGACTCTCCTCTGTAGTTGTGGCGCTGATCCTCTAAACAAAGTCTTTGACTCACGACACTTTATGGCAAGTCTGTGTGTCATCCAGCGTTTTACTTTCACACCACTGTAAGCTGCTCAGTTATCTCTCGCCTCACCTGCTCAGCCTTTCACCGACAACAACCTGTCTCAGTGTTTTAAAGATGCCATCAGGAAATGCAGTCGCTGTTGGTTGCAAAATGATCCCTGATAAAACCAACCATTCACCAACTAATTCCTGGTTCCTTCCACATAGAGGTCATAACATGTATGTTAGGTTGGTCATGTATTTAGATCCTACTTTTGGAAGAGTTCATTCCTGTACGGCCTGCTGAGGTGGAGAGATGTTTCACCTCCTGATTCTTCTCTAAATCGGCAGTTTGGTCTTAAACTGTTCTCCAAGAACCGGCTCTCTTACACACAAACGTTTATCAAAAGATAGTTTTGCTTTTATTTCACATTTCCTTTGGTGACCTTAAAGAGAATGTAGTCCGGCTGTCGTAACTCCTCTTTGATAAGTAGCGATAGATTGCTTCGTAAAATTCGTCCATGTTTTTCTCCGAAGAACTACAATCCCATGAAACCCAATCTGATGAAAACCGCTTCTGAAATTTGTCTTGACCAACCACAATCTTCTATGTCATCAAACCAACTTCCAGCCAATCATATAGCATGAGATCATCAACAGGTACCAGGCAGCCCGAGCAGATCTGGTACCAGAACCGGCACTAAACACTCCCCAGCCTCCTTCAGCGATGATCAGGGTCAAGTTACCTTTATTTTGTTCATTTCATTTCTTGTGTTTCCTGTTTTATTTTGAAGTCACTAACCCTTGTCTCTGTCCTCTAGATGTGTTCCTGTCTTTGCTCTGTCTTGTCACACCTGCCTCCTGATTGTTCATCCCCACCTGTCTCCCTCCACCCTCATTACCTCTTATATTTAACCCCACGTGTCTCACTGTCTCGTCACCAGTTCGTTGTACCAAACTGTCACATTCCAGCTTTCTTACTATCTCATAGCCTTCTTGTTTCTGACCCCGATAGTTTTTGGCCTTTTTTGGATACTTCTGCTCGGGTTAACTGCCTGACTTTGTCCCGTACCTTGGACCCTGATAAACCCCTGATTTTTGCATCAAGAGGACTGGATCTGAGTCCCTTTTGTGAGCCTGTTCTTAACGCCCTCATGAGTTATCGAAGCAGAAAACCCAGATGACAGGAACTGAGGATCTCGACAGTGTCGGGTCTGTGAGTAATTAGCCCGGTAAAACAAATAGCAGAGAGTACTGCAACCTTACGGCCAGCAAACATGAGATGCTCTGCTGTGATCTTATCTCAGCCTCTTGCTTTACTATCAGTGAGCTGTAACATAGCTTAAAGGACCTCAGTGGCTATAAATCCCTCTATACCACTGCGAACAGTTTTCTCATTCAACAAGGTTCTCCTTTCAGATAATGTCGCCTCCATAACTCTGTTTCTTTCTGCTTCAGGTTTCCTCTCTGTTGTGTGTGAGACTGTTCTTCTATACCTTCTTATAGAAGTCTATATCATAGTTCCCCTGAAGTGTTTCAGCTGTTGAATCTGCTTACATTACATACTAGATTCCACACAAAATAAGGGACATCATAAACGCAGCGTTAGTAACCTCTTTCTAATCCAGGAGAGGCCCCTGTATGGATCAGCCTGCATGAAGCTTCCTTTGGTGTTGCATGATGTATACCTGTATGTTGAGTGTTGTGTGCGCTCTTAGAGTAAAGTATGGTCTACCAGCTTAATCGTGGCTCTTCAGAAACTATCATACAGGCTGCAGAGGGGTTCCTTTACGGCTCACACTAAATCACATGATAGCATCTTTGTGTAAATATACCTCTCCCAAAAGAACATCAGATTACCACAATACCACAACAACTCCTCATTAGTGAGTGTAGTCCAATCCAACTGAGTGTCTACAGTCTACTGACAGCCCAACGCTACAGTCAGCTTTAAGGATCATAACAAATGAACAGCATGGATCGCAGGATATCAGATGGTTATCCCAATCAGTCTTCTTTAAACTATCCAGACAGAGCCAACCATCTGTTATATCTTTAAATATGCCTTTGTCTTCATTCAGGGTTAAATTAAGGTTATCTCTTATTTCCCTCTATTGGCAGTTCTTTATGAATCTGAAGTTTTAAGATCAGATAAGAAGATAAGAAGCACATTATTGATCTCTGAGGGGAAATTCATTTTTCTGGATTCTCATGTCTAATCTCGTCTACTATTTCCAGAAGAATTAAACAGTCTGATGGCTGTTGGCACAAAAGATCTTCTGAATCTTTCTGTCCTGCAGCTAAGTGAAAGGAGCCGTCCACCACTGTTTGTGTCCCATTTGTCCATCAAGGTGTTGTGAAGTGGGTGATCCACATTCTTTAGAATAGTCTCTTTTTTGAGAAATAAGACTTTTTTGCTTTATCCTTAACTCTTATATTCATACATGAAGCTCCTGAGACCCCCTCTTTTTTGGCGTCCTACACAGGACTTGTTTTGTAGAAAGTTCCTGTTCGTTGTCCCTCCTCATTATAGTGAAGTTAGATATCTTCACTTGCCGCCTGCTGTCTCTTCATGGGTCTTTATGAGACAAAAGTCCTGGAAGAAATTTAGTTCATTGGATCATTTGGTTTTCTTTCCCATTTTGTAAAATGAGGATAATTCCTAAACTTTTTGAGTCCATACCTACAGTCATATAATTTAGAGTTTTGGAAACTATATATTGCCAAGTTTTGGTTTAATCAAACTTGATTTAAAAAAATAAAAAGACATTGAAAATGATCATGCAAAACAACATGAAGTTCCAAGGATTAAAACCATCAGATAATCTGTGGCCTGAAGATAAATACGGAGCTTTGACGGCGTTCTTCTCTCACAGCAGAGTCTCGCCTCTACAGGAGATCATCCCTGTTATCTCCTCGTCTCAAACCATCAGGATGTTTAAAAGACTCTGTGTGACAGGAGGGCTCAAGAGCTGCAGACTAATTCAGAATTTTAATGAACTCGCTGCAGAGTCCCTCATTACTTGAAATGGAAAATCTGGAGTTTGGCTTATTGGTTTCATTCAGGTAAATCAAATAAAAGGGTAAATTCAGCTTTGAATTCAGCCCTGTGACCGACCTACCTACCCACCTACCTACATACCTACTCACCTACCTACCTACCTACCTACCTACCTACCTACCTACCTACATACCTACCTACCTACCTACCTACATACCTACTTACCTACCCTCCTGAGTTCCCCTCCTAAATTTCTGTTTTACTTCTTCAGCTGAAAAATAAAAACCTGGTTTTACATTTACAAGTTTTCAGTGTGTGATGTATTGCCAAAGTATGCTAAAGAAGTGTTACTAACACTTTACTTGACACCTATCTTTGTAATGCTTTATAAATATATTTATCATGTGTTTTAACCATGTCATAGCATTGTATAACTATAGTTATAAATACTCATAAATGATCATAATACTGTATACCAATAATCATAACACATTATGAAGCATTTAATCATGACTTACAAGGTCAGGTGTTATAATGTGTTATGCTTATTGTTATAAAGCCTTATGATAATTAATGAGTGTTTATAATGATAGTTATACAAGTTAATAAGCAAATTATGAAACATCATAAATATATGTGTAATGCATTATCTATGTCGGCATTGTCAGTGAGTTGTTAACAGTTATAACACATTATAATACCTGACCATGTAAGTCATGATAAAATGCTTCATAATGTGTTACGATTAGTGCTATAAAGCATTATGATCATTTATGAGTGTTTATTACTGTAGTTATAAAGTGCTATAAAGTAACTATAACACATGATAAATATATTTAGAAAGCGTTATAATTATAGGCGTTAAGTAAAGTATTACCAAAATGTTAAATTTTACAACTCAGTTGAAACGTAGGCCTTTGTTGTTCAGTTAATATTATTATGTTTATTCTCTGTCTGTTTGTTTCCATCAGTAATAAAGATATAGTTTACAGTTTACAGTTTGGAAAAGGTTTTAGGTTAAAGATTGAATAAAGTGATTATTTCTACTAAATTATTGAGATGTGAAAGATTATGAACCGTGCATGAAGATGAATGTTTGTCATCATCTTTCCGGGGTACACATGCTCTTCTAATGGCCATCTTTCTCTGCATAAATTACTCATCTGTTTATACAGTGTTGAGCCAAAACAGGCGTTCTATGAGTCCAGTGACTGTCCATGGTATCTATGTATACAGCAGATGTTTGTTCCTCATGGGTTAAGGGATTTAAAGTGAATGTCTTAAAGCGTGAAAAATAAATTTAGAAACCTTGAGCCATGTCTTGCCAGCAGTGTTACAACCGCATACGTCAAAATCTCAGAGAGTTCAGAGCCTCTCTGAGCATATGCTTATTCACACCAACTTCCTACTTACCATCTCCTCTGCACAGCTGTTGCAGCCAACTGCAGCACTTAAAAACCGCCTCAGCACCATAAATCATTTAGTTTAGCAAAACATACAAGAGTGCTCAATACTCCGTACACTAGGCACTCAGTCATGCCTTACTCGAATCAATGAAGCACGGAGCAGAGTGCACGTTTGTAACGCTTTATTTTCTAGTTGTTAAATGCTGGCAAAACATTCTGATCACTTGAGGCTTAATCAAAACTGATGATGATATCATTGTTCTTCTCTCCCCTACCCAACTACTGGCTTGTCATGCACTGCTACTATGGACACCCACGCAGGCTCAGGTCAGTGCTACATTCTACTTTGTTTTAGCTAATGAATATAAAATGCATGCAAACTCTGTCTGAGCTGTACGAGCCTTTTTGTTGTTTGGTTGAACAGAGAACAGTATCATGGGGATTCATCACACTGCCATCAGACTTTGAGAGTGTGCTCGTGTGTGGAGGAAATATGAGAGCATAAAAGAACACCGATGAGCACTGAGAGATATTGCACTACATAAAGAGTTCCCCATTTAGGTTTTGATGAAAGCCCCCTGTAACTCTGAGTCCCCTAACAAGGAGTGAATCTGTGTACGGTACACCGATCAACAGATCATTACACGTCTGTCATACATCTTATATGTTGCAGCACTTCATCCTTTTCGGTGACACTTTCTCTGGTTTTAGTGGTCGATAAAAAGTTAAAATGTCGTGGAAAGTTACAAGAGAGACGTTTTGCGGCTGATGAAAATTAGCTGTTGGGATAGATTTTCAATGTTAACAGTGGATAAAATGGAGACAGTGCAGTTGCCAGGTTACCCAGCAGGGGCATCTGCAGAGACAGATGGGAGATGATGAGGGTGTGTAATAGGCATCTGTGTGGCCCTTAGGGGAAGTCATACTCATAATCAGTCTCTCTGTCTGCACACACTCACACACACACACACACACACACTCACACACATTTACTGACACCCATTACAGCATGCCACAGCTTTTTGCGCAAATTGTCCTGTAGAGTATACCTTTTACAGTGGCAGACTGCCACTCTGATTGAGAGTAAACATTTACTTGTGAGAGCAGTGCCCTGCCTGTTCCCTTAGTTATACACAGACACAAAGAGAGGTGACGAGTTAACAGGCACAAGGTCCAGTCATTCAAGGTAGCCTGTGCAAAGATGTTATATAGATCTCAGTACAGACGGGGTTATTTTTGTTTGTTTGTTTGTTTATTTGTTTGTTGGCTCCTTATTTTTAGTCTCTCAGCAGTGAGCCACGCACTTTTCTAGGTTTGGTGTTGCACGGTTATCTTTCATCCAAATACTTGTGGTGTTTTTAGTTTTTAATTTCACGTACAGAAAAGTAAAATGCCTGTTAAAGTAACAAGAGGGTATATAACACAGAGTAAAGTAGGTAATGCTTGTATTGCACAGAAATAAAGACACCATAAACCTGCTTTTTAAAGGTTACCTGACGATGTTTTCATTCTTCATCTCTCTCTCTCTCCATGCAGCATACCTGCCTGTCTGTTTGTCTTTCTGTTTCTTGTTTGTCTGCATGTTTGAGCCACACTGTGCTGTTTATCCCTGTGCATTAGAGCAGTATTCACCTGTTCATAAGTGTGTTTATCTGTGTACTCTTTCAGGTGTATGAGGCTGTGAGGTGCCACAGTGAATGCAACCAGTATGAGTGGAGGATTGAGCCCTGGTCTATTTGTGCCATTAATGCTGTGGACCGCCTGCTGGGGTGTGGGGAGGGAGTCCAGAGCCGCAAAGTCAGGTTAGTGAGCGAGGGAAACACTTAGGCTCAGAGGACCACACGCCTGGCATCCCAATTAATGCTAGGAGGACTCAATTGGCACCCTTCTGTAGCTGGCAGTTACCCTGTTAGTTACACTTTCAGAGCTGAGGAAACTGTCGAAACAACTAGGCGACTCAATCCTTCTCAGGATTGTGGGTGGTTTAGCCGTGCCTTCTCAGTGGTTCCTATATTGACCTCAGCGTATAGGCATAAAACTCCAGACTGGCAGTGAGCTCCTCGTCATCATGTCGACTAACTCTGATGTGACACTGAGAACGACACCCTCCAGCACAACTGTGGGGCACTTTTATATAAATCCTCAAACAAACCGCTGTCACTCATTAAACTCTATTCATCAGTATTTTAACCACAATGAATAATACAACCATGAGATACAGCAGCCTAACATGATAATAATGTTGATGCAAAGAGACATAAGTGATGATTAGATACTGTTCAATACTGTTGGAGTGTCCTTAATTCTTGAAAACCAGTGAAGGAAATAAAAGAGGACATTTATTGATTTGATTGATTGATTTGATCGATGTTTGCCTCAAACTCCATACGAGCTGTGAGCGCTCCAAAGTGAAAGTACATGATTGCACAACAGTGGTTTTTGTTTTGGCTCATTAAAAACATCAATTCCTCAGGGGGGTAATAATTTTGACCCTGGTAGTTTTTGGTTTTTGTTAAATGATTTTGTTTCTTTGTGCAAAGTTCAATAATGTAAGGATCCAAAATAAAACTAGGATGTTTGGAAAAGCTGTGTATAAAAAATCATTAATCTGTTGAACAGCACTTAAGAAATTTCAAAGTTCATAGGGGGGCTAATAATTGATATAATTACTATATCATAGAAAATGAGGTTTTAAAATATAGATATAAACTCAGTCAAATCTGAAAAATCTGGTGGGCAGTACCGGCCTATTTGAGTGAAAACTTCAGATTTATGATTTTCATACACCGGTCTACAACAGTTGCTTCTATGTGGTTAAAAAATTAGTTGTATAAATGACACTGCGTGGTCTCTCCTGCATGGTTACATATCTGACCTTGTTCTTTTTCACTCCAATTATCTTAAATTGGTTTCTTTCCATCCCCTGTGAAAACTGCACAACAAAACGCAGCAGTGAATGTGCGGCTACTGTCTTAAAACTCACCTGTACTCCAGACTGTCGCTGTTTTTTATATTGCTTTATTTCTCTGATATTCTAGTATTGTATCTTACACTTAATAGAGACATAGAAGATATTAGCCTCCATGTAATTTGGCTGCAGGTGAAAACAAACCAAACGTTTAATAATTATTTTCAAGATACTCAAAAGTTTAACAAGCAAAAAAAAAAAACACGTCCAACACTTTGTGTCACTTTGTAGTCAGTTGTTTTTGCATTTACTGTATTAATAAAGTTAAATTTTATTTAGCTTTTAAAGGTCACAGTTGGAAATGCCCAAGAGACTAGTTACACAGCTGCTATTGCTGGTCTGCTAGGTGTGTTATCCAAGGAACAGGTGGTGAGGCCAGCGCTGTGGACGACAGTCTATGTGACCAGGAGGAAGTGCCGCCCAGAGCCCAGGTCTGCTTTCTGGCCTGTCCAAACGACTGCGTCATGACCCCCTGGGGACCGTGGAGCGACTGCCCTCTGGTGAGAGTTAAGACTCGCGTTCATATTGTCTGTACTGTTTGATAAATGCATGTAGAGCTGAGGCAGGTAAGAGTGATTTAAAAGGCAAAGTGGTAATCATCAACGTGTCGCATCAATATTTCAGTTTGATTGTTTCAAGGTTTGTACTGGAGGATCATTTTAAAGTCAAGTTTATTTGTGATTTCTGAGTTTTGGCTCCTCTTGGATTATATTAGATTATTGTTCAAGGGTGTTTACTGACGTCACACAGCATTCATGGTGCCATCTTTGGACTAACCTGGGTCAGAGTCAACATTTATTATAACTGATGGACTATTAAGGACACTTGATTGGAAAAAAAATGCCAGAAACTCAACCCATATAGAGTTAATGCAAAGAGCAGATGTCACCTACAAACTCTGTGGTTATTGTTCGAGTCCCGACAGTTTTTATATTATTAAAGTCAGTCCTCCTCGTAGATTTAAGTCTCAGCAGGTCCTGATGAAACCTAATCCCCAGTGTAGACAGTGACATGTGTAAAATGTGCTAATCCACTGCATTCAGTGACAGTGTGTTGTTGTGAACCACTGCTGTACTCAGCCTCCATGAAGATTTGGTGGTGCAGTGTTCACAGGATTGTGACAAGCTCAGTCCTGGTCAGGATCCAAGACTGGCACACTGATATTTTTACCAGCCCAGCCTGATATAGCAGGCTTAAGCTGTTCCTGTCACAGATTATCAAAGAGGAATCCAGGCTGGTGTTGATCTAAAGCACAAATGCTGTGTTGGAGTTCAGTATTTGTTACACACAGGAGGCACTAAGCCAACAATAAAGACTCTTATTAGTATATTTTAGCTTATTTCACGACCATCGTTTATGATTGTTTCTTCACATACTATGATCTGAACGGAGGATGGACTCGAAACAGTCGCCTCTTCATATTCATGATTTTTTTGACCTGACAGAAAGGGTCACAGCTTTAAACCATCACTAACATTAGCTGAATGTAGATTAATCGAGTGTGCGATAGTATAACAGAGTTCTGCCAACATCACACGTTAACATGGAGACACTCAGACATACACAGCTCTGTTCCTTCCAGCTCTGATTCTGGACAAGGCCTTTATATTAACAGTCCAAGATTGTCTGTCTGCCCCCAGTTACATTGATTTTAACAATACCCACTCTAGGATTTGTTGTGTTTGTATGATGTGAGCCCTAAACCTGGAGAGTGAACTGTATGTAGAGTGTAACCTAAAAATGTGTGTACAGTTTATGTGTGTATTAATATATATGTATATTAAACACGGAGCCCTCTTTTTAAGAGGCGGTGGGTTTAGAGGGAGAGTCTTTGAGCACAAGAGGAGCAGAGAGACAATTGTATTTAAATTAAGAACCTTTATTAAATGAAGCTTTCCTCTCTGCTCAGAGACAGTCGTCTATTGACTGATTCATATTTTGCATGAGTCCGTTTGTTTGAGCGTTTGGGTTTTGTGCCGCCAGCTCTCCTCTAAAGCAGTTACTCCAGTTTATTCAGCTTTTCCTCCAGTTTATGCTTTAATTATACAATAACTCTTTTAACAAGTATTCAGAGAGCACTAAAGGCGGCAGTCACGTGATTTAGTACATATATAAAATTGTGTCAGATGAAAGGTTATTAAAGGACGTTTACAAAACTGTGTCTCATTGTATTGTTAAACCTTTTGACACCAAAGCCTGTTAACAATTTTGCCAAATATAATTATCATTCATACCAGATTCACTATTTGCTGTAAGGGTTCAAATAAGTAGCTACTAGTTGGTTTCACCATGAATTCAAGCGACACGCTGGCTCATTATTAATCATTTTGCTGCTCCTTTATCCGCCCTGATCTCCATGACCACACTCTAGACCACAGTGAAAGGGTCAGCCCAAGTCTGTGGCTGAAGCTCATCTTCTTCTCTGAACCTCTGAACATGCTGAATACACAAAGGTTATTAGATTAAGTGTGACAGAGCTTTCATTAATGTTACTAAAACAGTCCAGACGAACTTTGAATATAATGATCTTCCTCATAAAGGATCCATCTCATAGTGCGATTTAAAATCCGTCAAGTCAGAAGGCAGTCATCAGCATCTTTGTCATTTTTCTATAGTTTAATCCTCCATCGTGTTGAACCCTAACTTGTACCAGTTTGGTTTATTTACACAGCAATGTGACCAAGAAACAGCGAGAAACAGGACCAGACATATCCTCCGCCTCCCAGCCTCAGGGAACTCCTCCTGTCCAGAGCTGGTCCAGTCAGAGCCGTGTGTTCTCAACAGCACCTGCTTCACCTACCAGTACAGAGTCTCAGGTAGGAGGGTCTGTGGTCCAGGTGGAGTCTTTTGCAAACGTACAGCCATTTAAACATTATACATGTAGCACAGTGGTAGTTGAAGCTCATATGGTGATTTTACTGTCGTTTGTGTGTGTTGATGTTTTACAGACTGGAGCACATGTCAGCTACATGAACACGCTGTCTGCGGTTGGGGGTCACGCCTGCGTCTCCTGGACTGTATTCGAAGCGATAGCAGGATTGTGGAGCTGCAAAAGTGCAAGCAGGTAATCCCTGTTTGGTTCGACTTCACCGTAATAATCTGATAAACCTCATGTTGGATTTTACAATAACTGCTGTATCAGAAATTAAACTTCAACACCTTTAGTGACATTTGAAAAGAGTCAAACTTGGATCACACTTTCTGTTAGTAATGTTTGCATAAAAAGTGAATCCTAATACTTGGAGGACAGGAATATCGAACATCCATATTTGTTCTTCTTTGAGTATAGATGGACTATTGCTGCAGTACTCTTGTTTTTATATCATACAGCATCACTGAGTTGAGAGGTATGAAAATTGTGAAATTAAAAATACGAGTTTTTTACACTCTTTTCGACCTCCTTTCAGAGAATTTACAACTTCTCCTGAAGGCGTTTGAAAGTGTTAAATGTCTTCATTTCCACTCTTGTTTGGCCTCGATATTGACTCCAGTCATTTTAGAGTAGAGGGAAGAAAAGACCCTGTCCTTGTGTGTGGACATCATTTCTTCTTGCTTTCTACAGTTTGGTCTGATCAACAAGCTGAGGCTCTCTGAAAGCTGTATGGTCGACTGTCCTGTCAGCTGTATCCTCTCAGATTGGTCAGCGTGGACTGAATGCTCACACACCTGTGGTAGCCAAGGTAAACCTATCATACAGTCTCCATGAAGATTGGTGTCTCCTGATCCTGGGGTTGAACATTTGAGTGGGTCAGCAGTGGGAATGACTGAAAATCATCCGTGCTTAAACAGACCCCAGCGGATATTTTCCGAAGCCTAACTATAAAGGGAATCAGTCTATGACGATGTTTGTAACGTCTTTTTTAAATTGTTTTTCTGTTTATTATAATGACAAAGACATTTTCTGTTAGTGTTGGAAACTTCCATGTATGGTACATTTATTCAGCAGATCTATTTTAGCGAAACAAAACCAGTTACCTGATTACAGTCATACATTTTTCAGTGTGGCTAAATAAAACATAATCCTGCTCTGCATTATTAAAAAAAGCAATTTACTCTCAGTTTGTAAAACTATATTATTGACCCTTTACAGTGAAGAAAAGTATTGATTAAATTTGGATGGATTCATTATTTCTCGACCCTCAGGCTTCTACCCTGTTAATTAGAGGGAGTCCACAGTAACTCCAGGTTCAGGTTCATTGTTGTTAATTATTCATCGACTGACTCCCCCTTTACCGTGAACCCCTGTTCCAATAAGCTTAAACTAAGATATACTGTCTGCTGGGATTGTAAACTCAGAGCCTCGTCTGTCTGCTCTGACTCTGTCGCCGTGGTTATCTCCATCACTCGGTTTCTTCTCACCCACTCTGGAAAATGTCCGTCAGCCTTCAAGAGAGATTTGTGCCACTCCTTCCATTGTTCCTCCGTCAGGGGCGTAAAAATTGTTTGTTTGTTTGTTTGTTTGTTTTGAAGATGCTACAGGGATGTTCATGTTTCAAATAAGAAAATAGCAGAGTTGAGGTCCTTTTGCTGTAGAGCCCCCCAGGAGAAAGACAGACACATAGAGGGACCGCTGTAACGGGCAGATGGAGGTCCTGGCTTCAGTGAGCCACATAAGACCTACCTCTGCACCCTGCAAGTGTCAACATATAATGTCACCGTAACACAGACGGATCTTTACCAACTGGGAGGTTGAAGCCTCTACTCACTGAAAAATCTCTGTTCGATTCAGAAATTATTGGTTTGTGAGACTTTATGTGTCTGTCTCTGCATAAATAAATGAATAACACAGGATTTGATATGAAAATATATCCCTTTATAATGACAATCAGACATTATTTAAGGCAAAAAACTCATTTTATTCATGTCATATTTGCACACACACATCATGATTATTTCCTGTATTTATTACATATTGTTCTTTATACTGATACTATACTATGAATCCACCAGCACATTTTAAATTCATCTGTGAGGCTTTATGATAATTCTTAAGTGTTTATAAGCAATGAGTACAGCTGATAATACTGTTTATAATGTGTTATAAGCGTTGTGTCTTATAAAGGGATGGTTTACAATGTTTTACACCTTGAAGCAGATGAAAAACTCTTGACTCTTGAGATAAGACCTGCCTCTAAAAGACTCGTCTCTGACTGACAATCTGGGCCTTGTTCACCCTCTCTTGTCTGTATTTCCGTCTCAGTGAGATTCCTGTTGGCTCAGATCATGTGTGTGACTGTGGCTCCTTCAAGTGTTCTTTAAATTTCATTTAAACAGAGAGCTCAGCCTGAAATGTTAAAATGCAGATTAAGACTTTGGTCTAACGGTGTCTTTGTATGTGATGTTCTGCAGGTCGGTCCACACGCACTCGGAGAATCCTGCAGGACGCTCATGAGGGAGGCCGTCCCTGTCCCACTCTGCTTGTTCAGACCAGGCCGTGTCCAATAATGCCTTGCTACACATGGCTTCTGAGTGACTGGTCTCCGTGCACTGTAGATGTGAGAGCTGCTATAAACACTCAGTCTGAGTTTTCTAGGATAAAGTGTCCAATGAGTTCCTCTATTAGGACTATCGTGAGAATAAATCTGTTTATAAATCTCATATATTGTACTTTATATTTGTGTGTGTGTGTGATACGCAGGGTGCAAAGTGTGGAGAGGGGCTTCGAAGAAGGAACCTGTCATGTATTGTCCACTGGGATGAGTGGTCAGGGTCCGCCCCTCAGCCTGTGGAGGCGGGGCTTTGTGGAGATCAGCTGCGGCAGCAGCTCCTGCAGGACATGGAGCAGCCCTGTTTCATTCCCTGCCCAGGTCAGTCTGCACTCATATGGACTAACACTTTCCAACATGTTGACTCAACGTCGTCTGTTGGCCACATTTAGATCATACTCTGAGTGATCTAAGAAAGGCAGTAAAGCATCATTAGAGTAAAACCAGATTTGACTGAAGATGTAATTCATCTATAATTATTATTTTAAAACTAAAGAGCCTCGACAAAAAAACATACAGTTATGACACAACTAGTGCAGCCCCAATTCAACAATAACGTGAATAAAATGAAATTTGATGATTTACAAATCTTTACCTGAAAAAAGTGCAAAGACAACAAAAACTCCTCAGTCCTCAGATCTTCATCCAACAGACCATCTTTACGATGTGGTGAAACAGGTTTGATGCTTCGCTGTTAATATGGAAAAAACACTGAAGCAGGATGCTGCTGCTGCTTCCTCTCCTCCACCTGTGGCGGGGAGCCGCCGTGGCCTGTCTCCTCTGAGGAAGAATTTACCACACCTGAACTTTACCTCAGTGAGCGGCGATATCTTGCTGCTGTGCTTCACATTTTTCCAACAATAGCAGACCAGATGATTTCCCGTTTTATGGTCTCAGGCAAAGTGAAAACCCTGTTTTTAAAGCATGTATGTAGGTGTTGAGAGTGGAGAATCAGAGGCAAAGAGGGCGCAGCAGAAGACTGTATTATTAATAACCTGTCTTGGAAGATTTAGCAGATTAATCTTTTTTTAACTCAAAGTTTCTTCATCCTTTCATTTCTCTTTTTCTATTTATATGCTGCTGTAATTTGGAGTTTCCCTCTGTGGGACTAATAAAGAAGAACCTTATCTTAAAATGTCGATATAAAGGTCTTCTCTCTCCTGTACCCTCAGGAGACTGTCATTTAACTGAGTGGTCATCATGGAGCTCATGCCAGCTGACCTGCCTGGAGGGGCGGAGTTTTGAGACCACGGGTTACCAAGCTCGCTCCAGAGCTGTGATCATTCAGGCCACAGAAAACCAGCTCAGATGTCCAGATCAAATCTTTGAGACACGCCCGTGTAAAGGTACAGTGGACATTTTTTATTGAATAAAAAAAATATATATATATAATACATTTATTTTATTTTATTTTCGTCTTAATCTTTAATGAAATTTGGCTGATTGTGCTTCTTGACAGGTTTGAGGTTTGTTTATCAATTATTTTGAGACAGACATTTGCTGCACGGCAGATCTGCACTGACTCAAACTCTGGTCGTATCGTACGCTCACGCTCAAATTGATAAATGCCGATCCTTGCGTGGAAATGGTCGTACAGACCGTTTTCTGCTGCACGTTCATTTGATAAATGAGGGCCAATGTGTCCCTCTCAAGCAGCAGCTCGCATAAACAGCTGGTCACCCCAACAGTTACACATGCAAAATGAATATGGATGAACAGTTACAGTCCAACATGGAGAGAGAAAAAACTCAGTAATCATGGAACATCCTGGAGCTTCTCCTGCAGGAGTCTGTGTCTGTGTGGTTTCTGGCTTTAACAGAGATTCTGGGTTTTAAAGGAATATCTCGTGTAAGGATATTGTTCCTGTTAATTTATCATATTGGTCAAAAGAGCCGGACATCAGGGCTGGATGTCTCAGTCAATCCACTCATGTCTGTTAACCACAGGAGGAAAATGTCTCAGCTACCAGTGGAGGACAGGGGGGTGGAGCAACAATGAGAGAGCGGTGTGGTGTCAGCGATCAGATGGTGTCAACGTCACAGGTGAGTCCAGGCAGGATCACTGGGCTATCCTGAGGTTCTCCCTACGAATAAGTCGCTTTATTCAGGCGAACTCAAAAAACTGTGGATCACATAGACGTCTCCTTCAGCATTAGATTATTCTACACCTGCAGGAGAAATTTCAAAGCAATGCCAATGTGCACACACACACACACACACACACACAAACACAGAGAGAGAGAGAGAGAGAGAGTGAGAGAAGTGTGTTGAAGTTGAATTTAGCACTTTATTTGATCTTCCTATTCTCACTGCAGCCCTCATTGATTTTCCCTCCTCCTCTTAACATAACTAATCAATAGGCCAGACTGAGCCGGGAGGCTTTGAATCAATCTGATTATAAACAAACATTTGTATTTGCTGTAAGTAAAGAGGGCACAGAGAATCAGAACAAAGGTAACACTGGAATGAAACCTTTATTGGGTAAATATGCTGTAATCACTGTCAGGAAGTGTTCATCACCGGTATGGAAAAGGAAAAGACTTATTTAACCCCTCACTGCCTGGAATATTTCATATTTATACTTCTCATGTTTTGTTTTTGTTGTACCAAAAAGGATCATATTCAGAGGTTTGCAGAGTTCACAGAGATCACTGCCCCGTCCTCTAAATGTCAGATTATTATCAGTTTCTTATCAAACTGCCCCCCCCACACACACACACACACACAGTCAGATATATGACTGTAAACAGATGAAGAAACACGAATGGCAGCCGATTGATTTAGTGTTGCTGAGCTGTGAGGACATTTCGGTTCCCGATACAATATAACAGAAAACAAGACCTGAATTAATTACCAAAGTGAAATTCATTTGTCTGGAATCTCGTGAAAAAATTTAACAAACCGTGTCAATCCAGTCAGGTGAGAGGGGAGGGTGACATGCTTAAATTCTCCTGATATTATAACAAGTGCCTCAGGATGTTGAGTCTGTATCCTAGCAACGGTATAATGTACAAGGCTTGTTACGCTATGAGTGAACTCCCTCGGAACAAACACCAGTATCTCGACAACGCAACTTCTCCTTGACAGTCATGTGTGAAGAGTGAAGAAAGCCAGACCTCCTCCTTTCTTCTCGCCACGAGTTTGATCATCTCTGTCTGACCTTATGAGAGTGAAACCAGGTAGATCCACACTGAAGTTCAAGATGTTTTGATTCAACCAGGTTTCAGTAAAACACAGGAGACTCCAGTATCTGCAGCTCATCGTTGGGCAGAGAGTTGATGTTTCCCATGATGACTGATAGAAGAAAGGGTTTATATCTCCATTTCTAAGCTTTCAACCAAACCTTCATCTGTGCACCAGTATGACAACCACAATAACTCCTACTGGTATCCTCTGGAATTGGATGTTTTGTTTTGCAGATTTGATGAAAGAATCAAAGGAGCTCTTCTCTTGAATAAACTCCTCTCCCAGCAAAAATATCCATCAGCAGCAAAAAACAACAAAAATACGGAAACAGAGAAAAACTGCAGAGAATTCAGCGAGACTTTAAAGCTCCAGCAAAATTACATTCTTGTCTTATTTGTCATTTTTCCTTTTTTCTTGTAAGTTTCCGAATGTTATTAGTTTCATATCAGAAAAACCTTATATGGATTGTGTATCTGGTTTGGCTTCATATAATTTTGAAGTTTCAGGGAAAAGTTGCTGAATTTTCCAACAACAGTAACTAACAACATCTGCTCAGTAGAAAAGAGTGCAGAGACATTACTCTGAGATATTCTGACATGCAGTTTTCCATGTTAAAATAAAAAATTGTTCTCAAATCCTGAAAGACAACAAAGCCTGTTAATTGGGACATTTATTTGGTGATGAGTGAGTTTATGTTGTGTTTGTTTTCTCCCCAGGGGGCTGTTCCCAACAGAAAAAACCGACCAAAGTCAGACACTGCCATCCTCCCTGCACTAAAGCCTTCTCTTACTGCACACCGGTAAGAGCTCTGCGCTTCCATCTGGCAGCTTTGTTTAGTTTTCACTCTTTCTGCTTCCCCCACAGTCTGAGAGAGGATTATTGATATTGTACTGATACCTTCTCCGCAGAGACAGAAGTGGAGGAGAGTTAACCCCACCTCTGTCAAAGAGGTTTCCTTAGATTCAGGAAGACGTAACATATTATCTTTCACTGTGTCTATTATAATATCCAAATTTGACAATGAAAAATAGGAAATAATCTTTAGAAAATGAGTTAAAGCACAGCGAACAGTTCTGTCAGTAATGCTGTTGGCTGTGAATGATATCTGGTTGGCCTTGCTCCCCTTCTCCTGTGTAGAGCAGAGTGTGTGGGTGTGAGAAGGGTTACACAGAAGTCATGAGTATGCATGGCTTCTTGGACTACTGCACCAGAACCCCAGGGATGGACAACAACAAGAAAGCTGATGTGAAGACAAACACTGGGAGATTAAAACCCGGACCGTCTCAGGCTGAAGACCATTTCAGGGAGTGGACCTTAAGACCGGTCGGCCCAGGTACTGAGAGAGAGATCAGGGAGCTGACCTGGAGTGATTTCTGTGATGAATTTGTTCCACTTTGCTTCATTACTGCTGTTAAAAAGTTCACCTTAGCTGCTCATTAGAGGGCGAAGAGCTTAATCTCTGCCTCTATATGTAAAAAAAACATGTTTTAGTTTTTTTATTTTTAGATAAAAGCTAAACGTTCAGACAGAATTTACCAACAATCTGTATTCAGGATCCTTTCTGCTTTCACAGATGGAAGAATAAAGCTCTGGGTTTATGCCGTGACTGCCGTTGGATTCATCTTACTACTCTTCATTATTGCGTTGTCATTCCTGGTCTGGTATGTATATTGCTTTCCTCACTATATCATTTAAAGAACATAAATCATTGTAGGTCAAAGGCGTTGGAGATGAAAACAAGCTCAACGCTGAAAAGCAAAGTGAATTTGAAACCATCTGTTTTCTGCGGAGAGGACTGTCTCAAGTGTGATTTATATGTCTGACAATGTTTTGTCTGCAGCTGCTATCAGATAATGGGATTCTTTGTAAAGGAAATAAAATTTTGCTGCTGTATGCTCCTAAGTCACTGACAGCCACCCTGTCCTGTCTTTTTTCAGTTCTCCACCCAAAACCACCAAGACGTCTCCTCCACCTCAGAAACCCCTGACCATGGCCTATGACGGGGACATGGACATGTAACTAGGCTGCTATACCTCTCAAAGAACAAGCCCAGCCGTGGATCCACTCCTGACTGCATTCAGATGGAAATCTAGTCCATCAGCTACCACAGATTTTTGGCAAGCTTGGGCAGCAGGCCGGGTTGTGGACGAGCCAAAGGTTTTCAAAGAAACAGCGGCTGCAACCTGATTCTTGATTTGTAAGTGCAGGTCTATCCTGCTAAACGGCAATAAGCCTAAACTTGGCTGTGGCAAACTGTTTTCCCCAGAGAGGAGGAACCAAAGCTGAGCGTAATATTCACGATGGTAGACGTGTCTACACATGGGGGATAACTGGACCTGGAGTCTGTTCTTGTTTACTGTCAGCAAAGGGAACACACAGTGGGAGCACACAGTGGGAGTGGGATTCTCTACCCCAAAACCAAGATGACTCTTCGACAGAGCCGTCAGGGGGGTCTGGAGATGTGAATTTTTTTTATCGTGTGTGTGTGTGTGTGTGTGTGTTAATGTGTGTGTGTGTGTGTGTCGGGAGGACCACCTGGTCAACGGTGTTTTGGGGAAGTCAGCGGTCACTCATGACATTCAAAGACAACATTTGTATTCCTCTCATCTTGTACAGAACCGAGATAAAACAAGATGCTCTTTGCACTACATTAGTGCTGATTCACTGTCGGTGTTTCTTTTCAAAAGACTTTTCTAGTGTTGAACTGAATTGCAGGTTGTTGCTGTTGGATTGTGTTTGTTGATAATGCCTATATGTTGTGCTGAGTGGAGACAAAAAGCAGGCTTGCCTTGAACACGGTGATGCAGTAGTTTCTCTTTCTTGGTTGTCTGAAGATTCTGCCAATAAAACCGAACCAGAACCAACTGAGAACCTGAAGGCAGAGCAGGCGAGTCAAGGACGGACAGAAACTATTGCTTTAACTAAATAATTAAATTCACCAGCATGACAAATACCATACCTCATACACCTTTTCACAGACGACAGAAAAGTACGGATCAGTCAAAGGAGAAATCATGAATTGACTTGACGTATTTGAAACAGGTTTCAAACAATAAAAGAAGCACAAAAAACTCCAGAACTTTCTCTTATTTCTGTTTGACTCTATCAAAGTGATGACCCTGGATCATCTATAGTGAAAAAAAGGTGACACCAAGGTCTCTTGATGAATTCTCACATGTACCTTCATTTAGGAAACAAAAACGTTTTATTTTGACGGTTCATTTTTTAAATAAGTTCCTGTTCGTTCTGCACTACTTGATGGTTTGACACTGACCGAAGTACGAGAATGTTCTCCCTCTGCCTCCGTAAACGAAGGACGTAACTTGTGTTTTCTGACCCCTCTGAATGTATTTTACTCTTAACTGTTTATTGTGATGGTTGTACAAATACGGTTGTTACCGAGCGTGACAGTCGTATTCTGAGAGCTGATTGTATTTAGGCATGCTTTAACCATTTTGAAGGAAGTGCTTTCTGTGGCCTTTCAGAGTTCTGTTTTCAAAGTCGACAGGCAGGTTCGAGTTTTCCTTTCGAAGAACTCTTTCTATTATTTGGCCGACAAAAGGGCGTCTGTTCGATGTTAAACCAGTGTGAAATCCAATCGTGATTCATGTTGCCAACTATTTTCAAACTTACTAGCATTTTTCTTGACTTGACAAAGAACAGTCCACTTCAGAAAAGAAACAAATGTTGAACCAATTTTACAGTAACATGCTGTTTGTGCTTGTGTATATGGAGAGCGGGACATAACTGTAAATAAACGGTGAGATAAAGAACGCTGCACTGTCTTTCTTTCTTTTGGAGGAGAGACGCTCTGCTTCTGTGATTGTAATCAGCTCCTCGACACGCAGATAATGATCAAATGTAATTGCCGGTACGAGCTTCTCTGCAGAGCCAGGAATATAAAATCGGCTGATAAGATGATGCTGCCTTTCTTTCCACCAGATTTAGAGTCTAACGGTCCCTGAATGTTTATAGGTTTTGAGGATAAGAGCGCTTAAATCTTAAGTCTCATCCAACTCAATTATGTAGGACTGTCACTTCCGTTTGAGAGAAAGATGAAGTGAATTGTTTGTGTCATGGCCATCTGATCACTGGCAAAGGTATGCGCTGAGCTTTCAGGTCCAATTCACTTCATTTCGTGCCTCACAGCTAGTAAGACATTGGCGGATTCAGTGAGAGCGTGCCAAGAAACTGACAGTGAGAATGTTCAGTTTTAATAAAGATTTGACCGTCACTGAACGCTGGATCATTCTCCCGGTTAACGGCTGAAACTCGGCAGAGCAGGATGAAGGCGAGATGAGTTTTATTGAAAAAGTGATGAGTGTTTGTGATCGTTTCTAAATGATTCGTTTTGTCAAAACTGTAACCATGCAGAGTGATTGAACGCTCTTCCTTCACCACCATATGCTGTTGTTTTCTCCTCTCAAATCCCAAATTTGTGAGGATGTTTTGATAGATTTAAGATTATATTTTTAAGAAACATAACTTTGGATGTAGGTGTTCAAAATGAAAGAAGTGAAAGAATGAAATAAGGAGGGACAAGTTTTTTAATCTTTTTCATTATTTCATGTTGACGTTTTTTCAAAATCTGTTGTTTCTGTGCATTTGTATTATTTGTATTATTTACAGGATGCATTGACTGTATGAAATATGGACACAGTCTCAGTAATGTGATCTGTTCGTATGTGTTGCAGAGCTCTGTAGCGTTTCCATGGAGATCATCATATCGACCAGCAAGAAGCAAAGGAGTTGAGTTCAGATGGATCTTTGGCCTCCTCACCCAGAACTACCATGATGGCTTTATTAGTCCTCTGAGCTGAAATGGTGGACTTTTATGTTGTAACTCATAGATTCCACAATTAATGTATAAAACAAATTTAAAATGATCTTTAAGACCTTCTCCATCTCCCTCCATCAGTCTCTCCATCTCTGTCCATCTCTCTCTTTCTTCATCTCTCTCTCTCTCCTCTCTAAACCCGGCTCACTCTCAGCAGATGACTGTATAACATCAGTCTGGTTCTGTTCGAGGTTTCTGCCTGTTAAAGGAAGTTCTTCCTCTCCACTGTAACTTGATAAATGCTCTAAAAGGTTTCACTCATGTGGTTGAAGATGGAAAGGGAGCGGGTCTGATCTTACAGGATGGGGCTCAGTCTGATCCTGTCTTTGGGTCTTTGTAAATAAAGTCTGGTCTAGACCAGATTTTTTGAAGTGTAACATTTGGGTAACATTTATTCCGAATTCCCCCTAAAAGTAAATATTAATAATTGAGGAGTGGGTCTCCTTCCACCATACTGCATCCCCTTATTTTCACATCAGCACATTTCCATTTCTACCCAACTTACCTATTAAAGTACAGAAGATCTCAGAAACTGTGCTCAAACAAATCTCAATAAACCGCAAAATGTCACTTTTTCAAATGTAACAGCGATGAAAATTTACTCAGAAACCCAATATTTTGGGAAAAAATTTTCTTTCACCCATGTGGTTGAATTTAACTCAACAGTCCTCAGGTTTTAAAGGCTCCAGAGACAAAGCTGAATGTATTTGGTCATTTAAAAAGATTAACAAGGGTAAATCTCAAACAGGGTATATTGTGACTCTCTTTTATCTAGGGCGCACGCTATGGGCCGTGGTCCTCCTAACACAGTATCTGGTTATCATCCCCATTCAGGATTAATTTCCGGATAAGAATCTTATCAGATGGGGTCTGTGGCCTAATTACAGCTCCTGAGTAAACTGGCTGAGGCCTTATTGGGAATCTTGGCTTCGTATCTGTTTTATATTCTTACAGCCGGGAACTCTGGGTAAAGGCGAGCCGTGACTCTCTCCTCACAGTGAAGAATGTAGCTTTGTTCATATATTGAATTCATCTGACGTTCAAACATATGAACTCCTCTTTTTCAGTATAACATATGGTTTATCTATATTAGTATTCCTGTTTTACATCAGGCTCTATTTGACTGTGTAAACTTCTGCACCCGGTTAAGTTACTGTTTATAAGAGTCTGTGAATTATTCATTAACCAGCACTATTCTGCAACCCTATTATGACTCCTCTGCCTTACATACAGTGAGCTAAAGTGACGTTACAGCAGCAGATGGTGTGCAGGTAGTTGTTCAGATTTGTGATTTGGTTCAGGGGTTAACAAGAGAGAAAATGTGATTCTTACAACAGATGCAGATGCAATATTTAAAGTTTCAGGCCTGCAACAGAAAGCACATGTTCACAAATCTAATCATGTAAAGAACACGGCAGATTCAGACTTTTTCAAACGCACACTTGAGTAAAAGCGGCATCATTTTATACTGACAGCGGGCTAATAGACGGATCTTGAGGGCTTCTTGTTCAATCAATCAATCAATCAAATTTTATTTATATAACGCCAATTCACAACAGTCGTCATCTCAAGACGCTTTTCAAGGAACAAGAGCAGGTCTGGACCACGCTCATTGTTTGATGATCAAGAACCAACCTAAGATGGGTTTTGGCCCATCTCAACTAACATGAGTTACAGTGGCAAGGAAAAACTTCCTTTTAACAGGCAGAAACCTTGGGCAGGACCAGACTCATGCTAGACAGCCACCATGCCGCTGCTGGGTTGGGGAGGAATGTAGAGAGAAGAGGGGAGAGGGGGAGAGGACAGGGGGAGGGAGAGAGACAACAAGATAGGGGAAAGGCGAGAGAGAATGAGTATGGAGAGGGAGGGGGAGGGAGAGAGAGTAGGGAACGAGGGTGAGAGAGAGACAGGAGGCAGCAGGAACAACAGCAACAACAACGACAACAGCTCATGTAATGGTGAAACAAAAAGAAGTTCAGTTTACAGGTTTAGGATATGAGTGATAATGGACAATGTTGAATTAATTGAGTGCGATTACAGTTAGCAGGCTTAATCGTAGTCAGTTCTATTTTGTATTATTAATGTCAATAATGACAGTGAGGCTGATGTTCATGTCTGCAGTAACAGTAACAGTAACAGCAACAGTCCAGAGGAATCAGAGAGAAGAAGTTTTGCTGCTGTGTTCTGCTCTTTACTGTCTGAATATCAGAAAACTGTGTTTGGGGATTTTGAAATAGTTCACTCATTATTCAGGTCAAGAAATGTGTGTGTAATTTGTGTCTGTGAGTGTAGCAGAGTTTACACACATGATGGACAGCCTCATGTTGGTCTCCAGTTGGAGTTGAGGTGTGTTAGACATGGATCTCCTCCTTTACTGACATCTCTTGATTGATCCCCCACAGAAAGCAGGTTTATGTTGTAAGGAGATGAGGGAAACAAAAGCTCTCCTGCTACGAGCAATAAATATCGAAGTGCTGTGGTTTCCTGCCCCTGTGGGTTTTGTTAGAATGCAGCGTCTACTTGGAGTGAATGTTCAAACACTGGGATCCAAGAGATAGTTAACATTTACGGAGTACGGACAGAAGGAGATGATTGACTAGTCTGAGAAAACAAAGAATGTGCAGGAAGATTATTTGTCTGTTTCACAGGTTCACAAAAACCGATACCAACTTTATTTATACTCTCATTATGTGACAGGAACGTGTCGTCCTCCACAAGGTTAGGCTGACACTGTGTCCTGCTCTTCAGAAGCCACATTACAATAGTCCAAAGTGGAGGTCAACATGTTGGAAACACTTAATCCCACCACCTGCCTACCTGTCCGTCAGATCAGCCACAGACCTCATTATCGATGCAGCGTGTTTGTGTGTTTCCATTTCAGGGTGTGTGTCTGTTGTGCTCTCTGGAGCCTAATTCAGAAAACATACAGAGGGACACAAATACTGTGCTGTTGCAGGTTCAGTTGCATAGTGTGGAGGTATGACAATAGGGCGTCATTGTGCAGGAACATCATTGGCTTTCTTGTTAAGAATACGTTTACTCTCTGTAGTGAGACAGAGCTGTAAAAAAACAAACATATTAGAGGATGGAAATGTTTGAGAGGAATGACTAAGAGTGCACAGCCTCCTATGAAAGAGGAAGTAAAACCCACTTTTTGAGTGTGAGAGTACGTCAACATGTGTGTGACAAACTTATTGAAACTGACTTAGGCATTAATTCACAGCGCAGGTTCTTCACAGAGATATTGTTCTGCAGATTCTTTGTTTACTTTTAGAGCCTGGTTAAAGTTGGAATCACACATCAGTAATCTCACTAAATAAGCCTGTTATCATTTTTAAATCAATGATAGAGTACAACCAATTTACAGTAAAGTAGATGCTGCACGCTTTTATCTCCAGCAGGACTAGTAATGCAGCGGAGAGAGCAGTAAATAAGAGTTCAGGAAAGATAAGAGAGCTGGGGAGGTAAACCCCCCCTCAATGATTCTCTATTGGTGCTCTTATGGTTGTATGGGCTCACACCTGAAGACTTGTCTTTGGGGATACAGAGTGAGGTTTAGGAGGGCAGACTTGGTGGAAAAGGAATATGTCAAAGATAATGGACGGTGAGCTGGTGGGTAAAACTCAAAACTACTGAAGTCATAAATGTTTTAAATTATATTAAATATCGACAATTTTATTGATGAAAAATGATAGATGATAGAATTCCCTTTTTATCATGTCGCCTCTATTTAACCAGAAACTATATTTTTATTTCTGCAGATTCAGACAGAAAAAGAAGAAAACAAGAACAAGAATCAGGCAGAAATGACATGAACCATAGAAACAGCAGTATTCCCACTAATCCCATTCACTCTGTCTCAGCCTTGTCTCAGACACCACTTTGACCAAAGACAGAGGAACTATTGAGACACTGTGTCTTTGAGTTTCTCCCCGGTAA